AGAAATTCAAGTTCGGTTAGTTTTTTATCTAACATTTTTGAAAAAAAAAATGAAAAATCACAAAAAACGCCGTATCTCGACGAAAAGCATATGGATTTGAGCAGTCATACTTGGACGCTAGGTTTGCAGCCCTTGAGGGTACCCTGATAGCCACCCACTATAGGGTTGAGAAATTCAAGTTTGGTTAGTTTTTTTTATATCTAAGTCTTTTGGAAAAAAAAACGAAAAATCACAAATAAAGCCATATCTCGACGAAACGCATAAGAATTTTAGCAGTCATACTTGGACGCTAGATTTGCAGCCCTTAAGGGTAACCCGATAGCCACCCGCTATGGGGTTCAGAATTTCAAGTTCGGTTAGTTTTTTTATATCTAAGTCTTTTGGAAAAAAAATGAAAAATGACAAAAAACGACAAATCTCGACGAAAAGCATAAGGATTTGAGCAGTCACACTTGGACGCTAGACCTGCAGCCCTTAAGGGTAACCTGATAGCACCCCACTACAAGGTTGAGAAATTCAAGTTCGGTTAGTTTTTTATCTAAATTTTTTTGAAAAAAAGTGAAAAACTCATACAAAACGCCATATCATCTCGAAAACCATGAAGACTTGAGCAGTCATGCTTGGACGCTAGATTTGCAGCTCTTGAGTGTATCCCAATAGCACCTCACTATAGGGTTGAGAAATTCAAATTTGATTAGTTTTTTTATATCTAAGTCTTTTGGGAAAAAAACGAAAAATCACAAACAAAGCCATATCTCGACGAAACGCATAAGAATTTTTGCAGTCATACTTGGACGCTAGATTTGCAGCACTTAAGGGTAACCCGATAGCCACCCGCTATGGGGTTCAGAATTTCAAATTCGGTTAGTTTTTTTTATATCTAAGTCTTTTGGAAAAAAATGAAAAATGACAAAAAACGACAAATCTCGACGAAAAGCATAACGATTTGAGCAGTCATACTTGGACGCTAGACCTGCAGCCCTTAAGGGTAACCTGATAGCACCCCACTACAAGGTTGAGAAATTCAAGTTCGGTTAGTTTTTTATCTAACATTTTTGAAAAAAAAAATGAAAAATCACAAAAAACGCCGTATCTCGACGAAAAGCATAAGGATTTGAGCAGTCATACTTGGACGCTAGATTTGCAGCCCTCGAGTGTATCCCAATAGCACCTCACTATACGGTTGAGAAATTCAAATTTGATTAGTTTTTTTATATCTAAGTCTTTTGGGAAAAAAACGAAAAATCACAAACAAAGCCATATCTCGACGAAACGCATAAGAATTTTTGCAGTCATACTTGGACGCTAGATTTGCAGCACTTAAGGGTAACCCGATAGCCACCCGCTATGGGGTTCAGAATTTCAAATTCGGTTAGTTTTTTTTATATCTAAGTCTTTTGGAAAAAAATGAAAAATGACAAAAAACGACAAATCTCGACGAAAAGCATAACGATTTGAGCAGTCATACTTGGACGCTAGACCTGCAGCCCTTAAGGGTAACCTGATAGCACCCCACTACAAGGTTGAGAAATTCAAGTTCGGTTAGTTTTTTATCTAACATTTTTGAAAAAAAAAATGAAAAATCACAAAAAACGCCGTATCTCGACGAAAAGCATATGGATTTGAGCAGTCATACTTGGACGCTAGGTTTGCAGCCCTTGAGGGTACCCTGATAGCCACCCACTATAGGGTTGAGAAATTCAAGTTTGGTTAGTTTTTTTTATATCTAAGTCTTTTGGAAAAAAAAACGAAAAATCACAAATAAAGCCATATCTCTACGAAATGCATAAGAATTTTAGCAGTCATACTTGGACGCTAGATTTGCAGCCCTTAAGGGTAACCCGATAGCCACCCGCTATGGGGTTCAGAATTTCAAGTTCGGTTAGTTTTTTTATATCTAAGTCTTTTGGAAAAAAAATGAAAAATGACAAAAAACGACAAATCTCGACGAAAAGCATAAGGATTTGAGCAGTCACACTTGGACGCTAGACCTGCAGCCCTTAAGGGTAACCTGATAGCACCCCACTACAAGGTTGAGAAATTCAAGTTCGGTTAGTTTTTTATCTAAATTTTTTTGAAAAAAAGTGAAAAACTCATACAAAACGCCATATCATCTCGAAAACCATGAAGACTTGAGCAGTCATGCTTGGACGCTAGATTTGCAGCTCTTGAGTGTATCCCAATAGCACCTCACTATAGGGTTGAGAAATTCAAATTCGGTTAGTTTTTTTCTCTAACATTTTTGAAAAAAAAAATTACAAAAAACGCCATATCTCGACGAAAAGCATAAGGATTTGAGCAGTCATACTTGCACGCTAGATTTGCAGCTCTTGAGGGTAACCTGATAGCAACCCAACAAGGTTGAGAAATTCAAGTTAGTTTAGTTTTCTATCTTAGTTTTTTGAAAAAAAAAGTGAAAAGCTCTTAAGAAACGCCATATCTTGAAAACCATAAGAATTTGAGCAGTAATACTTGACGCTGGAATTACAGTCTTTCATTGAACCCTGATAGCACCCCACTGTAGGGTTGAGAGATTCATGTTCGCTTAATTTTTTTATATCTAAGTTTTTTGATAAAAAATGAAAAAGAAAGCAATATCTCGAATACCAAAGATTTGAGCAGTCACACGTGGACGTCAGATATGCAAACACTGAACTTATACCCTGGCAGTACCCAGCTACAGGTTTGATAACTTCACGTTCGGTTAGTTTTTTTTCGAAATTTTTCGAAAAAAAAAGTCCAAAAAAAATTATCTCGAAAACCGAAATGATTTGAGCCGTTATACTTGGACGCTAGATTTGCAGCCCTTGAGTGCTCCCTGATAGGACCCCACTATAGGGTTGAGAAATTCAAATTTAGTTAAGTAAACTGTGAAACAAAAACTTTGATAGTCTTACGTTGCGTATAAAGGAAAAATTGTAAAGAGTTTTAAGGCTTTCGAGCTCCAACAAATTTTGAAGCGCTGACTTAGGTAAACTTTTCAACCCTTGCATGTTTCAGTGGTTTAACAGACCATAAAAAGGAATTCTTAAACATGTGTCAAATGAAATTTTTTTAACGTTTTAATATACGATATAGCTTAAACATGCAAAAAATAATACGTTGAAAAAGGTTTAAACATGCTATTATAGGGTTCTCTTAAACATGTCAACAAAGGTACTTCTCAAACATGTGTCACATGAAACTCCAATTAAAAAATAGATAGATACATATTTAATTAACACGCTATGCCATCAACTTGAATCAATTTTAACTGAAACTCCTCTAACCTAAAGCAAACTAAACTAGTTATAAATTGAACTAATTCCACGCAGTTTAAGAACTGAAAAAATCAGTAAGAAAACCTTACATACGAAAAAAACCGTGAGGCAACAATTTGTAACAGGCGACAATTCGTAACAGGAGACAATTGGTGACAAGCGACAATTGGTAACAAGCGACAATTCGTAACAAGCGACAATTCGTAACAGATTGAGTGAGGAACACTGATTCACGCGCAGTATTCCTCTAGTGCCGGATGTAAGCGCAGCGGAGCAAGCGTGTTCTACTTGACAGTGCCTTGTTACGAATTGTCGCCCTGCTGAAAAAAAGACTGAAAACTTAACGCACTAAATGTTTAAAAAAATCGTTCCTAATAGAAAAGTTTGAAGTGTATAAAAACCAGGAAACCATCAAATTTAATTAAGCACAGAAAATGAAAAAAATATACCAAACAATGAAAAAAGAAAACACCCGGCAAGCAAGCCGACAAAAATTAAGGAAAAATTTAAAAAGTTGTTGATAAAATCATTTTTAATCTTAAAATTTTTAAGCTGTACACTCATTTTCACCTCAGTAGCTCTAAGTCAGCTAATAAACTACAGCTGATAAACGAGCAAATATGATAAGAAAATGAAAATCCTATAAGCAAATTTTTAACGGGAAAAAGTTTAGTACCCTATTGCAATACCCTTGCTTCGAAAGGATAATCTTCTTACGGAACATTGCTTATTGATGTATCCAGAAAAAATAACATGTTTAACAAACATGAAAAAAAAAATGTTTAAAAAATTAACGTAATTTAATGTCTGGAAGGGCTGTTGAAAAATCATTTCAGCTTATTTACAACCGCCATTCGCCAACCGATGTTAATAAAGATTCTCTTACACAAATTGACTAGAAAAAGATAGCAATTTGATAAAATAAGCTAAAATCCCTGCTAAACCTTTATTTTTGATCATTCCAAAGTACAATTAACATGGAGGGGAGCTTTTTTGCTTTGGTTGAATTTCTGTTCCATTAGGAAAATGGCATAGGCACGTTTGATACTGAAACCAGTTCATTCATAAATGATGAACAAGACTGCTCGTATCAGGGCGAAGCCCTGAATGTTCCGACTGCCTTTTAAGGTTTATGGAGCAGCAGTAATAGCATAAAAAAGTTAAATGAAATAAAATAAAATGAAACTTTTTTTTTCTAAAATTTGAAGTTTTTTATGAAAATCATCCCCCCACACGCCATATAAAGTACAAAAAGATAGATTTAGCTCCTTGTAACAAACCAATTAAGGCAAATAAGCTTCTTTCAACCAATTTGGAACGATTTATAAGACGGATTAAATCTCCGCTTACGCGTTAATAGCGCGAATTATATCGCGCGTTAATTGTCCCAAATTGCTCAAAATGACCAAAATGGCAATCTTTAAACCCTCATAACTCCACGAAAAATGATCACAGGTGAAATATCTTTTCAAATTTAAGCTCAGGACAACAATATCTTTTGAATGATATAAAAAAATTCCGTCAAAAATGGCTAGTTAAAAAGTCGAAATTTGTCTGAAGAAAAAAAAACCCACCCCGAGCACAAATATTCCGTTACTTTCGTACCGAAAGTCGGAACAAAAAGCCTCACTGTGTTTCTAGCAGTTTTGAAACAAATACTCGGATTCCTTGATTAGTGCTGATTCCATTAGAATTTTCAAAATCTTCTCAAAGGAGAACGCCTGTAATTTTAATTTTTAATTAAGAGAAGACCTACGTGTTGCTACTATTTTAAAATATTTTCGGCAAGCCGACAATTGACAAATCAGTTCTTAAAGAGTTCAATGACAAAACAGGCTCAGTTAGTAGTTTCTTCATCACCGAGTTTACCGTTTCGATTCCCATTTGTGCATGAAGACGGCAAGTGACGTCATTATCTCTTTGGTAGACTTTACTTAATACGTTGTATATTTCTTTCAGAGCAGCGCCGTCCAAAATATCAGACAAATTGTTCTCCTTCGTCGAAATTAATTTCACCATACTACTCAAAAGCATAACTGAACTTCTTTTGAACATTAGTTTGAGAGAGTTCGTATCCCTTTCTACCGAATCAAACAGATCTGATTCTTCGTGCTTCAAATCGAAAGTCTCACAAGGTTTTTTGTCGGATGTGTTTTGCGAGTTATTACGTTCAGTTGACTCCAATTTTATTTCCCAGAGAAGTGAAGACTTAACAGCATTGATTGACATGTAAGTTATCTCGTAGAGATCCAAGTGTAGCGAAGGTCCCAGCTTCTCAACTAAAACAATACGCATTTCATTTTGATTATTCTGTCTTATGTGTTTCTCTCTTACCACTTAAATTGTATTTTAAGAAAATCAGTTCCCCTGTCCTGCAAAAATTTTGGGTTGAAAAACTGGAGATTATTCAAAAAATAAGTAGAAAAATCTGTCGCTTGAAATCCAACTTTTCTATTGGTTAAAGACTACTAAGCGGACTACTATTAAGTCTCGTTTAAGGCCGCCAAAAGGCGCGCTTCACCGCGGCTTTGCGGCGATAACCGGATCTTATTTTCGTATAGCATCCTAATTCTGTTGGCAAGCGCGCAAAATTTTTGATTTCTGCTGTTTGATTTTTTGTTGTTTGAACAACAGACAATACATTTAATTATTCACTGGATCCACATTTGACCAATCAGAATTCGAGTTGAAAAATTTTGGGACAATCGGGACTGATATTATATTTTGGGTTCTATGAACAATTGGACCTATAATTTACTCACCAAAAACGTTGTATACAAAAATAGCTTGCTTGAATTACTTACCAATCACAGCCAAGTTCGCAAAACTGCTTGCTCTAATAAGCCACGATTTATCAGCTTTACAATTGAACAAAAGTGTGTTCAAAAACTGATTGCGATTTGCAACAATCATCTCTCCTCTTTCGACTAAAACTCGAGTCACGCTTTCTCCTAATTTTGATACAAATTCATCGTCCAATGAGCTTTCAGTATTGCAGTAAAGTGTCAGCAATCTAGATATCTGATTGGCTGGTAAGTAGAGACTGATGTTGGCCAATGAGATTGCAGCTGACAGGTAGAGATAAGAGTCTTCATCTTCAAGACTGGCCAGAACTGTAGCAGTGATTTCGGGGAGTTTTTCCACTGCGTACTTGTTGCCTAAAATTATTATTAAAACATATTTAATAATCATTTGACTAAAAAATGCACGTTCGAAAGCAGAAGTTGATCACGTTTTTCCTGACTACTGTACTTTTGCTGTTTGATAGTGGAGTTTGCCTTCTTTTTAACACACGAAACGAATTTAACTTCAAAAATAAATCAAAAGTCTAACCGCGGAAAAAGTAAGCTTGAACCTGAACAAATTTTAAGACTGTTCCTGGAAAAAAATCATCACGACGTGTATAAAAACCTTCACTTCGTTCATTGACTCTAAAAAAATTGTCTCTTGAGCTCTTTGAACTTCCGAGATCTTGAAAAGGGTAATAATCCAACTTACCATTTTTCACCAGCTTAGAAACATTTTTCATTCCTGCCGCTCTCAACGGCAACAGCGCCTCGTGCATTAAACCGAAAGCTTCCCGGAAACCGTTTTCTTCTGAACTCAGTTTTTCATCGGTTGGATTTCTCGCCGGTAAATTCGAATCTAAACTTCTACTTGACGTTCCAAAACTGGTTCTGTATTTGACAAAGAAAGTGTCAATTAAATTTTGCAATTCTTTCAATATTGTTGAAGTATTTTTAGATTCTGAAAATTCATCAATTTCAGATTTACTACAATCAATTTTCGTTTTCCAAGACTCAATTTCTGTGGCATTATTATGCAGTAAATCGAGGGATTCGCTGTTTAGACCCTGTTTAACTTCGGCCAAGAATGTCAAAATGGAGAGCAAAATTTGAACAATGTTGACTAAAAAGTCCGACAAGTCGCTCACATCACACGACTTAACATTTTTCATTATAGTGAAAGAGCATTTCAGAAATGTTTCGACGTTCGAGTATAATATATGAGAATAATTTGAGAAAAATAACTGCAAACTTTCAGCATATAAATTCAAATGTTTCGCTTTTCTCGAAAATGATTCTTTTTCGGTGCATTGTTCATATAATGAATCTTTGTGCAGAAAACTTGTCAGGGAGTTCAGAATCCAATCGACAGCCAAACTTTCCACGTTTTCAGCCAAAAAAGGGAGCAAGCTATGTGTGATAATTGCGAAATCCATTTCCGATGTTGCTCGTTTCCGGCCTGAAATAAAAATTACTTATTTGCTATATATTTATTTTGCTAATTGCTTGTAGAGATTTTTTACCATTAGAAAAAAGTTTAACGGGTAAAAAATCCACTAATTACAACAAGACTGCTCGTATCAGGGCAAAGCCCTGAATGATCCGACTGCCTTTTAAGGTTTATGGAGCAGTAAAAACATTTAAAAAAATTAAATGAAATAAAACAAAATGAAAAAAAAAATTCTAAAATTTGAAATTTTTTATGAAAATCATCCCCCCACACGCCATATAAAGTACAAAAGGATAAAATTAGCTTCTTGTAGCAAATGAATTATGGCAAATAAGCTTCTTTCAACCAATTTGGAACGATTTCTAAGAGGGATTAACTCTCCCCTTACGCGTTAATAGCGAAATATATCGCGCGTTAATTGTCCCAAATTGGCCAAAATGGCAATCTTTAAACCCCCGTAACTTTACGAAAAATGGTCACAGGTAAAATATATTTTCAAATTTGAGCTCAGGACAACAATACCTTTTTTCAAATGATATAAAAAAAAATCCGTCAAAAATGGCTAGTTAAAAAGTCGAAATTTGTCTGAAAAAAAAACCCACCCCGAGCACAAATATTCATTACTTTCGTATCGAAAGACGGAACAAAAATTACAAATACCTAAAAAGCATCCAAAAAACTATTTTTGAAAAAAAGGAAATATTAGGTAAGATAAATCAGATTAGCTTTTATTGTTTCTTCAGACAAATTTCGACTTTTTAACTAGCCATTTTTGACGGAATTTTTTAATATCATTCACAAGGTATTGTTGTCTTGAGCTTAAATTTGAAAAGATACTTCACCTGTGATCATTGTTCGTAAAGTTATGAGGGTTTAAAGATTGCCATTTTGACCAATTTGGGACAATTAACGCGCGATATAATTTGCGCTATTAACGCGTAAGCCGAGATTTAATCCTTCTTATAAATCGTTCCAAATTAGTTGAACGAAGCTTATTTGCCATAATTGATTTGTTACAAGGAACGAAATCTATCTTTTTGTATTTTAAATGGCGTGTGGGGGGATGATTTTCATAAAAAATTTCAAATTTTAGAAAAAAAAGTTTTCATTTTATTTTATTTCATTTAATTTTTTTAATGTTATTACTGCTGCTCCATAAACCTTAAAAGGCAGTCGGAGCATTCAGGGCTTCACCCTGATACGAGCAGTCTTGTTTGAATTTATTTGATATGGAGCAATTCGTAAACATTAAGCCTAATAACATAGCCTATATATTTCCAACGTCAAGCTACACCGCCTAACTAATATCATCTCACCAGTGATGTTTCCGTCAGAATTGAGATCGAACTCTACGCAGATTCGAAGCTCGCAAAGATCTTCCACCCATCGTTCAATTAATTGCACTGCATTTTCTCCCAGACAACTCAGAATATCGGCTACTATTTTAATAATTGTCTGGCAAACGTCAAAATTTCTAAAACCCGCATATTTTTGAAACAAGAATGTCATCAGCATATTGAACGATCCCGTTGCCGACAAAACCTGTCGCAATTGTTCCGCATAGTCCTCGTTCTGCTCTGCATTTTGGGGATTATTAACCAATGCGAGCTGACTCCGATTTAAATTGACAGAAGTCAATAATAAATCGTACCAATTAACAAAAGCATGAAATCTTTCGTTTGATACAACTTCTCCGCAATTGATCAGGCTGTCGAAATTTAGTTCTGAAATAGCCAAGTTTTCAAATTTAGGCACAATGAATTCCATCCAAAAGCTGTTATGCATTACAAACAGTTTATGAATTGCCACAATAGCAAACTTTTTGTAGCTTTCTTGGTTAGAGTTCGTGTTCATAAAAGACACTTTAGCTGATACTTGGCAAAATAAAGACCAAATTTGGGCAACGACGACTCTCAAATATTCACTTTTTTCTTTGTGCTTTGGAATTGTGAGAACAATTTCGGCAACAACTTGGATTCTTTCATCAACCATTTTTTGGTCGTTTTTAAAATTTCCTGATTCAACCAAAAGAGTCTCCAACAGACAAATAACCCCTGATTTCGAATCAAGCCAAAGGGTGTCAGAAATTACTTTTCCGCAAGAAATGCGCAACCAGTTCGGCGCTGGTTTAAGTTTTACTCTTTTCGTTTTTACATCTGTTACGCGCGATGAATTGAAACCGAAATCGGAATCACTGTCTTTACTTGCGCCTTGAAGGATAAATAATTCAGACAACAAAATAGGTTTGTAGCAGTTCTTCATCAACTTTTCCAGCTCGTCACAAAAGAAAAGTCTGTCGTATGCCTTTGAATCGTTTTGGAGTACTTTTCGATAATGAGGTGAAAAAGTCAACTGCATAACACCAGGTAGAAAATCTGGAAGAAATCGGCTGAACAAAAAATACCCACAGAATTCGGACCACAGAAGTTTCGACAGTGTTTTCAAATTCAGTTCCAAGAGTGAGACGGATTGAAGAAATGATTTGGTGAAAGAGCCCAGAGCAGATTTGACGTCAATAGCCAAATTACATTTGTCATTGTGGGGAAAGCCAACACCTAAAACATAGCAAAAACAGCGCTGGAAAAGTTTACGAAATAAGACATACGGAAATTTAAAGAAAATATTATTTGTTAACGAACTATAGAAGAAAACTGAACTTTGTCTTCAGACTTTTTTTTCTAAATTGATCCACGAGGGAAAGGACCTATGTACAAGCTGTTCAACTCTTTACGAATAAGCGCTGTTGTGTACCAGCTTAAAAACAATGTGTAACAAGACTGCTCGTATCAGGGCGAAGCCCTGAATGTTCCGACTGCCTTTTAAGGTTTATGGAGCAGTAATAACATTAAAAAAATCAATGAAATAAAACAAAATGAAAAAAAAAAAATTTCTAAAATTTGAAATTTTTTATGAAAATCATCTCCCCACACGCCATATAACGTACAATAGGATAGATTTCGCTCCTTGTAACAAACCAATTATGGCAAATAAGCTTCTTTTGACCAATTTGGAACCGATTTTTATGGATTAACTCTCCGTTTACGCGTTAATAGCGCGAAATATATCGCGCGTTAATTGTCCCAAATTGGCCAAAATGGCAATCTTTAAACCCCCGTAACTTTACGAAAAACAATCACAGGTGAAATATCTTTTCAAATTTGAGCTCAGGACAACAATACCTTTCGAATGATATTTAAAAATTCCGTCAAAAATGGCTAGTTAAAAAGTCGAAATTTGTCTGAAGAAAAAAAAACCCACCCCGAGCACAAATATTCCGTTACTTTCGTATCGAAAGTCGGAACAATAACAATGTTTTTTTTTCCTGAACCGAACTGAAGCAGGCAATGAGCAGACAAACTGTAGTTATGATAGTTTTTTATACAAATTTCCGATACAATACAGACCTTCTTCCAAGAAAGGAGACACACCCATGACACAGAAGATTTCAATCGACTGCACAATTGACCTCTGATCTTTCATCGAAATTCTCTCGAAACTACACAGCGCAAGTCTATTTAAACACGACCGAAGTTCCTTGATAAAATTTATAACCGAATCGGCCGACAGTTCTTGGCTTTCGGGGAACAGAACTTTCAATACTGCAGCTTTTTCAGATGACTCGATATTTTCTTTCGATATCTCTTTTTCTTCATCGTTTACGACGGATGAACTGTTTTTTTGGATCAAACTTGTAAGTTGACTTATAATAGATCTGTCAGGCTCCATGCTTGAAATCTGAAAACATGAAGAAGCAAAAATATGATCCCAAATGTCCAACCGCCAAATGATTGATTGTTCATTGAATTGTTTGAGCCAAAGCGTTGCAATTGGTTGTAGAGCAGCTGCACTTCTAGTTCTTGTCAGTTTTTTAGTGGATAACAAACAATTAAAGTGAGTTAATGACTCATCAATAACAGAAATTATAATGGTACTTGAGTGAAACGTAGAATGATATCTCAAACAAAAAAATATACGAAAGACAAGGACAGCCTGTTGCTATGGAAGTCGTACAAAAAAATCCAACCATATTCATGAAAAAAAAATAAAAAAAGGATTTTTTGTTTGTTTTTCAAGGTAGTGTCGTTATCTGTGCACGGTGCGATGAGAGAATCTGAACTAAAACCTGAAATTTAGGCATATTCCATATTCATAGTACAATAAGGCACATTGGACAACACTTATCTCGTCGATATTTGACTAAAACACGCAATTAAACATAATTTACAAAAAAAATTTGCAAATTTTTTATGCATTATTTAAGTGGCGAAAAAAACTTCGATCTTCGAAATCTAATTTTTACCGAAGTAAAACTACAGTTACAGGACTTAATTAAAAGTTTCACGGCTTATTCTCCGATAATAGGCTTGCTCGCCAGAATTTTTTGCTCGAAATTTGAAAATATAGTTCGACGTATATGATATTTCACAAGACCGATCCCGATGATTGGCTGCTGTACCTGATTTAGCGTGGAATTTAAAAAAAGATCGGAGCAACAAATTAATTTTCTCTAAGGCATTATCTGCTCTCAGCTGACTTGTTTTTATTTTAAAACAGGCAAGTTATAACTGACAAAAAAACATACAAAATGAAGAAAAAAAATTTTTGAAGCATTTACCCGAATTGAGACAAAGATTTTGTACCCCGACACAGGCATCACTATCGGATCTCAAATCATCCTAAGCAGTCCTGCTATTAACTTGCACTCCGGTACCTTTGATCTTACGAACAGTTATAACAAATTCAATTCGATCACGAATCGACCACAAACCAAAAAATGACTGTTGTATCTAATCTAGCACATTACTTTACGATAAAACTACAATTTTTGTATTCCCAATTTGAATAGGCACCGGAAGGCTGCATTGAAAGTGCCTTTTAAAAGCTAGTTGAAAAAACAACATCTTCATTTTTTGTGTCGATTAATCCTTATAATTACTTACTATAATTATTATAAAATCGTTCCATGCGGAAAACGAACAATTATTGGCCACTTAGATTCAAATACTTGTGGAAAACACAAACACAACAAAACAGTTTCTCGATATCAAAATGAAAGTCAATCAATATTTAATCGTATAACTGAGTTTATTATCATGCAGGTATAAATCTCTAATTTGATGTATAAGAAAAACTAAAAATCTTGCCGGATTTTGTATGATCTACAACAAATCAATGATCTACAACAACTCTATAAAAATTTATACCTATAACAATTGTTTCGCTAAACTTAATCATTGAAACACTTCGTATGTGTGCAGTTCGTGAATCGGGCCTATGTAAGTCATGCCAATCTTACTGCTTCGAATTTTGCTTTCCTGCTGATTATTCGTATTTCAAAGTTTTGGTGCATCTGCAGTACATCTCGGTTTGTTTTTGAGGTACAGCTAACATAAAAATTGTAAAGTGTCAAATTTGTGTATGTGACTTTTGTACACACTTATAATTTGTTCATTGCGCAACATACTTTGGTTTTCTAGAGAAATGAGATATTTTCTCACTTAATATCCACATTTCGGGTATGTTCAATGAGAGAGGAATAGCAAAAAATTTAAATGTCTAACGTCATTTTCTGTTTCAAGCTCTTTTCTTTGATATTAGATATAAGGCTTTGATTTCTTAGAGCTAAAATTATTGTTCCGACTTTCGATACGAAAGTAACGGAATATTTGTGCTCGGGTGGGTTTTTTTTCTTCAGACAAATTTCGACTTTTTAACTAGCTATTTTTGACGAAGTTTTTTATACCATTCGAAAGGTATTGTTGTCATGAGCTCAAATTTGCAAAAAATATTTTAACTGTGATCATTTTTCGTAAAGTTATGGGGGTTTAAAGGTTGCCATCGGCCAATTTGGGACAATTAACGCGCGATATATTTCGCGATATTAACGCGTATGCGGAGAGTTAATCCGTCTTAGAAATCGCTCCAAATTGGTTGAAAGAAGCTTATTTGCCATAATTGATTTGTTAAAAGGAGCGAAATCTATCCTTTTGTACTTTAAATGGCGAGTGGGGGGATGATTTTCATTAAAAAAATTTCAAATTTTAGAAAAAAATTTCATTTTATTTCATTTAATTTTTTTTAATGTTATTACTGCTCAATTAACCTTAAAAGGCAGTCGGAACACTCAGGGTTTCGCCCTGATACGAGCAGTCTTGTCTGCTTTTGTATTGGTTCATATTCAGTTTATTCCCTGTCAAACAAGTTTCTATGTTTTCACATACAAGTCATACTCTTTTGGCCAAGCTTCACCATATTCATTAGTATCGTCTGCAAAAAATACACCATTACTGAGCTTCTAAATTTTTTGAAAACATTGCTTGTAAGTCGTCGAACGAATAACAACTGATTATTCAGGAACTCCACCTCTCACTTTGCAGTGCAGTTTTAATTTGATCAGTTTCAACAAACTGATAACGATAAAGTTTAGGTTCGAGTTTGTTTTAGAATGGGGACTAACTTTTAACGAATCAATAAAAGTGCCAAAACTTTTTTTCTTAGTCAACCAAACACTTTCGATTGATTTGGGAGTTCTACATCGGCATCGTTTGAACAAAAAGTTTTAGTTTTCATTAAAACACTTATTTGGAGAAACCTAGCAAACCTCTAAATATTTTTGTTTCAAAAAGTATTCCAACGACTGATAATGGGATATTGCCTGTAATTCGAATGAAGTCTTGTTTCTTGCCTTTGCATGAGCAAAATTTTAGCAGAACTCAAACTTTCCGGATGAATTTATTAATCAATTAATTGATAAGGAAAAACTGATAAGGTGGAAAAATTGCAGGGCTAATTAACATTTGTAACCAATCGAGAGTCTGTAAGAAATTTGACTTTTGTGCTATGCAAAACTCTAAATGTCTCAATTGTTCTTGTTATGATACTTCGGAGAGAAATCGTGTTTCGAGTACTCTTTAGACTTCTTATAATTTGATTCCGTATTGAGCGTTTCAACAAATCTGGGTCAAACGTCCACAAAAAATCATGGAGCATTGCAGGTTATATATTCCTCAGAGGCATTGGTCACCACTTTTTGAAATTTTTGCTCGTTTCACGTTGTTGAATAACTCGATAAAATTTTTCTTTTCTACCTGTGTATCATAGTCTATAGCAGATGATTTCTTTAACATTGATTACTCATTGATTGCATTGTCTTAGAGAACGCTTGCTTCATCCATAGAATTTTGTAGAATAAGCTCATGATTTTGGCAATTTAACCTCTTACTTCAGTTGTAGGTTAACCCAGGTTTTATTTTTCCTTCGTTTTTTTATCATAATTTTGCAAGAGTTATTTGAACTTGGTTCGTAAGTAAATAGAAATCGTTGTTTTCCACTTCATGAAGTTGTCGAGCTATGTGAACTTCTTTGTAAGTAGAATCAAATCTTTGTTGAGGGGTATCAAGGAAAACTTGGAGATACTGATTTTAATTTCCAATAAAACGTTTTAAAAAACGTTTAGATTGATTTAGTGATGAGATTTATTGGATTCTGTTTTCTAAAGCAATCAATAAACACATCAATAGGCGTCAATTTTTTCCTACGAAATATAATAAGTGCTTTGAGTTTATCACCCATAAGTGCTCAATAGATACTTTTGTTTCAACAGTTGTCAATAATATCAAATTTGGCGCTCGAAAAATCAAATAATAATCTTCCGATTAAGCTTATTTTTTATCTTCGCATATCATTCAGTTCAAACTTCAAATTCTTGTAGCCTACAAAGCGAGAAGATTAGACTACCTTAGGATTCATTGCCAAGTAATTCAGTGAAAAACACCAGAACAACTTTGCAATGACACCAGTGGTCGGAACACTCTGTGCAACTTTGTTCAGCCTTTATAACCGCTCAAGTATTATGACAATATATTGTTCTTTTTTCACTTCGTTAATGCCAAAAAACAGGGAGAGCTAAAGACAAGGTACGTCGCATGGGAAGGCGATCTGGGTTGAAAATTAATCGGGAACTTGTTGATAACTCAGCTCAAAAGTGATCGGAAACTTGTTGATAACTCAGCTCAAAAGTGGAGTTTGAAAATCGATTTTCAAAAAAGCTCAAAAGTGGAGTTTGAAAATCGATTTTCAAAAAAAAAGATATTTAAAAAACCTAATTAACAGACTGCTGCAAACAAATTAGCTGAATTTAAAATGTCTAAAATCTTGAATACGTGATTTTTTCACTAAGCGGGCACAAAAAAACATCCAACAGAGAGTTGGAAAAGATTCAATGAACGCAAGAAAAAAAGACTTAATTTTTGAAAGATCTTCCGAAAGTCTAAAAAAAAATAGATGGCCTATAAGCTCTGTGACATTCTAGAACAATTTATGATTGACTTATTTCTGATAAGAACTCAATTAATTTGAGATAACTGAATCAATAGATAAAGCTTTTGTTCCACTGTGAAAACTAAACATTAAATCTCACTTTCGAAACCAGAAGTCGATCACATTTTTCGTGCCCTTCACGCTTTTGCTGTTCGATAGTTGAGTTTGATTTTCTTTTAAAAAAGGAAATAAATTAAACTGAAAAACATAAATTTAAACAAGGATAGCCAGTTGGTGTTCAAATAGCACAGAATTTTCCAACAACATTCATAAACACAGAGGCGAAGCTGCGCTTCGCACACACTAGCGAGAAAACGACAAAAACCAGCACTATAAAGAGAATGTAAAAATGAGCCTTGAAAAATAAAAACTGTGCTGTGGCGGATTCTATCCTACGATCAGGAAACTTAGAGTTTCCTGTACTCGCATCTGCAACACGGGCCCTTGACAAACTACGGCTCTTTTTCCGCCTCTCCCCTCCACAAATAGATACATCATCTAACAGAGAGGCGAAGCTGAGCTTCTCACTTCTTTCGATACAACAAGTATTGGATTAAAACAGCAAGACATTCAAGAACTATCAAAAAAAACTTCGAAGTAGACATCGTAGACCAAACAACAAGAAAAACGACAAAAAAAAAAGAAAATCACGTTTGTTGTATAAATTTATTTCAAAAATTTTCACAGACATCCAAAAGGCAATAAAACAGAAAAAATACTGATTTGTTTTTTGGAAAATCTTCCGAAAGACTAAAAAAAATAGATGGCCTATAAGCTCTGACTTTCTAGAACAATTTATGACTGACGCATTTCTGATTAAAACTCATTCAATTTGAGAAAACTGGATCAATAGGTAAAGCTTTTGTTCCACTGTGAAAACTAAACATTAAGTTTCACTTTCGAAACTAGAAGTCGATCACATTTTTCGTGCCCTTCACGCTTTTGCTGTTCAATAGTTGAGTTTGATTTTCTTTTAGCAAAGGAAATAAACTAAACTGAAAAACATATATTGAAACCCGGATAGCCAGGATAACCCGGATTGGTGTTCAAAAAGCACAGAATTTTCCAACAGCATTCATAAACACAGAGGCGAAGCTGCGCTTCGCAGACATTAGCGAGAAAACGACAAAAAAAACCAGCACTATAAAGAGAATGTAAAAATTAGCCTTGAAAATTAAAAACTTTGCTGTGGCGGATTCTATCCAACGATCAGATGTAGAGCTTCCTGTACTCGCATCTGCAACACGGTCCCTTGACAAACTACGGCTCTTTTGCCTGATCCCCCCTCTAAAAATAGATACATCATCTAACACAGAGGCGAAACTGAGCTTTTCACTACTTGCGATACAGTAAGACACTCAAGAAACAGCAAGACACTCAAGAACTATCAAAGAAAACTTCAAACGTTGTTATCGTTGACCAAGCAACTAGAAAAACAACGAAAAGAGAAAATCACGTTTTTTGCTTAAATTTATTTCAAAAATATTCACAGACATCCAAGTGGCAATAAAACAGAAAAAATACTGATTTGTTTTTTGGAAAATCCTCCGAAAGACCAAAAAAAATAGATGGCCTTTAAGCTCTAAGACTTTCTAGAACAATTTATGATTGACACATTTCTGATAAAAACTCATTCAATTTGAGAAAACTGGATCAATAGGTAAAGCTTTTCTTCCACTGTGAAAAGTAAAAGTTAAATTTCACTTTCAAAAGTAGAAGTCGATTTTATTTTTTTGGCCCTTCACACTTTTGCTGTTCGATATTTGAGTTTGATTTCTTTTTAACAAAGAAAATGAATTGAACTGAAAAACATATAATTAAACAAGGATAGCCATTTGGTGTGCAAATAGCACAGAATTTTCCAACAACATTCATAAACACAGCGGCGAAGCTGCGCTTTGCAGACACTAGCGAGAAAACGACAAAAACCATCACTATAAAGAGAATGTAAAAATGAGCCTTGAAAATTAAAAACTGTGCTGTGGCGGATTTTATTCTACGATCAGGAAATTTAGAGTTTCCTGTACTCGCATCTGCAACACGGGCCCTTGACAAACTACGGCTCTTTTTCCGCCTCTCCCCTCTACAAATAGATACATCATCTAACACAGAGGCGAAGCTGAGCTTCTCACTTCTTTCGATACAACAAGTATTGGATTAAAACAGCAAGACATTCAAGAACTATCAAAGAAAACTCAAACGTAGACATCGTAGACCAAACAACAAGAAAAACGACAAAAAAAGAAAATCATGTTTTTTATTTAAATTTATTTCAAAATTTTCAGACATCCAAGAGGCATTAAAACAGAAAAAAATATTGATTTGTTTTTTGGAAAATCTTCCGAAAGACCAAAAAAAATAGATGGCCTATAAGCTCTATGACTTTCTAGAACAATTTATGATTGACACATTTCTGATAAAAACTCATTCAATTTGAGAAAACTGGATCAATAGGTAAAGCTTTTCTTCCACTTTCAAAACTAGAAGTCGATCTTATTTTTTTTGCCCTTCACACTTTTGCTGTTCGATATTTGAGTTTGATTTCTTTTTAACAAAGCAAATGAATTGAACTGAAAAACATATAATTAAACAAGGATAGCCATTTGGTGTGCAAATAGCACAGAATTTTCCAACAACATTCATAAACACAGAGGCGAAGCTGCGCTTTGCAGACACTAGCGAGAAAACGACAAAAACCATCACTATAAAGCGAATGTAAAAATGAGCCTTGAAAATTAAAAACTGTGCTGTGGCGGATTCTATTCTACGATCAGGAAATTTAGAGTTTTCTGTACTCGCATCTGCAACACGGGCCCTTGACAAACTACGGCTCTTTTTCCGCCTCTCGCCTCCACAAATAGATAGATCATCTAACACAGAGGCGAAGCTGAGCTTCTCACTTCTTTCGATACAACAAGTATTGGATTAAAACAGCAAGTCATTCAAGAACTATCAAAGAAAACTTCAAACGTAGACATCGTAGACCAAACAACAAGAAAAACGACAAAAAAAGAAAATCATGTTTTTTATTTAAATTTATTTCAAAATTTTCAGACATCCAAGAGGCAATAAAACAGAAAAAAATATTGATTTGTTTTTTGGAAAATCTTCCGAAAGACCAAAAAAATTAGATGACCTTTAAGCTCTATGACTTTCTAGAACAATTTATGATTGACACATTTCTGATAAAAACTCATTCAATTTGAGAAAACTGGATCAATAGGTAAAGCTTTTGTTCCACTGTGAAAAGTAAAAATTAAATTTCACTTTCGAAACTAGAAGTCGATCTTATTTTTTTTGCCCTTCACACTTTTGCTGTTCGATATTTGAGTTTGATTTCCTTTTAACAAAGAAAATGAATTGAACTGAAAAACATATAATTAAACAAGGATAGCCATTTGGTGTGCAAATAGCACAGAACTTTCCAACAACATTCATAAACGATGTTTGGTGTAGCAAAACTAAGCTGTGCGCAGAAACTAAACATTAGAGAAGTTTTGCGTGTGTAAACAATTTTTACGTGGCAAAAACCACCAATAGAGGTAAATTAATATAAACTGATCAAAAACTACATTAAAAAAAGCATTTGCTCTGAGGCACTTCTTCCTTTTAATAACTCGTTTCGATAATTCGCAAACAAAAGAAGGAAATCATAGAAAATGATTATTTAACCTTGAAACCTTATCCAAGGGGTTCAAACGACAGTACACAATCATTGCCTACCCACCACAGATCTCATTCTTTAAGTAAACGACAATTTGTTCGAAAGCCTCAAAAACATTGCCAGTAATAAGATTTAAACTTTGTTTCAAAATTAAATACATTTTATTAGTTAGAATATAAGCATATAAAACTCGTATGTTTATAATTATATTCAAATTAAGTCATATTGGGGTCCAATCGGACGGTAAAATGAAGCAATCAAAAATAATTACAGATAAAAAATTAAATTATCGATTCGTGAGAAGTAATGAATCAATACTTTTGATTTAATCATTAATACAGAAAACGATCATGGCATTTTGGACAATAATTGGTCGAATTTTGATTTATATTTCATTCTAAGATGTCGGTTTGGACACTAAATGGTCGAATTTTGCTTCAATTCTTATTTTAGAGAAACTCGTCCGCTGAGTTTGAGATAGGAAGACTAGTAGGAAGCGGGGGCATAGAAGGAACTCCTTTTGTTTCCTTTCGTTCTATTGGAAGACAATATGCAGGGAATGTTCTGGTTTGGAGGAGCAAATCGCTAATTTTCTTCACCATTTCGGGTCTTTTGTCTATCTTTTCGCATATCTTCTTGTCTATGTCTGTCCCGGAAGTTCGCTTAATCTAAATAAAAAATAGCTTAGACAACCACAGATAGTTGAAATCAAGGATTTTTTTTCAAATTAGTGATGTTTTTTAGGGTGTGATGAAAGGATCTGAAGAACACAGCCAACAGACTGTTGGAAAAGAGTCAATGCACGCAAATAAGCAAAAAAAAACACTGATATCTCTTTTGAAAAAATCTCAACTTTCGAATTTCAAAAACAATGCCCTTGAAGCTTTTTGAATTTCTGGAACAACTAACGACCAAAATCAAAGGTCAATTTGAGAAAACTGGATCAATAAATAAATTATATATTTCGCAGGGAAATCTGATAATTAAATTCCACTTTCGATACTAGAAGGCCACGTTTTCATGACTTTTAGACTTTTGCTGTTCGATAGTGGAATTTGCCTTCTTTTCAACAAAAAAAGTGAACTTAAAAAAAATCAAAAGTCAAACCAAGAAAAATCAAATTTAAGCGTGAACAAATTTTGAGACTTTTCCTGAAAAAACTAAAAATATCATCGCGACCCATATAAGAGCCTGAACAACGTTCATCGAATCTAAAAAGCCTGAAATTTAGGTATATTCGACAGTCACAGTATAAAGGCAAATCGAGCAATGGTTTTTGTCAAAAAATGACTTGAAAAACACTATTCGAAAAAAAATCCAAACATTTTTTTTTGCAAAAATTATTTTAGAAGTTTTTTATTCCTAAAATATTCCTGGCTTGTCCTTCTATAATAAGCATGCTTTAATCGCTCGAAATTAAAATAAAACTCAAAAAACCGCGAATCAGTATTGAAAGTGCGAATCACGACACTGAATCACATCCGAATACAAAGTTTCTCCCCAATTTTCAAATGGTCGGAACAACAACTCAGGTCGGATGCTGATATACCTTATATGCACTAAAACCCTTACTAGAAGGTAGCAGAGAATTAATCAACAATAAGTTTTTCACCGACAAAGTCTAGTTTCCGATTTCAAGACACTTGCTCCCGCAAGTTCATCGTTAATGACAATACGAACCTGTTGAGGGGCGTCCACCAGAACATTTTCGAGAGCCTTGCAGAAGAAAATTAGAGAAGCGGCGTCGTTCTCATTGGCCTTTTCCTCTATCAGGATTGGAAAGTGAGTAGTGTCTGTCTGCTGCTGTCCATGGTCCACAAGGTCAATGGTCTAAATAAAACAAAGTACTTCTACAAAAAACCATTTTACATATCTTCTTTTCTAATTTTGATAAGAGAAGACCAGCTAGATAAAACAAAATAATCGGCCTAACGCTGCACCATGTCAACATCATTCTCCCCTCTTTTCCAACTTGCAAACCAATGTTGGGAGGCAACCCAAAGATATTAAAACTTTCAACTTCTTTCGAATTTCAAAGAACAAACATATCACATTACAAATCTCTGCATTTCCAGAATCTTTCATGATTGCCACTTTTTGATGAAACAAACCCAATTTGAGAAAAGGGTTTAGGTAGTTAGAAGTAATTCAAGTTTTTTTGCGCTTTTGACAATTTGTTAAACGAAAGCAGGAAATTACATTACTTTTAGCATATGAATTTTTTTTTTAAAATCCCAAAAAATGAGCGTGAGCAATTAACTATTTCTAACGAAAAAAAAAATTGAAAAAAAAAATCAACACGACTTATATTCACGACGTTCATTGACACTTAAAAAACAAGGTTTTTATGTATTGCCAAACACCGGACCTTAAAAGGTTCAACCACCTAGTGGGATCCCATAAAGTTCGGATAAATTCCATGGTTGGTTTGGAGAATTTGAATTTGTACTTTAATGGGGGGGGGGGGGGGGGGGGGGCGGCAATAGGTTTACTCTTTTCTTTGCAACATATGGGCCATACAGCATATCAAAACAAAATTGGTCAGTTGTTGTGCAAGTAGCCCAAAATGTTAAGACACAGTAATTAAAAAAATAAAATAGCCAGAATTTATGATTTAGACTTTTTGATAAAATTAACCGAATTTAAGAAAACTGGATCAAAAAGTAAATCTGAAACGAAAAGTTAGATATCGATCACGTTTTTTGTGACTTTTACACTTTCGCTGTTCGATAGTGGAGTTTGCCTTCCTTTAAAAAAGGAAAAGAACAAAACTTAAAAAGAAATCAGAAGTCAAACCGCGAAAAAGAAAAATTGAGCCTGAACAAACTTCAAGACTTTTCTTGAAAGAAAATAATCACGAACTACGTTCATCGACTCGAAACATCGCCAACAGTTGGAAAAAAAGTAAGAACATGAAAAACGAAAGATTTAAAATTTTTGAAGATTTTTCAGCTTTCAAATAAAAAATATATTAATTTGAAGCTCTAAAAACGGTTGATTGGCACTGATTTAGAGAAAACTCGATCAAAAGTTAATCAATTTTTTCTTTTACTCTTAATATTTTCCTTTTTTACACTTAAAATTACCTGTAAAACTAAAACGACGAAAATTTATTCTGATTCAAACTTACCAGCCGGGCAACTTTGTCAACGGCGATGGTGAAGCAACACGATTTCACCATAACTAAAACAAAGTATACTTCTTCACAAATTATAGCGCGGGCAATTTGACTCTATTCAAGCATGTACACTAGTGAACAAAATTAAGCGCAAATTCTGAATTATACTCTGCAAAATGCCTGTTTTTGTTGTACATTTTGGATACTGTTTCTTTCTAAATTCAGTTGAATTTTTACATTGACCGAGAGCAAATGATCAGAGCTACAATCTGTGAAAGTATCAAAATTTGGTTTCAATGACTTAACAATGTAATCCGGGTCCGAAAAAGCCAGTTTTCCTCATCTGCACTAAACTTTTTACTTCGCGTGAATAAGTAACAAACATCTGAGTTTGGTAAAAATTTCACACTGAGTGTTTCCTTTTTCTCGCTGAGAAAGTTTCACGTTGGATGAACAATTTTTTTACTCCGCTTATTCGAGAAAGATTTCACTACGATGCAAAACTTAATGCAGGTGAGGAAAACTGGAATTTTCAGACCCGAATTACATTGGTAAGTCACTGAAATTAAACACTGATTGTTTCAGAGATGGTAGCTCTGATAATTTGCTCTTGGTCAATGTAAAAAATTTTACGGAAGGAAATGTTGTCCAAAACGTACATTAAAAACAGGCATTATACAGAGTGAAATTAATCTCCTTAAAAAGTAAGAAAAAGAAAGGAAAAAAGAAAAATTCCCTTTAATTTTTCAAAAAAATAAAACGGCCTTATCTAATACGCTTATACGAAACATGGAGATCAAAGGCTTCGCTTCTCACTTATTTCGAACAAAGTTGAGTGAATGAACCCAATTTGAATTCCAAAGTTAAAAGGGCATGTTGATTTCATTCAACTTACCCGAATTCTCACTGCCCTTTTCATTGATTGTCTGTTTGCTTTTTCCGTCAGCTAATTTGTAAATGATTTTCTGTCGATCAGATGACAATTTCAAGGCTGAAACAGACCACTTAAGTGAACAAAAACATACACATACTGCTACTACTGTAACACTTAATTCAAACGTAGCCAACAGGCAGTTATAAAAGTCAGCGAGTGCAAGAAAACAAAATAATTGCCAACTTTTTTTTGTAAAAACTTCACTTTCGAAGAGTTTAAATTATATGGCCTTAAAGGTCTTTGAATTCAAGAACAGTATATGACTGACAGTTCTCTGATGAAACTAACTCAATTTGAGAAAACTGGATCAATATGTAAAATTTTCATTCCGATGGGAAATCAACTTAATTTAAAAAAATCAAAAGCCAAATCGCGAAAAATCAAATTTGTGCGTGAACGAAGTTTAAGGACTTCATGAAAAAAAAAACAAGAAATTCGACAGTTTCAGATATTCGCAGAGCTCCACAAGAAAGAAAACAAGGACATTAAATTGGAAATTAAATTGTTAGTTAAATTGTTACATTAGTCTTTGGCTCATTTTACCACTCAAATGTTCCCACAGAATTTTTATTAAACATTAGCTTCTTTCTCCGGACAAGAGAGAACATAGCTAACAGACAGTTGATAAAGTGTAAAAGAACAGAATAACGATAGAAAATTCGGTTAAGCTCTTTTTACGTTGAAGCTTTTGGCACTTCAAATACTGTTTATGATTAGTACTTAACGATTAAAAACAAAAAGCTAACTTCTTGGAATAATTTTAAATTTAATTTGGAAATTTAAAGAAAAAAAGCCCCTAAAGCTCTAGAAATCCCTGAAGCTCTGGAAAAAAGCACCTAAAGCTCTAGAAGTATAAAGCTCTTTGAATTTGAAGAAACTATTCTGATAAAACTAACGCAATTTGAGAAAAGTGGATCAATTGATAAAGTTTCTATTCCGCTGGGAAATCTAAAAATTAAATTCCACTTTCGAAACTAGAAGTCATTCACGTTTTTCGTGACCTTCTCAATTTCACTGGTCGATAGTGGAGTTTGCCTTCAATTAACTAAGGAAATGAAGAGAATTTACAAAAAAGTCAAACCGCCAAAAATCTAACTTGAGCATGACATAAATAAGACCAATATAAACGAAAAATTACTTCGTTCTTTTAAGCTGAAGAGACTTGAATGACTTATGGAGGTGGACATTGACATACTTGTTATAACCACGATGACATGAAATTACAACGAGGAACAAAGTAGTGCAAAGTGTTGTTACTCGTCTGCTATTTTATCATTAGGACCAAAAAACTTGCCTAAATTCAAAGCTGCATTTTTCTGGTTTAGATTAATTTACTAAACGCTACGTGTTAATAAAAATACCTACGTGTTAATAAAAATACCTACGTGTTAATACCTACGCTACGTGTTAATAAAAACGAAAAAAAGCGATCCCAAATTGGCAATTTGCAAACCCTATAACCTTGCGAAAATGATCATAAAAGAAATATCATTTTAACTTCGAACCCAGAAGAGCAATATCTTTCAGATAGTATGAAAAACAAAAGTCTTTATTACGATTTCAAACACCTATCGTGATTAAGCACTAGATTATATGCAAATATGAGGGAAAAAAACGGAAACTGGACCCAAACTAGGACAACTGACAGGGAGAAAAGAGTAATGAACGCAAGGTAAGAAAACAAACTAACTTGCTGTTTGAATAAACTTTAACTTTCCAATTTTTGAGAAAAAAAGCACCTAAGGCTCTTTGAATTTGAAGAAACTATTGTGATCGACACATTTCTGCTAAAACTCAACGCAATTTCAGAAAAGTGGATCAACAGGGTAATTTTTTTATTTCGCTGCGAAGTCTGAAAATTATATTCCATTTTCGAAACGAAGTCGATCACGTTTTTTGTGACCTTTAGACATTCGCTGTTCGATAGTTGAATTTTTCTTACTTTTGAAAGAGGAAGGGAAATGATTTTAAAAAAATAAAAGTGAAACCGAGAACACGAAAATATGAGCGTAACCAAACTTCAGGACTTTTCCAGAAAGAATGAAAATCACCAATATCTATATAACATTCTTCACTACATTTATTTCACTTAAAAAGTGCGAGTTCATTAGAAAAATTAAGCCCGTAATATAACACAAGCAATCGAAAACAACGTAAGGATTTTTGTTTTTACAACTAATTGACAGCAAGCTAACACCGTTTTACTTCAATCAATATAAACTATAATCTGGAGCTTAATATCTATGACACTTTCTCCACACCGAGGAGAAGCGCAGCTTCAAACCACTAGCAATTCAGAAACACAAAAAAAATCTTTTAACAAGAGTTAAGCAATTTGCAATTACAAAAGCGAAGTAAATAACAAAAGCAACAAACTTAGTTTAAGACCAACTGAGAAAACAATTGATTAAACTTTGCAAAAAAGAACCATCGGTTTTTTTTAAAATTAAATGAAGCCAAAAACAACAACTGATCATCACTTCCAAACGTGAAAAATTTTTTTTTTCAAAGGTTGCTAATTTTCATGAGTCTAGCAAAGTTTACCCTTTAAAAATTGCTAGTTTTCAACATATCGACGTTTTTATGATTGTTCAGAATTTTCTCAAAATAAACTTAGGTTTCTTTCTTTTCTCTTAAAGGAAAAAAGCCTTAGACAGCTGTTTAAAGGCTACCAAACGAATATTATAGACAGGAATCTAACCGGAAAATTTGAGCTCTTAAATAGTGCTAATTTTTGAGATATCGACGATTTAATTTTTTTTTCCAAAACTTGTTTTTTTTTTTAATTTTCTGACCTAAAATGGGGCATCGCCATCATGCTAACTCGGTTAATAGTGAAAAGTGTACTAAAATTATATGATTGATTTTGAGTTTTAATACACAGAGGCGAAGCTGCGCTCTAAAACGACCAAAAAACGGCGAGAACATGACCAAAACGCAGCTCTTTCAAGTGAAAGAAAAAAAGAAAAAAGCCTCGAATTAGCAAAAACTTGGCTACGTGTAGGATTCGAATCTGCGACCTTGGAATTTTGTCTCAAATACTAAACACTCAGCCACGGATGCTTAAATTCCCCAAAAACTAGCCACTAATAACGAAGCGACATATGCTAATAAATTGCCAATTCGATGCCGCAAAAGGGACACCAAATACAAAAAGACACAATTTTGCATGTAACAAAATTGAAAAGAAAAAAGCCAAATTTTGTATAAATTATGCATTTGAAAAAAAATTTCGAAAAACATTGAGTAGGAAAATTTCTGAAATCTTATCATTGTACTGCTGTTTGAAAAAAAAAAACTTTATCGGGTTCCTTTGATCAATTAAAAAGGCATTAACTGTGTTTACTTGTTACGAATCAAATGTTAAAGCAAATATGACATTATACTGCAATAGCAGCCTATCGTTGAACGTGCCACCAAAAGTAGCACTTTTATTTGCGACTAAAGTTTGAAAAACAGAATGTTCGTATTAATACACTCGCGATTATATATGTATTTTGCTAATTATTGTCAATATTTTTTTCAAGTAAGTCCTCTTCTTTTGTATACCTGTTAACAACAAAAAATGTAACGCACAGGCGAAGCAAAGCTTCGCATCACTTGCGATACAAGGAAAGCACAGAATTGAAAGCGAATAGAAAATGAAACGGAAATAAAAGCCGAAAAAATATTTCGAAACATTTCAAAAAAAGTCAAGAAACACAACAAACAGCATTAAATAAGTCAAACCGCTTAGTTTTTAACGAGCGTCCACAAAGCCACAACGCGTTCATTGAGCCAAAAACATCCGCCCTTTGATCCGAAAACAAAAAATGCCACAAGAAAATGTTGACAAGAAAAATGTTGAGATAGTAAGTTTTAAAACATTGAACTAACTGATTTTTAAATCAATCATTTTTTGACCTCGAACCGAAAAAAATCAAGGTAACTGAGGTGATAAAACATAACCCGAAAACACTTAAGCCGAATGAAATTTTCAAGTAAAACAAAAAAAAAACAAAATATATGATGTCAGGGCTATTAGTTTTATAAAATATAGGAATACATCAAAAAGACTTGCATCTACGACGGCAACTGTTTAGCGAAAAAATCTACAATGTGGCAACTAAGCCGACACAACATAAGCAGACAAACAAAAATCCGACAATTCAACTTTTCCCGGAAAACTTTTTAAAACTTCTTGCATACAGGAAAAAAGGTTCGGCTGGGACACGAACTCCAGACCTTACAGCACATAGACAACCGCGTGACCTCTAGACCATATAGGAAGCAGTCTCGAAGTGGCCCAGGTTTTCTAATAAAGTTACAATTTGAACTTCTCATGTAAGAAGTTGTTGACGGGAAAAAGTCTAGTTCCTAATAACAAGAATCTTGCTTTCGATGGTGCAACTGACTTTGATAAAAATTTGATATAAACTCTTTCATATCTATACAATTGAAAAAATAAGATCGTTATCCTTTCTTTCTTTCGTAATTGGCAGGGAGATGAGTGGACGATTAAAGATCCACTGGTGATGTTTTCGATCATCTCTTGTAATGACTGTACACTCACATATAACTGCGTCGACTTGAGGTTTCTTCTCATATACAGCGAGGTCCTTGTACTTGCAGAAACAGACCACTTCATTCTTGCTGCAGTAGTGTAGACACTGCTCCTCCCAAATCTGAACAGCCTCTTTGGCACATTCCTCTCGCAACTGCAAGGAATCATTCGAAAAAGCATTGTCGCTGCCCTAAGAAAAAAACGTCAATCAGAGAGAAAACCAAAGAGTTAGTTCGAACAAAAGAAGATAAAAACAGAACAAAAAGAGAAGGTTATTTGACACGAAAAAGAAACCAAGACGAAAAAAAAACTATTTCGTGAACAAAAACGCTCGTAAATACCTGTTACTCTGTTTGACAGACTGAAATTGCGGATAGAAAAATAACGAAGAGACAATTTAAAATGGTTTAGGAACTCAAGCTTCACGAGAAAAATCAAAACACGAGCTACAAAAATACCACAAAAAACCACACGAGCTACAATTTCGAAATTAGAAACAACGTAGATTTTTTTCGCACATTGTATAACTGCACTTATAAAGCTTCCAAAAATCAAAGAATAGAATTGGCACAAAATTGGAGCAGAAAAGGAAAGAAAAAATTAACATATATCAAATGAGATTCCGTTCTGATACTAAATTAGAATTTCGCTAAGCAAATTATACAGATTTAATCGTTTTAAAAAATAGCAACTGAGATCTTTTCAAATTGATTTTGGAAGTAGTTCCATTTACAACTAATTGAGACAACCATAACCAACAGACAAAATCCAAACGAAGCGGGCTTCCAGTGGCGGATCCCAATCTTGACTTGCCAGTACGCAAACTGCATCAAGCCACCCCTCCCAGGGATCGGTTAAGGACGCCAAGTCTGCGTTTTCGGTTACAGAGCGTCTGAAGCCAACGTTTGACTCATTGACAATGATGAGCTGGTTAATATTGTCTTCGAGTGATTAGTAAAAAAAGTTTAAGGACAGTTTCTAGTTTAAGAAGGGAGTCTTTCAGTGCTCAGAAATGTGGAACTTACCACTAACTTACAATGGGGCCGCAACAGCGCTCGAAAGACATTCTGATCATACTAGTGTACTTAGACTCTCAAGTATAATGAGTACTGATAGACCGCATCGCAGACCGGGCAGTCCCGAATAAGAAGTGAAAAAACTTTTAAAAAAGAAGAAATTGTAGTTTAAGTATCTTGCTAATTAGGTATCAAAACCTAATAAACCTAATTAGCAAGATACTTAAAGTTTTGCTTTGATTATATTACCTTAATTTGATGCTTATAATGATGTTTAGGAGCATATAATTAGGGCCTTTGGCCTGTTTATGCTCCTAGGCAGGCTGTAATCATTGGAAAATACTGATTTAAATCAATGATATAGTACAATGTGATTAAATTTAATGCCTACTGAAATAAAAATAAATCCAAACCAAGCCACTCCCTCTGCTTGTCCTTATGCTACTACTCTGCTGCATAACAAATCCTAAACACGGTCCTTACAAATGTTCACACTAAGCTCAAATTGCACAAATGTGACTGAATAAGTTTTACATGTGGTAGCCTAAAATTTTGTGCGAACATCGTTAGTTTCATCGCCCTTCATAAAGTACAAACGCATCACCTTCTCAAGAATCAAAACCCCTGGTGGCGTCCCTCATGCTTGAAGGACCGAATGCTTTAATTTAATTTTAGCTTACTTTCAGCCAATCAGAATTGAGTATTCAAAATCTCAAAGTAAATCGCAAAAATCTCAAAGTAGGAAAATAAATCCAGGCCATTAGTGTTAATACTGACAGCTTAGACAATTAGCAGATGAGTTTTCAAGAATGAAAAACTCTTATGAACTTGAACTCGTAAATCTTGATGTTTATCTAAATAGTATTACGGTTGCAACCCGCAGTTTGTAATATTTTTGATTATTTTTCACTTATTTTATACATTTTCTGTTAATATCGACTTCGATTTTGTGAGAAAGGCATTTAGCCGATCGGAACACTAAGCAATTTTGATTGGTTGAAATTTTTCAAGCATTCGGTCCCTCAACCAAAACCCCTTAGACTCCAACTCACTCTGCTCCCACGCAGAACAAACACTTACTGCAACAATTACCCAGATCCAGGCCATTTTCAAACTACCTGTTAATGCTTGTTAATCTAGTTCTCTACTGTTGATTCAAAAATGACTTCTTATGTAAAAGTAAGCCCACGCATTATTATTATTATTATTGTAGCTTTACAACCAAAGGTTGAGGGGCGGTTGGCCCGTTAAGAGTCGGAGTCCTTAATGAAGTATGGGATCCAGTCAGGAGGACGTTATGTCAAGTCTGGGATGGGCGTTGACAGGAGGCAGTCTGCAGTTAGAATCTCTGCATAAGAGGCAGCAACATCCAATTCTCCAGCTGCATGGAATATCAACATCGTACCGATCGTTAAAGATTTCGAGCAGTCGTCGCTTTAGCCCAAGGGGGTTTAAGCTGTCTATCGATTCTGGAAGTAGATTTATTAACCTTGGCACGTGATCTAAAAGTTATTTCGCTGGACCTCAAGACGGATAGAAGGTAGTTAAAATAACAAGCGATCACTTGACCTGGTTGTGCGGTGGATATGAAGTTTAACAAACTCATGCCAGTTGAAGTCATATTTGCCGGACATTATTCTAGATAGGAGCAGGACGTCTGCAATTGAAGGTGTAAGGAGACCGGTAAAATATTCAGGCGGGTGAGTCTGTCTGCATAGGATAGGTCTTGGTAGCCCAAGATCCACTTGGTGCATCGGCGCTGAACACGCTCGATAGTAACCATGTCACCTTTCGATGCGTACTAAGCAGCTGAAGAAGAGAATATCGGAACAGCAAGTGATTTATACAAGTTGAGACGCTGGGTAGGCGGAAGTGAATGTGCAGTGTTTCGTTTGATGAGGAAGAAGCACTTGTTAGCTTTGTTGCACTTCGCGGAAACATGGAGCTTCCATGAGAGGCTATCGGACACAAAGACGCCAAGATATCGGATTGAGGATGCCAATGACAGCTCGTGATCACCCAATGTAATACGAGGTAGATTTGGTTTCTGAAATCCCAACAGCTTGCATTTGCCGATATTAAACGGAAGCCCGTTTTTCTCGGACCAAACGAAGAGGGTGGTAGCATCGTCGGGCAACGAGCTTTCATTACCAGCAGGAGTTGTTGATAGGAGCTTCGTGCCGTCTGCGAATGAGAACACGGATGATTTAGTCCCGTGAGTCAGGTCGAGGCGGTAACTAAGAAACAATAAAGGACCAAGAATGGATCCTTGCGGTACTCTACTGGAAATCCACCGCGCACTTGAGCTGCAAGAGCCAATCGTGACGTATTGCTGCCTATCAATGAGTTTTTGCAGTAACAGTTGGTGATTGATCTTGTCAAATGCCTTGCTTAAGTCTAGATAAGGTGAACAAACGGAATTCTAAGACACCTCTAATTAGATTCTTTTGAAACGACAACCAAAAATGGGAAGCAAAAAGAAACTAAAAGACTATTCATGACAAAAGCCTGTTTTGAATACTAGCCATGATCACCAGTCGCTCAGGGTCAAACAACCTTAAGTATCAATGTTCCTACCAGTCTAAGATACTACGCCATCTGCAAACAATACCCCAAAGACACCAGTGAAAGGCTTTATGAAAATACTACAACACAAATAACGCCAACGCTGGCTTTGTTCAACAGTACTTATGACTCCTTAAATAAATGCTCACTCTCTCTATTGGGCCTCAATGACACTTGCAGACTGAGCTATTGGCCATAAGACATGAATAGATTCATATTGAGCTGAGGGTGAAATACCATTGATTTTGCACAGATCATTCAAAACACTTATCACTAAAACAAATCAGGGTACCGTATAGCATTCGATACGAACTGAATATAGTGCTTTCCTCACACAGTCCTAGATATTTTAAGGACACGTACACTTTCAAGATCGCACTGGTGTGCGTGCGATATTCATAGGTCTGTAGGAAAAAAACACCATTTAACCATTTAATTGCTTCATTCCTGCTGTGTTTCATGATGTAACTTAACTTGAAACATTAATTCCATGTACTGATTATGATGGTAAAAGAGTAGCTCATACCGAAAAAATATATATATGGTATGTTAAGGCCAATGCTGCCATGGGAAGGTTTTGGCGTGTTGCCCCGAGTACCAGATCCCAGATGAAATTTTAGCTTATAAGTATAGATAAATCAAGCACAGCTTCGAAGAATACTGTCTCAATCTCCTCTTCAAAACCCCGCCAATCTTTCCAGAGAAACTATAAGTCGGTCTTTGGAGAAAAGGGTATGTAGTCAATTAGCGATAGCTCGTTATGGGTAGGGAATCAAGTCCTTGGGTCAGCGCTAGGTAAAGTAGAAAGGTTTAAAACACTTTTGCATCAGATATTAAAAAATCTTTGTTTGCATTTCATTATTAAAAGACAAAGAAAAACTTGGTGAGATCGCGGTTGCTGAGAAAATGACCAAAGTTCGCATTCCAGAAGGACGATTGCGAATTGATATTCCCCATTCAATTCGGCTAAAAAACAAGGATTTCCATCTTTGACAGGGCCAAAGCCATATTCTTGGTCTGATAGCAACAGAATTTTACTTGCTTGGATATTATATTTCTTTTTTAAAAAAATTGAGCAAAATTAACTTTAAAAATGTCATATTTTATGCAGTTCTGGAAAACCTTGCTTTTTCAGGTCAATAAAAAATTAAAACTGAAGGATAAGCAAAAATCATTCCTTTTATCTTTGGATCAAAACTGGGTTTTCCTGGATAATTTGTGCATTTTTTTCAAGCGTAAAGAAAATTCAATTTTGGAAAAGACTCAATGTAAATTATTAGCAGAAATGTGAAATTTGTTCAAAGGCGTTAGTTTGTAAGATTTCAATCGTTTATATTTTGAAAAAAAAAAAATAAGCAAAATTCTTGATGATGCGTTTTCAATGTCGCCCAGTATATATAGAGTCTGAACTACACTAGTGGACAAAATTAAACCCAAATTTACTGTTAAATGTCTCAATGTCCATTTTGGAAACCAATACCTTCAAATTTCAGTAAAAAGTTATCATAGAACAAGAGCAAATCATCAGAGCTACCATCTTTGAGACTATCAAAATTTTTGTTCTCAAAAACTCACCCATGTATATTGAAATAATCAGTGTGAAACTTTCATTGAACTCGGCAGCTTCTTAGTTTTTCACGCCTTAGACCATGTGTTGCCCAAAAAGGACATTGGAAAGAGACATTTTAACGAGAAAAAAAACCAAATATGCATTTAATTTTGTCCATAAATGTACCTTCATCGACTCTTAAAAAAACGAATACTCTTTCTCCGAAAAATACTACTTATAATAATACTTATAAAATCATATCTAGACTGATTGACGGGGTTTTACAGAGGATATTGAGTTAGCTTTCTTCGAAGCTGAGCCCTCTTCCTCTGTCACCACTGGCGACAACTTTTTCCGGATCTGATACTCAATGCGAAATTAATAAACTCGGCTAAGCATCTTTGCTTCGATCATTGTCATTTAATCAATTTAATTTATGAACATAAATTTATATAGCATAGTTTACCCGTGGTAACTCAATATTCTTTTCGTATGTGATTTTCTGCAAAAACTCTTTGGAGTTAGGAGCCTGTTTTGGATTCGGAGATGCCCACTTCAGGTAGTTCAAGTCTCGCACATGCTCAATGGCTGATCTTTCAAACGTAATCACCTGTACACAATAAAAGCAACTAGTAAAACATTTAATGCAGCAAGAAATAAACGTTTCATTTAAATAATTATGACAATCGATTATTGCATTCTGGATTGGATTCTGGGTATTTAAATGGCAGCGGGGATATAGGGATTTGATAAAGCAGGATTCTGTGCGCGCTTTAATTATTGGGCGTCTATCTATTTAGATCAATGATCATATTTAATTTCTCATTCGGTCCTTAATCCTGGTCATTTTGTGTCATATGTTAGATCCTGATAGTTTCATGCCTTAAAGTCCTCCTCTTTTCAATTTTCTAAAAGTCAGGCTCTTTATTTATGTGAACAGCTTTGATGGCATTGAAAACTCATAAAGCTTCAGATCATAGCAAACAGACAGTCGGAAAGAGTCAATGAACGCAAGTAAACAGAAAAATACTGACTATAATATTTTTTCAAAACATCTCAACTTTCGAATTTCAAAGACAAAAATAAATCGTCTTAAAGCTCTTTCAATTTCTAGAACAATTTATGAATACCCTTTTTTGAAAAAATGAACCAATTTTGAGAAAATTGAATCAATAGGTAAAATGTTATTCCGCTGGGCAATCTGAAAACTAAAATCCACTTTCGAAACTAGAAGTCGATCACGTTTTTTGCGAACTTTACACTTTTGATGTTCGATCGTGGAGTTTGCCTGCCTTCCTTGTAACAATAGAAATTAAAGAATTTAAAAAAATCAAAAGTCAAGCCGCGGAAAATCAAACTTGAGCCCGAACAAAATTAAAGTCTTTTCCTGAAAAAAAAAATAATCATCACGACCTATATCAGAGTCTTCACTACGTTGACTGACTCTTAAAAAACAAAATGACAATATATAACGCTTGCTATTCGCAAAGGTAAACAGGTAAACAGAAATATCCCATTCGCCAACCTTGAAAAAATGTTTGTGGCGATCAGTTGGTCTCCCAAGCAAGAACGTATTTATAAAATTTTCCAGCAGCTTCGTTATGAAATCCAGAAGATCAGATTTTCCTGGCGTAGATGAGCCAGAAAAGAAATAGGAATAAAGTTTCAAGCTCTCGTCTTCAGTTTTCGCGCTCTTTTTCAATCGTTCTGTTTTGATAACTTTTTCGAAGTCGAAACCAAGAAGCTCAGATTGTATCATCAAAGAGTAGTCTTCAGACTCGGTCTCTTCAATCGGCTTTTTCTGTCGCTGCAAGCCGAGGTTTTTCAGCACGAACTCGGTGGTGTAGAAGACTGCTTTCACAATGGGCACAGGAATGAAATGCTGCCCACAAAGTTTTCCAATTATCTGAAGCGACGACACATTGCTTAAAACGCTGACCAGAGCAAACAGTTCAAAACCAGCTACCAAACTCAAAACCAAAAAATAATTATGAGCTCGATTAAATTTGATACTTTTACTGAGATAATTGAACACCTTTTCTGCTTGACCTTTTTGATGAAACTAATCCAATTTCGGAAAATTCCGATTCATAAGGGAACTTTTTACACCGCGGTGAAAACTTAAAATCCATTTTTGAAAAAAAGGCGCGTACAATTTTAGCGCCATTTGCAATTGGAGAGTTTTATTTTCCTTCAACTAGGCAAATAAATTTCCAGGAAAAAGCAAAATATACACGACCTATAAAATTGTCTTCACCTCGTTCAGTGACATTTGAAAAGCACTATGCTATATTATGAACGTCTAAGATGAAAAATTTGACACATAGCTAAAATCCACTAAATGACAATTGGGTGGGAACAATCAATTATTTGGTTTCAGCAACAATGAAGCCATTAAAACGGGCGAAAGTTTTCAAACATAGCCAACTAAAGTTGGAAAAGAGTAACGAACGCTGGGAAACAAAAAAAAACCGACTGGTTTTTTTTTCAGAAATCTTCAACTTTTGAATTTCGAAGAAAAAATAGATTACCTTAAGGCTGTTTGAATTTGTAGAACAGTTTATGATAGGCACTTTTTGTTATGCGCTGTGAAATCTGATAATTAATTTCCATTTTCGAAATTAGAATTCGATCACGTTTTTTGTGACCTTTACAATTTTGCTGTTCGATAGTGGAGTTTGCCTTCATTTTAACAAAAGAAATGCACTGAACTTACAAAGAAATCACAAGTAAAACCGCAAAAATTCAAAATTGAGCGTGAACAAACTTTAAGACTTTTTCCTGGAAAAAAAACAGACAAAAAATCACCAAAACGTATATAAGAGTAGTCACTATGTTCATCACTCTTAATCAAGGTTGTTTATCGTGGTAATTACATCATACACATGCGGGGCGGTGGAATCACTCATACGCGAGGGACCGAATGGGGGAAAATAAAAACCAGTAAATCAGATTTCAGTAATCTAAAATTTGGAAAGTAAACATTTCCAGGGACTGAATATTGATATTGGCCGAATATAAAAACGGCAGAAATATGCAAAATTTTCAAATTGTCACTGACCGCCGCCGAATTAGAACAAATTTTATATTTCAAGGGTTTCGATATGAAAGATGCAACATATTGCTTCATTTAATTCATTTCAACTGAATGACAATTGCTTCGTTGTAAAAATTGACTTTAGGCTAATTTTGTTTTCGTTCCTTCGCTCACGAGTTTTTTCGCGCATTCGGTCCTTCGCGCACGAGAATAGCCCCCATGCGGGGCTTCCTTATACATTTGATTGCAAAGAGAACAAGACTGCTCGTATCAGGGCGAAGCCCTGAATGTTCCGACTGCCTTTTAAGGTTTATGAAGCAGTAGTTACATAAAAAAATTAAATGTACTAAAAAATTTTTTTTTAAAATTATAAAAAATTGAAATTTTTTATGAACTCATCCCCCCACACGCCATGTAAAGTGCAAAAGAATAGATTTCGCTCATTGTAACAAATAAATTATGGCAAATAAGCTTCTTTCAACTAATTCAATTTGGAACGATTTCTAAGAGGGATTAAATCTCCGCTTACGCGTTTCTAGCGCGAAATATATCGCGCGTTAATTGTCCCAAATTGGCCAAAATGCCAATCTTTAAACCAACATAACTTTACGAAAAATGATCACAGGTGAAATACCTTTTAAAATCTAAGCTCAGGACAACAATACCTTTTGAATGATATAAAAAAGTTCCGTCAAAAATGGCTAGTTAAAAAGTCGAAATTTGTCTGAAGAAAAAAAACTCCACCCCAGCACAAATATTCCGTTACTTTCGTATCGATAGTCGGAACAACAATAAAAATGGCGAGCAGCTTAAATTAGCTATACTTACATTGTCTGTTGTGTTGTTTACAAAATGATCGATGACATCCAAGTGGAACTCTCTCACGTAGTTCTCCTCCTGCAGACTCTGAAAACAAATCCAAAAATAGAAAAAATCAGAAACACAATTGATATTTCATCATTTAAGGAGCAACAACAAAAACTATGGATATGCGTGCGATCTAGATAGCAAACAATAGTTGTTCACAACTAAATTTTACACTCGATTGAAACTAAGTCCGATATTCACTACTAGATTCGGATATAGGTTACAAAGTACGATAGTCCGCGATTGTATAGAAGATCTTTGTTAACTTACTTCGAAGTCTAGAACCATCTTTCGCCGCTCTGGTGTTAAATCCCATGCTTGTCCTCGATTTTGGAATTTCTGGTCTATAGCTCCCTTTCTTCTGTCAAATTCCTAAAACCGAAACTATTATGTTCACAATCCGCATTTTAATTTCTCATTTTCTATCACTTCCAATCAAAAAAATTTAGCCATGTTTTATACCCTAGACCTTACAAAAAGATTTAAATAAAACAAATAAGGAAAATTAAGTCGCAAAAAATTAAAAATTCGATCTTTTTTGTTTACTTTTCCGTTCCAAATTATATCAAAGGCACAATTTGCACTTATTTTTACCGGCTATGGGATTCTATTTTATTTTGGGAAACCATGCTTTGAAGCAAACCATCAAATTTATGTAATATATATAATTCGCTTTTTGTTAACCACTAACACGAGCGTTACGTGATACCACTAACATGAGCGTCCAATTTGATTCGAAGACCACTGAATTACACCACTCAATTATTCTAGAAGTACCCAATATTTAAGATACACGTACTAACTCTTGCACCATTCTTTGTACACATAGCTTCAGAATCAAAACAAACTATGACATTTGAATAAAATAATTCATCGCTCGCGTCGTTAGGCCCATCAATGTCTTAATTGTATAATTCTAAATATAGATACAAAAGATATCTGACATGTTTTTCTACAATGATGCATACCCATTTTTCAAAACAAAAAAATGCAACTGATGATCCGCATGCAGCTCAATTGCTTATGGTAACAAACTTAGTCTCTATTTTGTTTAATGGTATGTAAAGAAAGAAAGAGTTCATTTCTGCATTCTAAGTAATAAATCAAGAAATTAATCTAATTCCAGTTGGCTGAATGATTTCTCTTGATTGTCTTTTTTTCCGAAAACAGTAATTCAATTGATTTGAATTTGACAGAGAAAACGGATATCATGAAAATGGATCGGGCGTGGCATGTTCAACAACACATCAAACATTAAATTAAACGCTCCCAGGGTGACTGGAAGCTGAAATCCTTCGTTTTTGAATATCTGTTCCGACTTTCGATACGAACGTGACGGAATATTTGTGCTTGGGGTGGGTTTTTTTTTCTTCAGACAAATTTCGATTTTTTAACTAGCCATTTTTGGCGGAATTTTTTTAATATCATTCGAAAGCTATTGTTGTCCTGAGCTTAAATTTGAAAAGATATTTTACTTGTGATCATTTTTCGTACGTAAAGCTATGGGGGTTTCAAGATAGGCATTTTGGCCAATTTGGAACAATTAACGCGCGATATATTTCGCGCTATTAACGCGTTGGCGGAGATTTAATCCATCTTAAAAATTGTTCCAAATTTGTTCAAGGAAGCTTGTTTGCCATAATTGATTTGTTACTAGAAATTTATCACTTTGTACTTTATATGGCGCGTGGGGTGATGATTTTCACAAAAAATCTCAAATTTTGTTACCAAATTTTTATCATTTTATTTTCCTTTTTTTTACACTAAACTTTTTCATGTCATTACTGCTTCATAGACCTTAAAAGGCAGTCTGAACATTCAGGACTTGGCCTTGATACTAGCAGTCTTGTTTAGTTTTTGATCAAAGCATTACAAAATAATTGCCTAAAAACGACATAGAAATGTGGCCTTCCATGCAGTATATATTGCCGCACTTAGTAAAATCAAGATTGACAGATGGCTCGTCATTTTGTGATTAAGTGGATATTAAGATAATCATGCAATAACATATTTTCCTAAGGAACCCTGCTTTATCTTACCAGTCTTCTACCCGAAATACACTAATGCGCAAAAACAACTTAAAATCTTACTAACAAGTTTCATTGTATTTTTACGATAGAATTGCATATAACCTTTCATCACAAAAAGTGCGTTCTCGTCCAGCAAACTAAGCATTGGATTGAAAATTTTGTTTGGCTCTACTTTATTTTTTTTTCTAAATATCACTGTTTTGTTTAATTAATCTTCGATTCAGAGCTCTTGTACTGGAAAAACATGCTTAGCTCAATAAAATAGATTTTTTTTTGCAAATTAACAAGCCAAACTAAGATTTTTATTCGCAAATTAGATTTCTTGCCATTGAGAATAGCAGCTCTGTTTCTTACCTGGTACTTGACTAAGTGAAGTATCTTTCTGTTGTAGAAGTGTACAAAACAGTAGTAGTAGATCTTGGTCATCATCTGTTGACTGACCGTCTGCATTGTCTCGGATTTCGAAAAATCAGTCCCACCGGCAATTTTGTTCTAAGTAGAGCATAGATTGATGAAACAGCGAACGTTTTTGATCACAATATGCTTACATTAAGAGATGCAAGGTTTTGCAAAAAAAACTATAGATGAAAATCACATCAACTGAACGCAAACCGTTTATCTTTGACAACTTTTCTTTATAACTCGCCTAATTCGTGAAAACTGGATCAAAAAGTTATTTCGCTCAAAAATAAAAAAAACTAAATGTCAAGCTTAAATTCCCCGCCATTTGCACTTTTTTTGGAGCGTATTTTGCCTTTTATTTATCAAATGGATTGAAAGCGAGGTCCACAAAAAACAAAAAAACTATGTTGAGTGGGAGCAACTTTTGAAGACTTTTACCTAAGAAATAAAGCCAAGCGAATGGAATGATTACATAATTAGGTAACACAAGAGGACATTTATTAAGCCGAAAATTCTATTTAAAACAGAATATTTCCCGTTTGAAAAAAAAAGTTCCTGGTCAGATTCGAGCCCAGTACCTTTGCCGCCCCAAGCGTACTCGTCGTTATCTCCAGGCTAAGTTGGCCGGGAAAGCTAGAAAATTTTACACAGAAGCGAAGCTTCACTTCGCAAACACTAGCAAATAAACGATAAAAAGCAGCTCTGTACGGTTCAAAAAGAAAAATTAGAAATAAGCCTCGATTCGAAGCTGCGACCTAGAGATTATGAGTCTCACAACACCGACCACTCAGCCACGAACGCTTAACAGGTAACAAACACTAGCCAAAAATAAAGCAGAGAACAAATGCTATGTCATTTCCAATACTCTAATGAAATTTCCAAATAAGTGAACACGTTTAATGAACGTTTTATTAGCGAGTTAGCTTAGGAAAAAAAAGTTTCCTAATAGGACACTACACTGATTGCCAGTGTAATCAGCAGCAGCGAGCAAGAAAAAAAGTAAACTTTTGGCCGGAAAAAGATTTTTTTAAACGTCGTTGGAAGAAAAAAAGTAAGTACAAAAACATTCATATTTTATCCTATAAACCCATAAACCAACACACTTGCACGTTTTCTATTTATATTTTCTGACACTCACGCAGTTTTTACCTCAAAATCCTGAAAAGCGTTTCATAATCACAGGATTTCATAAACGGAAATGGCTGAAGTTATATGGGTATTACTGAAAACCATTTTTGAGCTGCGCCATCTAATGTTGTTTGTATTAACGCTGTGCGTCTATGTATCCAATTTTGATGGAGTGGCGTATTAATTGGTTCAGGTCCTATGTTTAAAATTAAATTTGCTGTTACTGCATTTAGATAATCTATGGGTAATACTGAAAACCATTTTTGAGCTGCGCCATCTAATGTTGTTTGTATTAACGCTGTGCGTATATGTATCCAATTTTGATGGAGTGGCGTATTAATTGGTTCAGGTCCTATGTTTAAAATTAAATTTGCTGTTACTGCATTTAGATAATCTTCTACAGAATATTCAGGGTCTGTTTCTGTGAATACCATCTGTGGTTTATTGGATGTTATTGAGCATTTATTGGATGTTATTGAGGCAGCCCGAAAATTTCAGGCAGTTATATATATATATATATATATATATATATATATATATATATATATATATATATAACTGCCTGAAATTTTCGGGCAAATTAACGCAATATTATCTGTTTTGCCTGCTTATTAAACTGAATTAAGAGCGAAAAAAGTACAAGTTAAAAAACTTTTCACTTTTATTTCACTCCCTGATTATCAGGTCAATGATTATAATATACCGTTACTGGCTATTATCGATTGTTTGTTGAGTAATATTTAGTGTTCTAGAGCGATAAAGTATGTATGTTGGATGTGCGGTCGAGACTTATGAATGTTGAACTCAGGGATGCGCTTTCAGATGTCGTCTCAACCTTCGCTAGAGTCTGATATTTAGATTAGAATAAAAGGTGAGTATTATTTCTGAATTATAACTATTCTTTTCTCGAGCTACTGGTATTTATCGCTCTCACTCTCTTCTACTCATCTTATGATCAGATTATTGTTTACTTTTAAGAAATATACTTAAGCACTTTGTCATTGACATAATATAAGTTTACAATTTGATCTATTAAGCGTCTAATTCGCTCCAATTAAGGTAATTTAGCAAGAGTAAGTACCATAGGTGTTTAGCGCTATGTTACATAACTACACTTAATGATTCTTCCCTGGCGGCTATAATTGTGGGAAGGCACAAATAATTAGGTGAATAAATCAATAAGTTACCAGGACACCGAAATGAATTTAATGCATTTATTAAATTAAATTACTGCTGTTCATTAAATGGATTTACGGCTTTCAAATCATTAATGCTTTGAAAGTTTTCTTAAATTTTAAGAGTTGGTAGCACCAGCACATTATAAATTTATGGTCATTAAGATATATAGGCGACACTCGCAGTTAACTGGAACTCAAATATATGCAACTGGTTGTCCCAGAATTTGAAATATATTTCGACTCTCTTATTCAAGAGAAGCAAGGTAAACAATTTATGAAAGCCACTTCGTCAGTCATAGAGATGATATATGAGGGTGAAATCAATGAATGCCAGTAACTCTTCAATTTGGCTCAAGCTCTCCTCTTTGTTTTCATCTTTGTCAAATGACGAATCCCGCCTTTTGTTTATGTTAACCATGGATGAGCAGTATGATGACCAGAAACGACGCAGTGCGATTTTACCAAACGTTGGGACCAGCAACAAGAGCGAACGTACCAGCTAGTTTGGGAGCGTTACGAAACCACTTCTGTAATCCTCAATTGCAAGAGGTACATGTGCAAAAGCTGGAACAGCTCCAATTTGATCCCAAGAAGGACTCACCAGAAAATTACCTAGTTAGTCTCACAAAAGTCGCCCAAAGAGCCTATCCGACACCTGATTTACCAGCCGTTGCACCTGAAGACGGCACACTAGAGGGCACAGCGGCATTAGCGGAAACCCAGCGTTTCCACAGAGACGGCACAAAGACAAGAGCGTATAGATACGATTACTGACCATAGAAACGAGCAAATCAAACGACTGTTCGTACAAGGAATACCGGGATGACTTCGCTCCAAAATGATGGAACAGCCCCCAGCAACTACGGTACAAGACTTATGCAACTCGGCCCGCAAGCAAATGACTATTATCGAAATATCCCGTAACGAAGATTAACCCGAGGATGGATTCAATGAACTTAGTGAGACTATTTCCCAAAATTTGATTAGCGCGCTGAGAAAGCTGACCACGACTCAAAAACAGATGGAGAAACAGCTTCACGAAGCACGCAGCGAATTGTCAGATACCAGGAAGCAAATGACCCAACATCCACCTCGAGGGGGAATTAATGAGAACACACATCTATCCCCACAGTCGAACAACCCGGCAGGCAATGGCGCAAATAACTCATTCCAGAGAGAACAGAACCGGGAGAACTGCTCGCGAAACCAAGGAAACGCCATGCAAAATCAAGGAAACGCTATGCAAAATCAAGGAAATTGGCTAGGGCAACAACAACAAGGAAACTGGGCTGGACAGAGAAGAGGTAGATGAGGCAAAAGGAAAAACAATTGGCAACAGAAATAATAGAGGCTTTGGAAACCAAGGGATTCCACAACCCAACCCGAACTTAAACCAACAAGCCCTAGGATAACAGAACCAGCAACTTATGCCACAGTGCTTCTCCACTCCACAAGAGACCCCGTTCCAACAGAATCAGGGTTAACAGTTTGCACAGCGAAATCACCAACAACAAGCTATGGTTATACAACCTCAGCAAAATGCCTCTTCCAACCAACAATCTGCACAAAATATGATGCAGCAAGTAAACACCCAAAATCCTAATACCCCATACACCCCAACGGTCCGATCTGGACACAAATTTTGTGATGTGCGGGAATTTCGGTCATATGCAATCCAGTTTTGGTACCGACAAAAACCACAAGGGCAGCAACAGCAAAATTTCCCTTTTCAGACCGATCAAAAAAAACTAATCAAGCCACTAAGTCAAATCATCTAAATATCAAAAATCACGTAAATCACGATCGCTAACCAAAGTACCGGACCATGAAATCCTCAACTTGTTGGCTGTAACACCAGTCGAAAGATCGGTGCTAACTTATTCAAGAATTTGATTTGCCCCAAGTCTCCAACGGAGAGCACTTGTTGACACAGGCGCATGTGCTAACGTCATACCAAAAAGCATCTTCGAGGAACTCAAGAATGAAAAAACGCTCTTTAGTCCAATGCAAGCATCAGATTCGAAACTAAAAAGAGTGCGAATGGCAGGCGGACAAATCGTCTCCATCGAAACTGAAATTACAGTTGAATTCCGGATGGCAAACATGAGCTTCACAGAAAAATTCCTAGTATTTAACGCTGCGAGCTCAATTATACTCGGAAACCCGTTCTTTAAAGGGGACGACATTCAAACTTGCCCAAAATATAACCTAAAATTCCCGGACATGACCCTTCAGATTAACGAAATTAAACCCCTAAACGAGCCAAGACGCATTAACCCCTGGAAGTCGATCACGTTTTCATGACCTTTACACTATTGCTGTTCGATAGTGGAGTTTGCCTTTCTTTTAACAATGGAAATACACTGAACTTAAAAAAAATACAAGTCAAACCGCGAAAAATCAAAAGTGAGCGTGAACAAATATTCCCGAAAAAAAATCATCAAGACTTATATGAGAGTACTCACTACATTCATTACTCTTAATTAAACTCTCACACATACGCTTATTAGTTGTTAACCGACAAAAATGAATGCACTTCTGAATCGCCGTATAGAATTTAGCTGTACGCAGAGTAAAATTTAACAAAATATTGCCACTTTGTTTGGAAATGCGGAAATTGTGACTTAGTTTGGATAATTTTCTTATGAGATAACAATTGCATGAAACGATCAAAAAGAACTATCACAGAAAAAGCAAAGCGGAAATTCGATAGGCTTGACACCAAAAAATATGCTAAAAAACGGAAAAATTAAAAGAGTAAAAAACAGAAACATATTTGCTACCATCAAAAACCTTCCAACTTTTCAAGATTAGCTACAACCCAAACAAGCTCTTCAACATTTTAAACCAAAAAAATCATTTGACAAATTCAATTCAGCCGAAAGAATCATTCGCAAAAAAACTGATTTGTTCCCCCAAAATTTTGTACTCAAAAACAATTTCACATACTTGAGGACTCGAAATTCAAGTCCTTACTTTTTGTGGCTGAGATAAAAATGAAAAAAAAAGTCGTCCCAAACATATGCATCACCTATACGCCAGGAGCGGCAAAACACAAACAAGGTGACGAAAAAAAATCTTTTAACAAAGAGTCGATGCGGAGCTTCAAATCACTTGCGATACAACACAAACAATTAAAAAATGCAAAAAAAATCGATTTCAAGATGTGAAAACTAAGCCGACAGAAGATAAGCAAACGTAAAGCAAAATTAAAAATTCCAGGAGTAAATCAAAACACTGCAATCAAAATTTAAAAAAATTACGAACAGCAAAAAAAAACGATTTTAAGCTGAGGCAACTAAGCTGACAAAACATAAGAGGACATTTATTAAGCCGAAAAGTTCATTAGAACAGAACGTTTCCCGTTTGAAAAAGATTCGAGCCCAGTACCTTTGCCATCCCAAACGTATTCACCGCTACCTCCAGGCTAAGAAATTTGTCGTGTAGTCGCAAATGTTTGCGAAGGGAAGCTTCGCCTGTGTCAAAAAAGCAGCTCTATTAAGTGCAATAATGAAAATTAGAAATAAGCCTCAAATTAGTGAAGATTAGGCTACCTCTGAGATTCGAACCAGCAACCTATAGATTAAGAGTCTCACACACTAACCTCTCAGCCACGGAAGCTCAAAAGGCACCAAACACTAGCCACAAAAATCAGAGAACAGATGCTATGCAATTTCCAACTTTACAGTGAAATTTCCAAATAAGTGAACACTTTTGTGAACAATTCTAGTTTGCGAGTTAGGTTAGAAAAAAGAGGGTTCGTAATAGTACACTAAACTGATCGCAAGTGTAAATACATTACGAAACAAGGTGCAACTAGATTTGAGTCCAGAAGTCCTGTGAACAAAGTTATTCAGGGGGAAAAGTCTAGTTGTACTGATGTTTGAAACAAATAGCTTTTGCTATTCATTTGATGAAATAAAATGTACCAACTGTGTTAATTTGTTATTAATCGAATGTCCAGGCACATGCTATGAAGCTGCCAAAGCAGCCTGCTTCAAAAGTGCCACCAAAAGTAGAACTTAACTTAGCGATTTAGGTTGAAAAAATGCCTTGTAGTAATACACATCTTGCTTGTGTAAACAAGACGATAGAATACCAGACGACCTAACCAAGCAAAAATTCACTTCGTTCATTGACACTTGTTTATCTGATCGTTCATCAGTTTAATCAACTAATCACTACCTTTGTACTGATCTGCACACAATAAGGATATAGGACATTGAGCTTGCTCTTCAGATCACTATCGTAAAGCAACATGGTCAGATGGAATTTCTGTACAAAGCTGACTAGATGCTGCAGCACTTCAGGTTCGCCTGTTCGCATACTGCAGATTTTCAACATCAGTTTAACACTGCGCAAGTACATGGTCAACTTTTTGTCCGCTAGGAGGTCACGTTTGGCCTCATCTTCTGTGGCAGGTCTACCTTTAAATCATTACTTCAAACAATCAAAGTCTAGGTACGTGATGATTAGGCTTTAAGTTAAAGGATTTCTCATATTTGTCAATATCCACTTCTGCCAATTTTATCATTTTACATCCCAGTGTTTCATACTTCCATTTCCACGTCTTTCATTATTTAAAACAGCTAACTTACTTGGATCTCTATTAAGGGCAACAGGAAGCTTTCCACAACCAGCTCCGAGTCTAAAATAATTTTCAGTTGAAAATGTAGACAAAAAATCGAAGCCATCACGCTAAAATAACTTTGCCAATTTAACAAAGATTAAGGCAGGCTTTTCCAGACTAAAACTATCGTAGATCAACTTAACCTTCACTAGCAAGCTCGCCTCCAATAATCAATTGGCTCCCAAAAAATTAGTTGATGCTCTGATCAAGCTATCCAAGCAAAGAAACTTTGAACAATTTCAAGCTAGGCCATATTATCGTAAATTGGTTTGAAAAAATTTGTTTCATAGAACAAATAGGTTCCCAAAAAATTGAAGTTTTCTTAGCAAGCTATGAAAATTTGTGAAATATTTCAAGTTGTTTGATAGAGCGAATCAAAGTTTGCAAAAAAGTAAAGTTTCTTTAGGCAAGCTATTAAAGCAAGAAAAAATTCCCGTTGTTTCATAGAGCGAATCAGTTGGCAAAAAATTAAGTTTTTCTTGTAAGCTAACTGGTTCGGAAAAGGCTCAAGATCTTGTTCGCAAGCTATTTAAAACATTTCAACTTTTAAACATTTCCAAGTTTTTGTATAGACTGATTTAATTCAAAAAAAGTATAAGTTTTTCGAAGCAAAGTATTAAGCTATGATGCTTTGAATTATTTCCAGTTATTTCATAGACTGAAAAAGTTCGCGAAAAATTTAACTTTTTCTAATCAAGCTTTTTCTAATCAAGCTGAAATGAAATTTTGTACAAAATTAGGCAGGTACTGTCTAGCCTTGAAGTTAGATCGAGTTGATCTCCTGCTGGTTGCTCTGAATGATTCTTAAACGTTACGCTTGATAGCCTTTTAAATATTGTCTCCTAAAATTTCTTAAACATTGCGTCCATTGCGCATTCGGAGTTACATTTAATATATAAGACTTTATGAAAAATTTAGAGCATAACAAATAAACCAATATAAAATTACCTTTCAAAACCCACACCACATAGCTTGAAGATCTTTTCGATGCTATCGCTATCCAAAATGGACCTTAAATAACAAAAAAAAACACTGTCAACAGAACAATAGTAAGACTATTGCAAAAAAAATAATAATCTCGAAAAATTAGCTCACGGGTCAAGGGAGCAAATTTTTGCGAGTAGTTCAAACACGCAGTAGGCGTCTCCCTGGGACCACACGTCTGTTCCCATGTGAGGGTCGATATTGGGACTCCTCAAGAGCTAAACCAATCAATCAGTAAGTCACGCTGATCACATTTTTGCCGTTTTCTAAGTTCACCGTCAATTTCATCTTATGAAATTTCATTGCTCAGCTGCACTATTTTTATACACAAACAACACTGAATGCCATCAACATCATTAGAATTTTAGAGGAATTCAGATAACCACTTACACTGATCAGCAAGTTTTTCCAAAAGGTTACGTCATTTTTGAACTGCTCAAACACATCTTTGTCTTTCTGCGTGTGGACTGGTTCTTCCAAATACGCCGAAAAGCGCCTTTCTTCTTCACTCTGTATTGAAGATCGAGCAGATGGCTTCTTCGGTTTGAGCGACGCAACTATGTGGTTGTATTTAAACGACTTGTACTTCAAACTTCGTCCAAGGAGAACATTCATTATATGTACGAAACTGAGAAGAATTGAGCTATGTTTTCTAAAAAAAAAGAAACAACATTTTAAAGCATACATGATAGTGGGGCTGGGGTTGAGTAGCTTCGACTAATACTTACTTTCAAAGAAAAAATTAAGTTATTCGTCAAAAAATTGTGTTTTGGTAAATCAAAAACATGCAAGAGTTCCTACATTAAAACAATCGATCAATAACGTACTACAATATACAGTCCCTGTGTGACAAAAGCATTGAATTCGAAACATCAACGAAAAGATTTTCAACATGTGTTGTTTTCTTTTTGAAAACAGATAACGAACTGGCTTTCTTCGATGACTCGTATTCATAGATTTGTCGCGTCCCTTTTTAATAGGCTGCGTTCAGAATTATGTCGCCTATTTTTACCATTAACGTGCATCTAAGATGTAACAGTTCATGCATTGAATCACGCGTAAGTTTTATTGGGAGTGAAAAAAGACAGATATGCAATGTAACAAACACCATGCTGAATTATTCAACAACAAAAAACTCACCATCTTTTCTAATTCCTATGAAAAATATTCGCTTAAAACAATTTAATATCAAAATTAGCTTATTTATTTTGTCACATAAATGAGAAACTTACTCGAACATTTGCTGTTTTTCTAAGAGATGAAGAATCTGGTCATATAGATTTTCACTCAGGAATTCAGTGACGAAAAATTTGTTGATCAAATTAGAACGGATGGCAATAAGTGCTAATTCGGTTGTCTTTTTAAACTCATCTTCTGTCATACTGGTACTTTCGGCATCGAAAAATTTTTTCAAGCTTCCTATTAGCATCTCCTGAAACAAATATAGTGTTCAGCCATCGCAGCGCCAAGTTCAGCTGAATGTTGTAAAAAACAAACGTTTACCTCTTTCAACATAACGTAAAACCATTGGCCCATCACCGTCTAAATTATAATAACTATCAACCGATTATCAGACAATTTGTTTCGTGGAGAAAAAATAAATTTCAGAACCTACTGGTATATCGAAGTTCGTTGATTTTTCATTGAAACGATAACTTGTATTCCCGTAAACTTCTTTCGTTCGCTTTTCTGATTTTGAGTCTCCAGTTGGAAAGTAAGTCACAGTCTTTTTGACGAGTTGAAAGTTTACACCATTCAGATATATACTGAAAGGCGTGTTTGCTATGTTTTCCAAACGCTTTAGAGCTAATTGGTCCAGCTCTCTAAAAAAAATTGTTATAATCTGATGTTCTGACATCGATTTACAGAAGCAGCCAAATATTTAAATTTGCGAGATCTTTTGTTAGCGCATTTTTTTTAAATATTCGCTATTTGTATTGTTCTGAAAGCACTGGAAAGACAGAATAAAAGCTTACAAATCTGCGAAAGCTCGGCTAACTGTTGATTGGAGTGTTGCCTGAAACATTTAAGAGCCTGATTTAAGTTCTTACAGTTTATCTTGAAAGATCGTGAAAAAAGTAATACATTCGAGTCTTCGATCCTCATTTTGAAATCAGAATAGTCTGGCATCCGCTGCTCGTAGGCATTCGTTTCCAGATTGATCATTAAATCAGGTGGTTCATCAACAACCAATTTGTAGCTGGTCCCCTGTAAGGAAGCAGAAAGAGTCCCACCAGATGTTATAGAGGGCCCAATCGATCCCCCACCTGTTGTACCTCCTGAGCTACTCCCAGTATTGGAGACCACGGATATTCTTCCGCTCATTGACCTGGAAAACGCTCTTACGTAATTCCAAAAACAAATGCAATCAGAAGGTCAAAAGTAGCATAGTAACCGAGGTTAGAGTCAGGGGTCCTTTCATCGCATATTTTAGTCAAAATCCTAAAAATTCTCCAGATATGGAAGAGTACAGGACCCCTTGAGCACGTGTACCGCATATTTTAGTCAAAATCCTAAAAATTCTCCAGATATGGAAGAGTACAGGACCCCTTGAGCACGTGTACTTATATCCAGTATAGCCTGGATATAAGTAAATAGAAACAGATGGTTGGGAATCAAGCCAACCAGATTGAGAAAACTAGCATCTGCACAGAATAAGCCGGACTTAAGACAAACTCAAAAAGGTTGACCAAACATGAGGCTACGGGTCTATCAGATACTTATATTAGGCTAAGCTTTAGTTCCCTTGGCTCTACAAATAAAAAAATTCTTCGCGAGTAGTTTTACCACTAATAGTACACAGACAGCGTTGGCAACTTGTATTGCTAGGGAGATTCTCTGATTAAGAAAACTACCAGCCCTGAATTCCTCGGTACACGTGCTCAAGTTCTTACAGAGCGTATTCAGGAAAATCTATGCTAATGCCGGCGGCTATGTTGTCAAAAGCTATTAGTTGACAAATGTATCCATAATTGCATTGAATTGAATTAACGTATCAAAAGAGATACAGCAGCAAAATAAATATCAAGGAGTCAGATGAAAGATCTCTGTCAGTCGATTTTTGACAGTCCTTCGGTCGACTACGCAGTTTCTCAGTATGTGATCGAATGTGTCAGCTTTTTTGTCGCAGATTCTGCATTCACATATCGATTCTGGCCTGTAGCAGTTAATGGATGTGCATATTTTATGATGGAGTCCGTTTGAGTAGTACCATGCAATAGCTCTTCTTGCTTCATAGCCTAATTGTTGTGATAAACTTATTAAATAGTTTCATATTAAACGTCTGGAAAATGATATTTTGGGAATGGGACCAAAACTGAACATGGGACCAAAACGGAGAGAAACCGCTAAATGCGAAAATCAGAGCGAGACAGAAGGAAGTGAACACCACGTTGAATGCACCGGACCCAACTGTGTTACTTGGGTAGAAGTTTGGTTACCTAAGAGAATATCGAAAAATTTCCTAAACCGAGAGTTTCTCTGCGGTTTCTGCGCGTCTGCGTAAGTTACAGCTCTAGAAACAAAGATTGCGACTCGATCAATCAATGAAAATGAAGAAGAAAAAACGAGCGACTCGCAAAAGCCAACTTTCGCTGCAATACTGAAAAGTATCAGATCTGAAGAAGACGCGCAGAGAAAAGAAAGCAATGAACCTTATCATCAGCGGAACAAAGCCAACAGACGATGACAAAGACCTAGTTTCCAAGTTATGCACAGAACTGAGTGCAAATTGCAGGTGAAATTGGTCAAAAAGCTGGTGAAAATTGGTGTATCTACTGGTTTCGTGACTATTTTGTACGATATTCTGAAATATAACGTTTTGAGAGCTGCAGCAGAAGGGTACCTGTCCGAGCCAATAACCCAACGCATTGGTCATTCTCAAGGAGACAAACTATCACCTTTGCTCTTCACTATTTTTATCGCAGACCTACCTGATATTCTCAAAAGATGTTGATGTACCTGTATTTTCTATGCAGACGACCTAGTGATTACGTCTGGTGAGTTATACAAGGTGAAAATTGCTTTACACAAAGTTGGGTTGTACTGCCAGAAGAATAGTTTACAAGTTGATGTCCGAAAAACAAAGGCTATGAAATTCAGGAATGGTGGCAGGTTCAGAAATTTTGACAGACTTTATCTTGGAGAAAAAATTGAGTTCGTCAATGCATTTTGCTACCTAGGTGTCACTCTCAGCACACAGAATGTTGCAACAGCTCATCATAAAGTCCGGAAAGAATAAGAAATCCAACAAGTAAATCATCTAGCCGCCAAAGTCGATTTACAAATTATCAATTTTGCGACTGCTGAGACGCTGTTGCACAGTATTATCTTACCATCTGCTACAAATGTCTTATCAGTTCTCATAAAAGAACCCGATTTCTCAAAATTGGTCATTGGTTACTTTCGGAAAAAGTGGGCCAGAATCTCAAAATATACGTCAACAACACGACTGCTGGAACATCTGTTCAACCAAGACTAAATGTATCCATAATTAAATCGTTATCTTTGTCAGATTTACGATCTTCCGCCGCCGCACTTCTGGAATTACAAACCTAGCGGCGCTATTCTACCAGGGACTAGGAAGTCAACTACGAATACATCCCATACACAGGATCTCCCGTCCAACAGCCCATGGGACGAGCGTCAAACCGTCTGGTCGTTTCTGATTTGTCCTGTGGAGGCGTCAAGGGATGTGAGTGGAGGTGAAACTTTGCATTACATGTGCATTAAAACTTGAAAATTTTGTTAAGCTCCCTGCATTTTTTTTTAGACAAGATAGACCAATCCATTCATCTTCGGTTACATTTATTCCACAAAGGTTTTTTTTATGTATTTGAAACTAGGCGGAATCAAATTGCAGTTCTAAGCTACTGATTCGACAATTTTAGTGTGAGATTTTGCCACGGTTTGAGATTCGAACATTGCGATCCGAAGGTATCCTGTAAAAACCATTCTAAATCAGTAGGTTATATTTACAAAATTAATGAAAGTTTTGTTAACAAAAGGGCTCCTTCCTTTTTTTCTGGATTCACTTTTCCGGAGCTACTGCACAATTTGCTGCAGCAAACAACAGTTTGAATGGATTTTATATGCTCTAACCTTGTGCTTCAAACCAAAATTTGCACTAAGGTAACATTAGCTTCTACTGCTGATTCTAAAAAAGCGGGTGAATTGTAACATTCGCCCGGAAGATACATATCGACGGAAAATAAAACTAAGTCCTAAGACGACTGGCTAACGTCTAAACAGAGCTTTACATGCTTTTCACCGTCTCTACCAAGCCAGTACTTTTCGGTGGTCTTTTCTAACATCGGGTCGACAAAAAAAGTTACTGCTTTCGGCTTCGGTCAAAACACTCAAATTAACTAGATTACATGCAGAAATAGTGAGCTCATGGCTGGGTCTCAGTATCCCCAGACCACGAGGTCACTCCTAAAAACAGGGCTACTACTATTTATTGAATTATTATTGTTTTTGTTCAGTAGATAAAAATCATCATCTCCATCGAAGATGGATCAACCCTTTCCCCCAACTCCTAGCTTCTCATCCTTATCAAAATGAATCCAGTTGTTAATTAAATTCAATTCAGGACATGACAGGAAGCTAAAAATTTATGTAAAAAGATTAAAGTTTCAGTCCCGAAACCCTTCCGGATTCTTGAATCCACTGAATCAAGCACGTTAAACTTGACTTCTCCGTAGCCCGGAAGGCTGTCTTCCACCCTTCACCGTTGTTCGCAACGGCCTTGCAACTATTGTAGCGACACAATAGTTGCAACTCGGAACGTTCTCTGTTAACTCCGTGATTCGTTGTCGTTTCTTGATCACTATTTCCGTTCTTCTCGCAATCGCAACTAATGTTGTTCTGTTGCTTTCTAGCTCTTCTGCCAAAATGGCCGTTTCTGACGTTTCTCAGAAATGTTACGTCATCACTTCGAAAATTTAAAACTTCAAAATACTAGAATATCTTCACCTTCACCGTTCTACTAATCATTCGAATAACGTCGTTAATCCTTCAAAATCACTAACTATGAAGGTCCGCTGCTAAAATTTCTTAAACTGCAGAGATTGCATTTTGTCCATTCCGGTCGAATGTCACAAATCTGGTAGGGTAGCTAAATAGACACCCAAGCCATGTGATATTCGACCAGATTGACCTGAGATGCATGTCATCAACGAATTGTTTTTGGAGCAGTCCAGTTGGAAGTTTGACTGTTTCACACGGTTTGTAGTGTTAATCATTCAACTAAACGTATTCAGAGGTGTTAAATTGGAGTGATGAAAAGATATTTAGGTTTCCGATTTAGGCTAGCATGACCAGTAACAACTTTATGTTTCGAGAACACTAAAACCGCAAACATCAAAACAACAATTTTCGCTAACAAAAGCAAGACCTGGAAGAGATATAGCGAACTCCAGAATTGTGTTCAACAATATTAGAAGAAGAGCGCTCCAAGTTATATCAATTGTACAGCTACAATCGTTGATGAGCAATTCCCGAGAATCAGGAGGGCTGTTGGGAAGTTTTTGTACCCTTCTTGGTCATCAAGAAGACAGCTCTTCGACCGGATTCAAGAATCCCGAAGGGTCTCGGGAAAAGTCTGTGAAATGATTTTTAACAATTTTTAGCTTCCTGAAATGTCCTGACTGATTTAAATAACGTCAAGTTTGTTTTCAAAAAAATGAGAATAAGAGTTGAGGGAAAGGTTTGATCCATCTCTGATGGATATGAAGATTTTTTTCTACCGAATAAAAACGATGGATATATAATAGTTAAGTAGTAGCCCTGTTTTTAGGAGTGACCTCGTGGCCTGGCGATACTAAAACCCAGCCATGGGCATACTGTTTTTGCATGTACCCATGTTTTGAAAGCTGTTTGGCCGATAGTCTTTAAATTGTAACGACTTTGTCGATCCGATGTTCACGGACCACACAATGAACTGGTTTTGGTAAAGACAGTTAAAATCAAGCGAAGCTGTGTTTAGACGCTAGCCAGTCGTTTTCATAACGTAGCTTTATTTTCCGTCGGTATGGTCTTCTGGGCGAATGCTACACCACTTCTGGCTGCGAAGAGATCAGCTTGCAAAAATGGCTATCAACTATTTTCACAATTGTTACCCTTGCGAAAGAGTTTCTAAAAGTCGAAAATCGATAACATTTGTGCAAAAAAACATAAGAGTTTCGGCTTGCTACAGATATTTTTCGGGAAGTAGAAACCATTATGAGCATCTCACCGCTGATCAAAAATAAATACAGTTTTCTATCATCTGAATACCAAAAGTTGATTTTGGATTCATGTTTCAGCAAAGAGCAGTGGAGCCTGCGGTTTATCTTGTTGTGTTCCGTCCTCCGACATATTATTGACACTTCCGTAAAAAAGAAGAATAGGTTACTGTATACGCAATGCAAAAAAATTGAAATCCGAGTGGTTCCAAAAAATGTGATTCAGCTTAATTTATCTTCAAAGTTGATTAAATGCAATAAGAAAAAACTAATTTGAATAAAATTGAGCGTTTCAGGTTGTCATCACGCTTTATCAAGTTTCTAAGGGAGTGTTCAGCAACTTCAGCTCCTTGTTTAATAACACATCCTACCCGGAAACTCCATCGCTCGCAAACCTCCATCTGTTTTTGTGACAGCGATAAGTCTTGCTACGAAATTGCAGTGTTTTAATTCCACAGGTCAGATTTCTCAAGATGTTTTTTTTTACTTCCCCCGGAATATAAGATAGGAACCAAGGATAACTCCTAGACAGGGTTATCATACGTCTAAATGACTGGTTAATTGTATCTGAAAATCTGACTGGCCTATTATCCCAACTGATGTCTGACCTTTTTATTATCTGAAACTGTATCTAAAATATAAGTTACTTATCTGTATCTTCTATCTGTATCTAAAATATATCTGTTATCTGAACATTAGCTGGACTTTATTTATCAACTGAAACTTATGTGAAACCTTTTTGAAATGCAATAGCTTGAAACAGATTTTTACGGGATAGATTCTAATAATTAGAAACTAATTTTCATTAAGCTTCAACCTTTGAACCACTTCAGTTTGATTGTCGGTTAGCAATTTGAATGGGTGCTTCACCTACATTAGGTTCCTAGCAACTGTCAAGTTTTCTGTCATTTCGAAGAAAACAGCAGATAATTTTCACCCAAAGTTTTCAGCATGTAGTCTCTTAAGGTCCCAATTCCACGATAGAATTTCACGAATCATTCCCATTACAATATCATCCTTTGGCTCTTGATATTTTTGGTTGTTCAGATAATTATTGAAACTTAAATGAGAAGATTATTTGTGCTCACTTTTCACAACTACGTTTTCAATATTCACGTTGTTAGCTGTGATCAAAAACAACAGCTTCACCTGTTCTGAAATGATTCAAAACTAGTGTAGTTGCGGCTTTTGTGCAATCTAGTGTCGCAAAAAAGTTCTTGCATTTTCTCAATTTTGTTTTCTTTTTATCTATAAAACCAAATAAACATTTTTCTTTCATTTCTTTGTTTTTCATTTCATAATTTTTTCACTGTTTCTTCATCCCCTTCGAAATAATAAAATTTGCTGTTTTCAAAAGAATAATTCGTCCAAAGAAAGAAGTTTTAATTTAACAGCCGAATCAATAGACATAAATAAATTTGAAAAAGTTTAGAAAACATCCAAGCAAATTTTCGTTTCAATTAACTTTGCCGGTTATATTCAAGATAATCCAGATATCTGGCATCAAATTCACTATATGTACATTTAATCTGAAATCAAAAAACTATCTGATATCTAGGACGATATCTGAAAACTTTCCAGTTATCTGATTTTTTGACCCAATTTTCTGATATTCGATATCTGTACCCGATAAACCTGCGCCCAGAATTTTTACTTTCAACATCTTATTGTATACTGAAAGTATTTTGGTCACGTCCGCTTTCATTCTTGCTGAACAAAATCAGCTCAGATTTGTCAATGTTTAGTTTCTGCTGATGCTTTGTAAAATAATGCGAAAATTTTTTGACAAGGTTACCAAAGATGTTGATGAGCAAAAATTAAAATATGATAATTGCAAAAACTAAAACATCATCTGCATTTTGAACTTTTTTTTTGCAGTTTTCGTGTAACTGTTTCCTTCAGTTATTTTTGTATGGGTTGAAATTTGAAGGTCCTTTGTATGTTTCTTGAGGCACATGCTGGTTGAGTGCTATCCAGTGTGATTCTGTCTTTTTTTACTATAACCTTTTATTGTCTGTTGCTATTAAAATTCAAAATTTTATGACTTTTTGTGTCCAACGCTTTTGAAAAATCTAGTAAGGCTTCGGCGACGTATTTAGTTTTGTCCATACAATTTCAGAAAAATTCAATACGGTAAAGTACTGCATCTATAGTAGAGTATGATGATCTAAGACCATTTTCTCTATGTTATAGTAAGTTTGTGCTTTATAGAAACTCAATTTTTCAATCATTTCAAAATTAAGTTTTTCAAATATTTTTGATAATGCGCCTGTTACTGATATTGATTTGCAGTTTTATGCTAATTCTGGTTCATCTTTCTTACATATTGGAGTAAAAAAGACAGTTTTTCTTACATAATAGAATTTTAGTTTTAGAAATAGTAATAAACGTTTAAAATTACCTTGTAACCTTTGTGACATTCTGTTAGAACGAGCAAACGATCCTACAATCACTCGAGAAAAAAGACAAAGGCCTCAATGTCAGCCATACCAATAAACGGAGGAGAGAAAAACATAGAATTCAAAAAATCGAATAAATCAAGTTTTCTAAGAACTGATGAATTCTGCCATATTGTCAGATATTTGCAGATAGAGATAAAAACGAACGAATTCTTGGTATGATTTTGATGATAGGATGGACAAAAATTTTTGTTCGATCACAAAATCCGCAACGGTCCTCGGTTTTAACGAAAATTAGGAAAGTCGACCAAAGTTAAGCAGTTACGTCAGCAGACCTTGTTCGACCCACAAGGTCGTTACAGAACAAATGTCAACTGAAACAATCAATACATAATTCGATTAGCTCAACCTGGAAACCCATCAAATGAGGTAATTGTAGGTTTAGCAATTGTAGTCTCAGTGAACAGAATCACCAATCAATTTGCGATTGGCTACTTGGTTTCTTCTATTGGAAAATTGAGTCAAGATTGATAGATGTATTATTCTTCAGATCAATATTCAAATGGATAGTTCAATTTCTTCACAGGTGATGCCATTATATTGAGCAAATTAACACAAATTGACTTAATGAACAGACTTTGAATGATTTTTATGACTGAAAGCAAGTTTGTTTTAAACAATAATCAAAATCTGTTCATCGAAATTGTTGATCTTATAAAAAGGGCTTGACTATAACATAAAATTTCGATAATATTTTTGATAAGAATTGATAATATTGGCTCCGATTATTACAATATGCAGCAAACTAGCAGAAAGTCTATGGTTTATCTGAGTACATTATGAGCATGGGTTTATACGACTTTCAAATGTGCTAAAATTTTTTAAACCGAAATTGGTTATCTAAAATATTTACAAATTTTACAAATATTCATTCGCCGGTCGCGATTAGCTCTTTTTCTTCCCCGCCTCTCAGCTTAATAATTACTCAAAAGAGTAAAATAATTTATGAAAAGTTTCTATCTAGCTTACATGTTGGGTACGCAATTATATTCTTTATAACAATCATTGTCTCGGTCGAAACTGTCCAAAAAGAGCCTAGAAACAGTATTTTGACTAACGAGCGCAGAAAAATTTGTCAAACTAAGGTCGTTTTAGTGTTCTGGAAGCGCTCGGAAAATCAGTTTGGTCCACACAAAAAAATGAGAAAATCTTAGGTAAAATGGGAAACCGAAGGAAAAGAGCCCGAAAGCTTCGAAAGCTTTATTCATATGTTCATCCAATGATGAATTTGTTCAGTGCCACTGCAGCCATTATCCCGACAGCGAACGATTTGTTGTTCACACCTGTTGAGGTCCTTTTGTAGAGATCAGTGAAACTGCCAGTCTCTGCTCCCCTGGCACTCTGAATGTCGCTGTAGTATTTCGGGATGTTGTCGTCGCCACCACTGGCTACCATATCCATTACACACGCAGCATCAGATTCGCACGCCTAAGCATATATACATAAGAAAAAAGCTGAAAGATGTTTTATTTTAGTTTTTTTTTAAAATTGATATACCTTTTTGCACTCAACTTCATTTTTCCCGAATCTATGTTTCAACAAATTCTTCTTCCTTATTTCAGTTTTACAACTTATCATTCTTAAATAATAATTTTGGCACTTATAATTTCTGATTTTTAATTTCAACATTTTAATTCCTGAACTGTTTGTTTCGATACTTGCAGTTTCTTCTGCTTTATTTTGAACACGAGTTTGATTTTCAATCCGGCTTCATTTGAACTCCGGCATCTTCGAGCTCAGTATTAAAAACTTCGATTTAACCAATTAAGTTATTCAAGGTCGTCAATATTGCCAACAAATAGATATTGCGACGATTTTTTTTTGAGTCTAAAGATAATACTGAAATAAAAGTCTAAATCCATTTGTTGAGATTCAACTATTTTTTTTTAAATATATTTATAGAATTGTTGAAATTGAAAGTCAGGAAGTCGACTTATTGAAAATAAATTTAGGTTTGTTGAAAAATAAAATCAGCATGTTGAAACTAAAAGCATAAAAGTATAAATAACACAGAGGCGAAGCGGAGCTATGGTTACGTGCAGATGCTTCAACAAATTGTTCAAATTCTGCGCAGAATGATGTTCTGTGAACAAGTTTTTTATGGAAAAATTTCTAATTGCCGATTGCAGCTCCCTGGCTCATCGCAAAAAAATAAACTCGTTTTCTTTAAAGAATCGGGAACACGAAGGTACATTTGAGTCATCTCGAAACCCATTTTTGTGCAGCAGCTTTCTGTTCACTTTGCGCATAAGTCTTTGAATATTGATGATGTCGCATTAATTGTTTCCAGTGAAACCCTTCAAAATATGAGCAGTAATAAGTTTTTTTTCCATGAAATTGGCCCAGTGATCAACCGAAAGGTCTCGTTATAACTTTTTTATGACGTTCATTTGACCTTGTAATTGAAATTGAAATATACTAGAAGCAGTGGACTAAAAAATCACTGACTGGAGGGAGCAATCCAAAAAGTTTTACTCATTTAATGTTTCTCAGAGAGCGTACAAAGAGAAGGGTTGATTAAAGAGCGAGATAGATTTGTTCTTCTTAAAAAACAACTCAAACATTTTGTTGTATCCAAAAAGGTAGTGTATGTAAAAAAAGTTTTAAAAAAAGAGGAAACTTCAGATGGTCAACTTTTGAGAAATCAAATCATTTTGCTGAGCAAAGTTAAATGCAAAAATTAATCTAATTTTAAGTACTTAGTCCAATTTTTCTAATTGAAATAACGGATGGGATAAAATTTTATGCGGTTTGACTTCGTTGCTTTATGTCTCTTTTTTCAAAAAGCTGTAAATGCAACACTGTAGTCAATTTTAAAAAACTATTTCCATAAGCTAAAGTTCCCAACTCGATAACTGATTTTCCAATTGATTGATTTATTTTGTACAAAATGTATTCTGACTTTGAAAACCATTCTTGAAAATCTACTAAATTTTTATCAAGCTTATCTATAATAATTTTGAAGATCAATTTTTTGGCAAAATTAACATTAAGATATTTGCAAGAGCTTTTGCTCTGAATAGTGGAGTTTTTTTTTCAAATGTTTTTTTCAAAGTTTTCCTGATTTTTTGTTTATGGCTAGTATTTAACTAACATAATTCATCTGTATTTTTAATTGAATGGCTATTGTTCAACCATATTTAAGCGTTTTTTAGACATTGCAAAGAGGGGGGTGACAATTTTTTTATCATAAACTGTGAGGTCATCTGCACAGAGAACTGTTTTCCTACCTTCAAACACTTTTGAAATTCTTCCACATAATAAGAAAAAATAAGGGTCCAAGTGCAGAGCCTTGTGGTACACCCCATTCGATTGGTACCATCAACGAATCCATATACTTTTAACTTATGTATAGGAACCGATTGTCCAGGTAAGGTTTTATTAAATCAAAGAACATACCCCGAAACCCGTGTCCTTCCAATTTAGCCAAGAAACCTCAAGATCTTTTATATCAAACGTCTTTAATAAAACAGGCATGACCAGCCATAAGTTTGTTGAAACTGCATGATTACTTGATTGAACATAAGAACATAATTTCGTATTTGTTTTCTGAGATCCCAACAGCTCAGCTCGGTACAAAACTTTGATTTTATTTGATAATATTGAACATATTGAACATTTTCTGCAGCTCAAAATTCTTTAAACTTTGGTTCAAATTTTTTGTCGATAGCAAAAAATTAATTAGTCGAACAAAAGTTTTCAAAATTATTGAGATTGAGTATTTTTTTTGAGCAATAATAACCCATCTCAAACATTCATTAATTCGAAGCACTAATGGCTCACTTAAAACAGACAAAAAAAGTCGTAAAATTATGTTGCAAATGCCATCACGACCAACGGCACTACTACTGCTCGCTTTTTAATTCGCTGTACTGACATCTTTCGGATCGACCACAGAAAATAAAAACGTATCTACAATTCTAAGATACTTGAACTTGAAGTTGGATACCAATACTTTTTTTAAACTAAAATTGGCCCTATATTAGCAAAATTAGAATTCAATTCCTTGAAGTTTGAAGTGAATTTTTTTTCACAGGATTTACAAAATTGTTTGAACAAATTGAATTTTTGTTTCTTAGTGCTTCCTGCAGAATGATCATAGATTTTTTAGATTTTTTGATTTCTTAGATTTGTAATGGATTTGATTCTTGTTTAGTTCTTATTTAATTTGCTCAAATTTGATGAAACTAGGGTATATTTTTGTAAGAACAAAACTTTTCTTTCTTTACTTTATGACATTTTCGAATTATCCAATTCTTTCTCTTAATTTGTTGTTCTAGACAAGGAATGAGTATATCTAGTGATTTAATTATTTGATTATGATGATAACCCTTCTTTTGTCAAGATTGATACAAAAATGAAAATTTTGGAAAAAATTTTACGAAACAGAAGTATTTAAAAAGGTAATGTTTTTCACACAATTTTTGTAGTAGGTGAACCCCTGGTGTGGGTTCAGTTTTTTGTAATATCAATTTCTTTGAACTCAATTCACAGAGGATAATCATAGCTGACATTAGTTTCAATCGTATAGGTTTCTTAAAAGTTTGCCAAAAAAAAACAATTATCAATACAGGTTTCTGAATTGGATGTTATTCTAGTTATTTTTTTTTTGTAAACTCAAACCAAATCATTTTAGTAGATTTCGATTTTCCTCAGTTATCAAAGTATTTTCCAGAAAAATTGATAATCAGGTCCTCACATAATTTTAGTTTTTTTTAATGTCTAGAAAAAACTCTGAAGACTTCATAAAAAATTTGATTGCCAAATGAAAAGGTTTATAAAAAACTGATGCTAAAATTATTCAATATTTGACCCATATACGGAAACTGATAATCTTTCTGAAGCTGTTTTCACGTTGAAACCAGGATTTAAAGTATAACTAATTTTTTTCCTAATGAAAAAATCATAAGCACAATCATTTTTTTCTTTTGGGCATAAACTAACATTGTTATGATAGCCAGATGTCTTGTAATAAACAGGTAGATAATTATAAGAGGGCCAATTTTCACAAAATGCAATGATTATAGGTTGCTTAACAAAACTATCAACAAAGCACTGTAGTTCGTCATGATTGCATCGAAGCAACCTGATGTTCAAATTTACAATGGAGCTTTTTTGAAATTCTCACCTCTTCCTCCCTCAATATTGTTGCAATCTATTGAGCAATAACTGCTAAACAAAAAAAAAACAGAACGATTGAGTTTTCAGTCAAATAGATAGTTTCTGATTAATTTTGCCATTCCTGACTTTTGTTCTCAGGAGAATCAAAAAAGCAAATTGTTGTGCTCTTTGAGATCCACTAGAGTTTTTCGGTTCTTTATATCTGCTGGTTTTTGTCAGCGACCCCTTTCTTTGTGCTGTTCATTTTGCTTTTTGCTTTTTCTAGGGTAACTCGCAAATTATCAACTCGAATACTAAATTCCCGGTTTATGCGATCACCAACTATAAAGTTACCTCCCACTTTTTTGCTGCTTTTTGCGACAATTTAATTTACAAGTTTTATTGAATGGTTGTTTTTGCAAAACAACCATTTCCATTCAAATAAGGAAAACAAGTTAGACCTGACAATTTTGCTGTCATAACCAATGCCAAAGAATCCTGAGCCTCCTTCATTTCTAATTCATTCTTAGCTAGTCTTCCGTTTATGAAAAGACTTTGACTTTGTAGAATTTACGCATGCTGCCAACATTTTTTTTCATCACCCGTAAAAATTACTTTTGTGTGCAAAATAGACAAATAAAATCATAAAAAGATGAAACAATCTTACTTGATTTTCCAGCGAGAGGACGAAATTCCTCGATTGCAGATGCAGAAAAAATGTATTCAAAATAATCATAAATTAATTTGCAAACCTCATTGATGAACGATACATTTTTTTAAATAATTTATCCTACACTTCGTCAAAAAAATCAAGCAATTTTTACTTCAATACTGCTCTCGAGCTAAAAAAAAAACGGCGCTGAAAATTTTTTCGTCGAAATTTGACAGTAATTGGACTTGTTCAAACTGTGAAACGAGTAGACTTTTGCAAGCTGGGGTGCGTCAAAATTAATTGCAATTTTCAAGTAAAACTATTTCTTGTTTTGACAAAAATTTCTTTGACAAAGTTGTTTCGTATGTTATGGTTGTATAAAAAAATTTAACAAAAAGGCCACCAACTCTATTTCTGAGAAAAAATTTTGCTGCTAGAAAGATCATCAATGTGTGAGTGTGCGCCAACAAAACGCGAAACGCCAGACCACTAATTACGAGAAAAATTTTGACAAACGAATAAACACCTCCCGTACTAACCAAAATATGCTATCTTAGAACTTTGTTTCATAAGAAACTTACACTTAATTTCAAATTTAGGCTCTTAAAATTTTAGAAGGAAGGGGTTTGTTTATCAGAATCGTAAATAGGAAGTTTCCATGATAGAATTTTTATAAATTTTTAAAAGCCAGTCTTTTAAAAGCAAGTTTTAGTGAATGATTTCTATGATTAACTTGGTGATGAAAAAAGCCTTATCAAAATTGAAAGAAGATCTTACATCATGCGTTAAAAACGAAATGTCCCACTGCGAAAAGAAAGTAAACCTAAAAACAATGTCAAAAGCGAAATTACTCGAGACAAAAAATCTCCGAGACAATGTGAAAATACTAGGCCTTAGTGAAACATTACTCACAAAGGGAGACGATGGAAACAACAAGGAAACAAGTTGTTGATGTAAGCAATGCCCTAGAAGCACAAATATCCGAAAGGGATATTTCGATTGCGCACAGGCTGCCTCTTCGAAATAATAGGAACCAGCCAATTTTTGTGAGATTTGCGAGGAGAATAAAAAAACACATCTAGTGAAAAAAAAAGAATTTAATGAATCAAGAGGAACTGAAGAACATCAAAAAACTCGAAGATCTAAGTGCTGAACTAATGAAATCAGATGAAAAAATTCAGTCAACATGGACCCGCGAAGGAACTATTTTCCTTATTTGGAAAGAAAATCAAAAATTTTATAAAAATAATGAAATTGTACGAGGGGGACTATTCCTGGACTATAACGTTGATAACGCAAAGAATTGCTTCACTGGTGTTTTCCGGAGTGCTGCCGCAGAAATGGGATCATAAAGAGGAACAGCAAAAAAAAACAATCCAGCAAAAAGTTAATGCGGCTAATGTCGAAACTCTACTCTCGAACGTACGGTCAAAAAAAAACATCAAGAAGATCTAGAAGCACATCTAAGTAGTCTCGAGTTCCCCATAAATGCAATATGTCTAACAGAAACTTGGCATAATGAAACGGATTATTTCGAAAGTTTCTAATTAAAAGGCTTTCATACCTAAATAACAAATACTAGGAAGACTACAGATTGGGGAGCAATGATACAGATCGGCAAAAAAGTTAGTTTGATAGTACCTTACCAGAATCCATTTCTATCCTTGTTGAAGTTAGTGGAATTAAGTAGGTGATTGCTTTGGCTTCTGTTCCCCCGAGGTATGATAAAGGTAAGTTTGTCGAAGAGCTCGATAAAGAGCGATAGTTTCTTGCGGCTTTTAAAGTTCCAATTGTTCTGTTGAGAGATTTCATTATCGATACATTACAGGAAAACAATCTACAGCTATCACTTTTAGCTACAAAAAAATTTAATGATTTCGAACTATTGATCAATTGCCCTACTCGAGTTAGTGACGCATCTGAAATTTGTGTAGATCATGTCATTACAAGGATTACAGTAATTCAAATCACAAATGTGTTAAGTGATCAATGTTTTTCCGATCATTATCCCATCCTATTAATAACACTTTTCGGATTGTAAACTGAACTGTCAAATATACATATCGTGAGATGTCATTAGTTACAAAAGGATATATGCTGATAGATTTCATTAAAATACTGAAACAAATTTGAGAATGCTCAAATTTAGTTAGCGACCACAACCCGGGTTGTGTCTACCAAGAAATCAACGATAACTTTCTAAAATCAATGAAAATTTCGCGCCGATACGCAAATTGGTTAAAAACTTATGACTCATTCACATTGGTTTACTAAAAATTTAAAAATCTTCTGAATTAGGAGAGATATTTTGTACAAAATATGGAAGTTAGACAAAGAAAACTCCAATAAAAACTATAATTTTTCGGCGAAAAGTAAAAACAAACAGTATAGAGAGAGAAAAAAGTATTAATTGAATAAATTTAATAAACATTTTGGAGATTCAGGACAAGTTTTCAATATAATGAATATAATAAAAGGTAGGACGGCATAGCATCAAAAATGCATCAATCTCTAATGAAAGCGGGAGTATTTCAGATCCATTGTGAATATCTAACGCTTTCAATGACTAATTCTCTTTCATTGGCACCAACCTAGCTTACAAAAGTTGACCACATAGAACCAGTGGTTCAACTCAGAAAAGTGATTTAATCGTTGTATCTTTTAAATAGTTCTTTCCTTGAGATACTTGATGTAATTAATAGCCTGGCCTCGAAGCATACATGTGGTAGAGATGAAATTAGTAACCTCTTTCGAATCAAAATCTGTTATGTGATTGCACTATATTAAACTCATTTGACTAGTATTTCGTTTAATGCTGTGGTTTTTATCATTATCTCAAGTATGCTAAAAGTTTACCACTACGTAAAGATGATAGTCGAATAAAAATGAATAATTATCGCCCGATATCACTCTTAAGTAGATGTAGTGAAGTAATCGAAAAGATATTGCACTCATGTGAATACAATTATCTCGACAACTTGAACTAATATATTATCGTCAGTTCGGTTTTAGGGAAAAATGCCACGGTGGATGCATTTACAGAACTGACTAAAAGACTTAGACTAGGCAGTGATAAAAATATAAAATGTTGCATTTTTATCTAAAAAAAGCTTTCGATACGCTGGACCATAAAATTCTCCTTGTCAAATTAGAATACTCTGAATTTTGTCGTAATTACTACAAGTGGTTTGAAAGTTTTTTATCTAACAGTTTTTAGTGTCTTCAATGTGGCAACTTTACATCTGTTTGGCTTTCGGTTAAAACGGTGATACCTCAAGGTTTCGTTTTAGGTCCTCTTCTTTTCCTCTTTTATTTTAACGACAGCAACACGCAGTTGTCAATTTTGATCTTTTTTGCAGACGATATTAAAATATTGTCTCAAACTTCGATCTTAGAGGAATACCAAAAAAAAACATTCAACGATTTTTTGCTCTTGGCTGTGTTCAAATAGATTAACCTTATACAATGATAAAACTACTTTATTTAGATTTAGTATAGATGTGCTTCTAATCTATATATCAATTTACTCATTAATACGTTTAAAGTCAGATCCTGCTGTAATTAATTAGATGTTGTTGTCGATGAAAAATTAGATTGATATGAGTTTTTTCCTCATATACAAAACAATTAAATTGAAGCTGGGTAGTCAATGTGGCGTTGTTTCAAAGAATCAGATATTATGTACCTTCATCAATCTTACTGAAACATTATCAAACGAATATCAAGCCATTAATTCAGGTCATATGACCTACTTGTAAATGGATGCCCAAATTCCGCTCTCTGAACCCAATTCTGATGATGCACCAAAAATTATTCGCATGATTTACTTTAAAAGGAAGTATGATACTTTTGTAAGTTGTTTTTTTTTGCGAAAAAAAAAACTGACGGGCCTTGAACTGTATATCTACGATTTGTTAAAAGTTTGCTTAATATCACTGAATTAAAGGCACTCAACTTTTTTTCTAAAGTCTATGTTTTCTTCGAAAAGCTTTTCATACAATATCAGGAACTCAAAATATCGAAATTTTGTTCCGCCTTTTTGTTATAATAAGGAGAAAGCATATTCGCTAACCAACAGAGCATCAAAGTTACTTTTTATTTTGGCTAAGAATAACCTGTTACATGAAAAAGTTGGTTTGATGACAAAAAATTAAGTGTTCTTGTCCATAATAAATTTAGAGATGTTTATACTTGGAACTCTTGAATTAGTGAAAAACTTTTTCGATGAGGTTTTTAATTTGGAAAATAGATACCCTTTGTTAGATGCTATCAGATAACCTTCCTAGGGTTGCGAATTTATGCTGAAAACTTGACCCTCTAAATTTTTTGGATTAAAAAAATATCCGAACTTCTGTTAACAAACTACAGCACAGGTCTGAACAGGTCGTGAAACATGTCAAACATAAAAATCGACGGTCAACTCTAGGTAGTTATATACTAACATTTGGCTTTTGTAATTTTTTTGTAATTCTTTTCTGTAATTATTAGTTTTTCTAATGTCAAATTATGTTTGCTGTTTATCTCGGAACATTATGGGTAGACTCTAAGTGGACATATCTTGTGGCCTTCGTCTATCCTTTTCATATTCATGTTGATTTGTTCATTTATCGACCATCGAGAATGCAGCAAAGTTGGAATTCTCAATAGAAAGCTCAATGCTAGTTTACTGTATTTGTTAATAGGGGAGGAGATTCTTAAATAGGTACCATAGGGGAATTGTTAATTGTTAATTGTTAATTAGATCCTTAGAAGTTATGTAGCTATAAGCTATCTTCTTGTAGTTGTCTAATTTTAATCATTGACTAATTAAGACAAAAAATTGGTAGCTATGCCAGGTTTCTAGTTGTGAATACGTTTTAAAAATTAAAAACCAGCCTTGGGCTTTCAGAGTAACCTAAAAACTCCAGGGCAACCTGTGCATTACTTTTACATGATTTTTCCCGGCAACTTTTTGAAGCATTTCATATTTTCAGTCAAATTTATAGTTAATATTTCAAACAGTTTTTTTTGCTTTGTTTGTGTAAAAATGTTTTTGAAAAAATTAAAAATAACGTACGCTGCTGTAGGTAGATTCCATGTCTTCTGTCACATTATACACGGAAGTGCCGATCTGCAGTCCCTCGTTTTCCCAGCGAATCTGGTCTGCAACGGGAGAGCGGAACAGCCACAGAATGGGGTCCACTTTCCAGGTTTCCCCAAAACTCCAGTGTAGTTCAAAAAGATCCGTCTCAGCAAGTATAAATCCTGGTTCACCTCCATAGACTGAAAATGTCCCTTATATACAATTACAAAGTGTGTAAAAATACAATTTCATATAGAGGGTAAATGAAAAATTCGTTTCATACCATTTCCGTATATGGAATTTAATCACCAGCTTTTTTCCATGAATAACTAACGCCCAATGAAACTGATAGACCCCCAGGGGCGGATTTAGGGGAGGGCGCGTGGTGTGGACGCTGCTTTCCCTCAGGGATTCGACCCCCTGCCGACCTAAAGGGTCCCTCTTTTATACTATTTTGAGATATCCATTTTTGGTGACGGACCCTAAAATTTTTCTAAAGGCGCCTTTGGCGCCAAAACATACTAATTTCAAGTGGGGAGCGCGGCCCGAAAAAACGTAATGTTTTTGTCAAGGTTTTCCAAAAAATGCCTGAAGACTCATTTTTTGGCCTGTTTTTCAAAATTTGGTCGTAACAGAGTCTTTGTAGTGCTTTGGGAGAGCTCGAGAAATCAATTTGTACGACCTAAAAAAAGGTCGACAAAAGTTTCGATATTTTTTTGAAAATCCGTCACCAGCCCCCCCCCCCCCCCCTCCCTCAAGAATATCCTAGATCTGCCCCTGTAAACCAGATTCACATTAAAAGTTGCATCTCAAACCATCATTAAATGACGATAATTAGTCGCAGCTAAAAAGTCGCAGCTAATGACGAAGCAGCTAATTTTTCGAGTTCTTTCAAAAAACCTAAGCATACAATTTACATACCTTTTACATGACTACAGAAAAAAAATTCAAAACTGAGGGGAAAAATTTGTGTGTTATTTTGCGTACTTTTGCTCGTTATGTAGTCCAGACCTAATCCTTTAACAGAAAGAATTTACGCAATCAATAAAGGCATCTTCTGTAAATCACAAATTGCTGTTTTGTCTTCATAGGAAAAAAGAAACTTGAATCGCTCAAAAAATCAAAAAAGGAGGCTTTGGTTTTCAACTACGCAAACTTTCAAATGAGAAGCAAATACAAAAAACTATTGTTTTAAGACAAACAAAAAACTCTAGAGGAAAAATGACAATTATTCAAACTAATTTTTGGCAAAAATGATAGTCATACAATTTTAATTCAGCAAAAAATGCTAGTCATGGGATTTTCATATACCATTTTTTGTTCATTAAAGTTGTTAGATATTGTTTGAAAATCGTTTGTTCAATGAACAGTTAGTAAAAAAAATGATCTCCAACGTCAAAACAGGCACTTATACATTCAATTCGTTTGCTCATATTATCCCGGAAAATGTCGACCCGGGAAATGTGGGAAAATTATTTCAATATGAAAAGGCTTGTTTCGATGTCAGGCCCCAATTTTTTACTTCACCATGAAAGAAAATAATTAAAAATCTATTTATTAAGAAACAAAGTTTTTTCGTCAATCAGGACACTACCGAAGTCGTAACTTTGTTTGCAAAAACTTACTAAGAACCTTGCTGTTCACAAGCAAAATTGGCTAAACCGCCTAAATATTTAGAATCAGATTAACTCGAAAAAACTAAAGAAAACCATCTAAAAAATTAAAAACAATCCAAGTCTAGAAATTGAAAAACTCCATTACAGAAAAGAACAGAGTGACCAACCTACATCGTTTGTTATTTAGATGAGCTTCAACTAAACCGCCAGAAAGCACACTCATTGACCAAGTTCTACACATTGACCAAGCTGACAGCAACACAGTTTTGTCTTCAGTGTTCATCCAGTGACATTGTTTTTGCAGTTGCCGTTACGTCTGGTTTTATAATATTTTCCGCCTGTCTAAGTAACCGAACGATTTATTATCAAGTATTTGAAGCTTTCAATTGCCTGTTTTGAAAACAAAGACCGAAAAAAAAAAACAAATTCCGCACCGTCGTTCTTTTTCCTCCGCTGATTGAAGTTTAGGTCTAGCTAAATAGAACAGGAGTTAACAAAGACAAATCAGAGATTATAAAAAAAGATACGACATCTACGTCAACTTCAATGACAACGACAATCAGCTACTAAAAGTAAACCATGCCCAACAACACCACTCTTCTCCGCAGAAATCTTCTCAGCTCCCAACTAGAGCGCCTCTCCGGACGAGTACCATAAGCCACCACTGATATTAATTTGAGTTACAGCATAGCTGACTCAGGGACAGAGATGAAGAAATTACGCGGCACTTTGTAAGACGCCATCACCTAACTTGTAGACCATCCAACTGAACGCGCCCACTTCACTGAAGCACAAGATGAACACATAGTTATCATGGATGACTTTAAACAGATGTTCCAAGCCAGTACAAGGGGGACAACTCCACGACAGCCGAAAACTGATGCGAACACATTTAGAGCCCCCACACAGACGATTCAATGCTACAATAACCATTACTAGACCAGACTTTTAGTCAGACATCAACAATATCCAGCAGCAATCATCAGACATATTTATAAGCGCAGCACACAAGAGATGAAAAATGGTAATCAGATGGCTGAGATTTTCAAGAACAGGCCCCAAGCAGTTTTTGATATCACAACAACGATCAACCGACGGCCGCTACAACAATCAGAAGATGACAACCCCATTGTTAGTCTCAGCTACAACACAGGACAGCAGTTCAATCCAGCAGCAACTCTCAGACCACGAGTAACGAACAATCGTGAATGAACTACAGTCTCATGACTAGACCTCCAAAAAGTGAATCCGAGCCTTTGGTTTTTTGAAGTTTGGCCTCGTGGGGGCAACAATCCACAATCAACCTTTTCTCAAGCGGGTTTCAACCTTTCCTACACTTGGGTTCAAAGTAGGATCGAACTCCATAGATGTACAATTTGCTGGCAGCAACTTGCTATGCCATTAGCAGCTCGATTGTACGCAGTCTCCGCCACTCTGAACGTTGAACAGCATAGTCTACGCGCCTTCAGCGAAAGATTGAAACAGTTTTCAATAGCATGTGATCATGTACAACTCATGCAACCGCAACAGATGAACAGGGACTCGACGGATCAGCACCAGGTATTTTCACGACAGCGACACGCCAACGGAACATGACATTTTAGCAACCAGCCTTCACAGCAGAAAACACGAAATTGGAGGTCCAATACCCAGGTCCACATGTCCTTTCGACGGACCGATTAACCACCCAGCATACTGCGGCAATATCATAAGTCGTCCTTGGACTAGAAGCAGAAACTTCCTTGAGAGTGCGAGAATGACCGCACAACGCACATGCAGTAAATGCAGCCAAATACATCATTCATTTTTACACTTCGATAGACGAAAAAACCACCCGCAGTTCAACGCCAACCAGAAACCAATATCGTCAGGCTACGTAACCAATCAAAAACCCACACTTTTTAGAAGCAATATACTCTTTCATTTAGTACCAGTGACCCTCCAGCATCGTCACAGACCCATTTACGTGTTCGCTTTTCTGGACAACGGAAGTTAAAACAACTACATATTACAAAAAAAGCCAAAAAAAACTTTGGAAAAACATGAAAAAACAGCAACGGGAATTTTTTTGCAGACTCGACTCGAAAACTATGTGGCCATAACAGTAGATCTCATAAATCACCAGGCCGGGAAGATATCGACAACATTCGATGTTCGAAACGTTGTTATAAAATATGAAATCAACGTCAGCACAGCAGAAACCGACAAAGTCAACAAAAAGCCTGCATGAAGCATGACCAATTTGACCACATCTTTTTTCCCACGTTCAGATACAAATCAAGATGCATCATACTAGGAACAGACAACATCGATGCAACTAACCCGAATCGACAAACAAAACAACAGCTGAGGTTCACGCGCAGTGAAGACAACTGTAAGATGGACATCGCAAGACCAAACGGGATAGACAACCAAAAACAAAAAAATTATCCGAACATTAGGCCACAAAAAGTATTTCAATTGATTCAACCAATTAGAGTCGATCAACAGCTTATATCAGCAGCAGAAATCACAGACTTTTGACGGACCAGCCACTAACCTTCAACCTTTAGCAGACAGAACCCGCGCGATTTGTGACGGATTTGAAATCATCAACGGATTCTGAAGACAACATCACCACAACTAAAGTAGACGACTTTTGGAAAGCCGCAGATTTCAAAACCGCCATCTTACTGCGACCCTCTAAAAACAAGGAGAAAATAAATTGTTGTGAGGAATTAGAAATTGAAATGCAAGCTAGTCAAGCTAAAAAGCATTAGTCAAGCTAACAACGACAACTGACAAAGGTTATCTCGAAACATCAAAACAACTATCAGGACGTCAAGGTGCTCGATTTTATTCAACAACCCTAGACGAAATCAGACTTACAGCAGTAATAGCAAGTTTAGTCAAAATCATTGATGTCAATAGAGCAGCAAAGACAACTTCAAATCGATATCTGCAGAGAGAGATATCTCCAGTTTTGATTCAAAGCTCCACTAAGGAATCATTCTGTACTTGGCAGCAACCCAAAATAAATAACTCATTATTCAACAAACGCTCAACCGACTACTGATAGCAATGAACATAGTCAGCAAATTAGAATGAACAAAGTTTTGGCCGAAGAAGCAACACACATCAACAAAAAATCTCGGAAAAACACCAAACCCAATGCCGCATCTGATCCCAGTCAAACTAACAAAATAAAAGCTGACACAACAACAAAAGAGCAACTGTAACGAAACAGAAGACAACCTCTATAGCACAATGTTAGCATGAATTTCAACAACATGTTTCCTTTGACTGTTTCTGATGCAAAAAAAAATAAAATTACAAATTCAAAAGTAAGAGAGAATTTGGAAAGGCCGCCGGAAACTAAAGAATCAAGGGAACCTTTACACTTATAAAAAAAATAAGCAGCAGGCACCGTACTAAAATGAAAAAGAAGTCATCAGGGCAATACGTCAGGACAAACCGCAAGAAACACATGCTTCATATCCAAATGCACGTTCAAACTGCAGACAAAACGATTAGACCAAAAAAATTTTGACAGCTGCACGCAGAATTTCGGAAGCAACTAACAGCGGCAGCAACATAATAATCAACAACAACTATTATCAAAATCGGCAGACACATCGGCATCAACAGACAACCAGCATCTTAAACATGAAATTCAAAACGTAATTATCACAGTCGACAAATTTTTGAAGCAGCCACAACCGATATCACTAGAGCCAGTTTTAGGAATCGCCAGTGTCTAGATTTTATGTTTAGGATCCACCCCAGCCCCCTTTTTTTAACTTTAAAATGAGACCGGTTGTAAGCACCATTGCAAAAATTGACTTAAAACAAGCTGTTCACATGCAAAATGTAAAATCCGTCTAAATAATTGAAATCAGATGAACTTCAAAAGGGAAGCTAAGGAAAAACTTGAATAGTTATCACGTGCAGCCAAATAATTCCAAATTTTGAAAAAAAATAAATTTGTATTACAGAAAAGAATAGGGTGACCATTCTACATTGTTCATTTTCTACAATGGCATGCATTGTAGAAATATAGTAATAGATTCAAGCGAGGCACTCCAACCGAAGTCGGAAAAAGCCCTTCCACCAAACGCCGCGTCTCATTTCCAAACATAATCAAACACGATGTCAAAACCGTTGATAACAAAGTCAAGACACAGTCTCGATCACAAAGTCGAACAAAAACTGCAAACATAGTCAACCCGTGTGTCAAAACGTAGTCCAACACAAAATTAAAACATAGTTTAACTGAAAGAAACTTGATAGATAGTCAAAATAAAAACGAACTCAAGAGGGCTACTCAACAAAAAGTCAGACAGCTACTCGGAAAAACTACTTCAGAAGCATTAACAAAACCCCAGAAGCATTAGCAGCAAGTATTTTAAAATTTATAGTTTGTGTGAAAAATTAATTTTTGAATTTTGAGATATTCAAGTTAGGAAATCTGAAGACTCTAAGATGACTTTTGTACATAGTTTCAGAACTTAAACCAAAGAAAGAAAGAAATTCTCCAAAATTTATTAAAGATACAATCTGAGTATCATAATCTGATATGAGACTTGGAGAGGACAGACAACGGGATCCCAGGATCCACTAAGCGTCTGCCCCTGTTAATGAAGTTATTTGAGCAGGGATGGATCTAGGACTTTCTCGAGAGGGGGGCGGATTTTCAACAAAAAAAATCGAAAATTTTGTTGACCTTTTTTTTAGGTCGACCAAGACAATTTCAATTTTCTGAGCGCTACCAAATCACTATAAAGACCCTATTTTGACCAAATTTTGAAAAACAGGCCAAAAAGGAGTTTTTTGGAAAATTTTGACCAAAAAATTACGTTTTTTTTTGGCGCGCACTCCCCCTCAAAATTATTTTTTGGCGCCAAAGGCGCTTTTAGAAAAATTTTAGGGTCCGACAGCCAAAAATAGATATCTGAAAATAGTTCATAGGGGGGACCCTTTGAGTCGGCGGGGGGTCGAATTCCTGAGGGAAAAGGCGTCCGCCTCCCCTCCCCCCTCCCTAAATCCGCCCCTGTATTTGAGTTTTAATCAACAACAAAACAAAAAATTTTTTCAGTTTGTGAAATTTAAAAATCATACGGACTCAAAAAAAGGTCGAAACACAGCCTGGTTGAGACGAACGCAGTCGAACGGATTTTTGCTTTGAATCAAACATAGTTTTGCTTGTTGAGCTCAGTCGAAGACGTTTTCTTTCGATCGAGGGATTGAAACATAGCTTGTTTAACTCAAGAACGCAATCAAAGACCTTTTTTGTTCGAATTGGGCAAAATTTAGCAAGTATGAGTCGATTTGGTCAAAACACCGGGACTGAGTTATTGGCCGAAAAATATAGAGTCAAAATCTTAGCATTGAATAAAATCACTTTGAAAAATTTCTTTGTTATTTCAGTTTGATTTAATTGACCCTAAAGGTTTGCTAGAATAATAGCTACAACCAAAAATTATTTTAATATAAAAGTCAAGATTTAAGGAGTTGCTAACCTCTAGGTTCAAAGTCATTGAAGGATTCTCCATCAAAATGTCCAAACAATCCCTTCATAATCCCCCTGAACTCGTGTGGAATAGTTAAAAAAATGTTGACATAGGGTCCCAATATATCCACGTGTAAAATGAGACCACAGTCCAGAATCGTAACTCTGAAGTTGGTATCCGAGTTTCCCAGCATTTGGAAGCGCACACCGTGACGTTCGATTCCCGTTGCTTTTCCATAACCGATTCCGTTGAGAGGAATTGAAACATCTCGTTTGTTAATTGAAACAATGTTGTAAGGATATTCTCCTTGCGTCTCCCTGTAAAACTCGACCAAAGTTTCTCCTCGGCTGATAGCAAATCCCGAAATTACAGATCCTGTACCGTGGGGACGAGTGCTAATCTGAACTTCCGTTGGATTGTTGTCGTATGTTTTCAACAGAGTGTAGACTCCCAGGCCAACGAACGAATACTCAGATCCGTCAGCTGTAATGAAGTGTCCTCCAAACTTGGCAGATACTGTCAGGCTTCCCATGTATGAACCCATCACAGTCGGTCTTTGATCCCGGAAAATTCCACACCGCAGGTCATCAGGGCAACATTGCTGATACGGTTCCAGCTCGTCGATATACAATTGATGTAAATTTTCAGGAGAAGCGCTCTGATAGCTCATTCGTCCTGCGCCAGACTTGACATCCTCAATCAAAGATCCCTCAGAGTCGTAGCAGCACTGGTTCGAGACATAATCAACTCTACCATCTCCAAACTCTGTACATGACATTAGAGCAGATCGAATGCAAAAGCTGGCTCCCTCGTTGAACTCGCACTGGGTCGCATTGCAGAGCTCGTTTGCTGGGGATCCGCTGCTCTCGTCCTGGTTGCAACAAGGGTCATAAGACCACAAGTTAGGGCCATTGGTAACCTCGTCATGGGCCCATGAGGCGTCAGATTTTCCACCCTCCCCCGCGACAGAGTTCGAAGGACAAGGAACTTCACTCGACATCTTTGCCGCGCATCTCGTCTTATTTTTTTCCAGCTCCTTACTTATCCAGTCCACACAATTCACTTGGTGTTTTTTCGTTACTAGGTGATAATAAGTGCCTACAATAAGAGGTGGTCTAAGAATTTTTCGAGCGAGGGGGAGCTTTGAAAAAAATTCAAACAATTTAGTTGTCAATCTTTCTATATGACAAAATTCATTTATCAAACTCTACTAAAACATGATGAAATTTGTTTTGACAAAAAAATTCAGCGCAACAGTCAAACTTTTGAGAAAAAAAAGCCGCTATGAAGATAAGGTTTTCAGTCAATTGACCTAATTCAAAACTTGTTTGTTCTAAAACAAAAAGATTAATAATCAGGGGCGGATTTAGGGGGAGGGCGGGGGGGGGGGGGTGGCGGATTTAGGAGGAGGGCGGGGTGGGGGGGCGGACGCCCTTTCCTTCAGGGATTCGACCCCATGCCGACCCAAAGGGTCCCCCCTTTGGTACTTTTTAAGAAATCCATTTTTGGTGACGGACCCTTAAATTTTTCTAAAGGCGCCTTCGATGCCAATATATACTAACTTTGAGGGGGAGCGCGCGCCAAAAAAACGCGATATTTTTTGTGAAAGTTTTCCAAAAAGTGCGCAAAAACGGATTTATTGACCTGTTTTTTCAAAAACTTGCCTGCGGCGCAGAACATTTTACTACCTAAACAGCGTCTTTTTAGTGCTTTAGGAGAGCTGCGAAAATCAATTTGGCCGACCTAAAAAAAAGGTCGTCGAAATTTTCGAAAAATTTTTGAAAATCCGAACCCCCCCCCCCCTCGAGAAAATCCTAGATCCGCCCCTGTTAATAATGTAGTTCTGATCAAAGCCCACTCCTACAAAATCCATGTTCAAAAATTTCAGACGGAGACATTGCGAAGGAACTGTAGTTCAAGGGCTTATTTTGCAGAATTTATCAGAATAAACTATGTACGCAGAATCGGGCTCATCCGGATATGCTCTTTAATCGGGCTCATTTGGGAAGCAACCATGGGAAATGCCACAATCTGGTGACAGAAAAGCTAAATTGGGATATTGGTTTCTCCTAACTCATAAGTGCGGAAAAATGGAGAAAAAAACAACACCAACACTTTTAATTGTTCAGTGAAACACTGATTCAGAGATTCCACTTTTTTCCTGACTGAATCACTTCAATTTGTCAATTGTTATACAATGCCAAATTTTTGCAGAAACCGATGTTTTACCATTTTCTGTTTTCAGCAGAAAAAGAACAGCGTCGTTTGCAGCTCCGTAGGTGTAAATGTAGGATGTGTTCACAGGTTGTAGAGTCACAGTCCGATCTGACAGGTATTCGTAGCCCGTAGTTGCACCTAAAACCAATTGAAGGGGCGGAATAACTATTATTGGTGCATGTTTTTCTAGATTGAAATTGTTTGTATTTTTCTAAATGACATTGATTTCAAAAACCCGAATAAATTTGATTTTACAAATCCGAATGGAATTGGTTTCTTCAATCCGAAAGAAAATGATTCAGGTAAACCGAACAAAATTGATTTTATAAATCCGAACGAAACCTACTTTATCTATCCGAATGATATTGATTTGCATATCCAAATAAAATTGATATTATCAATCCAAATGAAGTTGAATTTATAATTCCGAGCCAAATTGATTTTATCTAACCGAAAAAAAGCCTGATTTTACAAATCCAAAAGAAATTGATTTTATCTTTACGAAAAAAATTGATGGTCTAAAAACACATTTACAAAGATAATTCACCTGATAAAAAATGCCCAAAACACTTTTTCTAATACAATTAAAGCTTAGTTGGAACTCACGGAAAGTTTTTTATTGATACGGACAGTCTTGTTGGTCCGACTTTCAGAGAAAGCGGCGTAGTATTTATTTCAGAGAAAGCGGTAGAATTTTTTATACAGACCACTTTCTGTGATTGAAGGTTGGCAGCTTACTTTTTATAGAATTATTTTTGAGCCATAGATATCTTTATGTTGCCCGCGGCGAGTCAATCTCCATTCCATTAACAGCAATTAGCAGACAAAAAAATTAAAAGCCAGAAAGTCGAAAAAAAAAGAAAAAGGTAGAACCAAAACTCCAAAAATTTCGAAATTTTGTCTCAACGTATGCTCATTTTGGGGACAACATCCAGCAATACAATCAGCGATCTAAAAATTGGATTTCTTATCAAACGATGCAAACTTAGGTCACTAAGTTAATAAAACATATGCTGAAACACTGTAGGATGAATGAAGCTTTCAAGCGAGTAATAAACGAAAAAGGGAACAAAACTAGGCTTGAAAAAACATGAGGTACTGACCGGATCCGAATTTAGATATTTTAACGTAGTCGCTGACTCTAGGCCAAGTTCGCCGGAGAATCCAAGAGTTTTGATTTATTATAAATCAAGCTATCAAGAGATTCACGTGATTTTTATTTTCAACCAATCAACCTGAAAAAAGTCTGAATATGAACCTGAATATTCCGTTTTAATAACGCTTGCTGATCAAAAGAATAACCACGAGTAGAAAAAACTTTCAATATTTAACGTAATTTCAACAGTTTTCACTCTGGTAATTTTATTAAACATCAAATCATTGGGACATTTTAAAGGGCAGTGGAACTCACGGTTTAACCCTGATAGACTTTGAAATTTATTTCGAACACTCAAAATTTTACATTGATAAGAAGCGTTCTTGTTTTATTTTTAAACTTTGAGCAGGCAGTGACTCTCTTAGTTTATATTATGCAATCGAGAATGTTTCCAGTCCGGTGGTAGTAGTTTCTTGTTGCAAAGGGCGAAAATTGGCAAAAAAAAGTTTGTCTTTCAGTAGGTTTTTTTTTAAATTTTCATAGTTTTTTCACACAAAATCAGATACAAACAACAATCACATAATAGTTTGGGTGACAAGACACAAAAAGCCCTAACAGCCCTCAGTGTCAACAAAAACCAGCTCAATTTTTAGCATTTCAGTTTAAATGTGAGCGAGTAAAACGATGAAGTAGAGAACGTAAAGCATATAATAAGCTGTATATAAATTTCATAGGCAGTTTTTTTTTGTTCAGTTTTTTAGCGCAAAAACTTGTTCTGGAAAGGAAATTTATCAGCATTTTTTTGAGTTTTTCTGGAAGTTTTTTCAATTGTGAATTTGTCATGAATTGCAACACTCAATGTGGCCAGAATTTTTTTTCCAGGCTAAGTTATGTCTCTCAACAATAAGTTTTACAATTGTTGTCGAATCTTTCTGTGCTAGCTGCACAGGAAGCGGCTATCTCTCTTCTTCTTTAGTTTGGAATTGGTTTACCAGCTGCCAAGTTGTTAATTCGACAAAAGGATTTTTTTTCTCTTTCGTGAAACACTGTTTTGTTGGGTTTTAATTACAATCGGTCGAGAGCAAGCACCCGATATGTTAATCATCCGAACTCAGTTATTGGTTACGCAATGAAATGATGTTAAACTTTCAAATATAAGACATAATTCATTAATCCGATCGCAATTTAGGCTATTCGCGATTTAAGGATGCAGATGAGCGCGCTACACGTGTTTCGCAACTTCGCGGCGAAACCCGGCTCTTATTTTTATAAAAAATTTTAGCTTCTCTTGACCAGCTTGCAACACATAGGCGCGTCTACGTTGGTCTCTATTAGCTCGAAAAAAAGCCAGGTGGAAATGACTGTAAAAATCGGACCTTGAATATAATTTTTGAATGTGCAATTTCATTAAACAGTGTCGAATGCGCCCTAACAAAGTGTCGAATAGTGCCCTAATAAAACTGTGATTTGGAAATTTGTAACACGTTTTGGTTTTTTGGCTGTTCAACATATCAAATGTTTATACCCCGTGCCCATGAGACACTCTTAGAGAAGACGAGTTTTTCATACAAAATATAGAGGCGAGAAAATACTGAAAATATATTTCATGTTTTTGGGGTTGTCAGTTTTTTGCAAGAAAGAGTAAGCCTCATTGATAAACAAGTTATAATAACCTTTTGATTATTGACTAAATTTTTGTTAGAAGATATAGATTGACAGTTGAGTGTGAAAAAGCTGAAAAAATCATCACTCTAGAAAACAATAAAAATCAGACCAGTTTTTCTCAACACTGAGACGTGTACTAATGGTATTCAAGCCATAGTTGAAAGAACTTTAACATAATATCTCCCTTGATCCCGCCTCGAGGAGCAGTTTTTGAGGCTGCCAAAATCGGCTGAGAAAAAAAAACAGACTATATCCCGGACTCATGTACAGACTTTCGCGACAAATTTGTGGCATGTCCAGACTTTCCAGATCAAAACTTGGCATTTCCAGACTTTCGCGATCATGATAATCCGTCGCGAACTTCGCGACCGAAGTAGAGATGGCGCGACCAAAACATCGCGCTTCATATTTGGTATGTCCAGACTCTCGCGACCAAGATTTGCCATTTACAGACTTTAGCGACCAAAAAACTCTAGCGCGACTTTTGCGACCAAGGCGGATACGGCGCGACCCTGCGGCTCAGGTAACGGCGCGACCGGCGCTACCAAGCTCAGCATTTTCAACACGTTCCAGACCGGATGGAGACGGCGCGACTTTCACGACCAAGGTGGATACGGCGCGACCGGCCTGGTCAGGGCGACCAAAAATTGCACCTTCAAGATTTTCCCGACCGAGGTGCAGACTCCGCGACTTTCTAGACCGAGGCGCGACCAAGAACCAATTCCTTACGACCAAGGCGGAGACGGCGCGACCAAGGCCCAATTCCTTACGACCAAGGCGGAGACGGCGCAACTTTCCAGACCAATTCGATTTTTGTTACCAAATTTTGGTATGTCAAGACTTTCTCTACCATTTTCCGTGCATTTCGCGACCAAGCTGAGCGACTTTCACGTTCAGAGTGGAGAAGGCGCGACTTTCCAGACCATGGTGGAGATGGCGCGACTTTCCATACCAAGGCGGAGACGGCGCGTTTTTCCAGACCGAGGCGGAGACGGCGCGACCAAGAAACAATTCTTCGCGACCGTGGTGGAAGCGGCGCGACTTTCCATACCAAGGCGGGGATGGCGCGATTTTCCAGACCATGGAGGAGAAGGTGCGATCAAGAATCAATTCCTCGCGACCAAGGCGGAGACGGCAAGACTTTCCAGACCAAGGCGGAGACGGCGCGTCTTTCGAGAACAATGCGGAGACGGCGCAACCAAGAATCAGTTCCTCACGACCAAGGCGGAGACGGATTTGAACATACGCAGGAAGATTCCAGCTCTGTTCGAGTCTCCGCATTTGTCTGGAAAGTCGCGCCGTCTCCACCTTTGTTTGAAAAGTCGCACCGTCTCCGCCTTTGTCGCGAAAGTCGCGCCGTATCCGCCATGGTCGCTCCACGGGTCGCGCCGCATCCGGATTCAGACTAAAATTGCATGGTCGCGCCGAGAGTTTGAGTCTCGAAAGTCTGGACATAAGGTCTCGAAAGTCTGGACATGAGTCGCGCCAAGGGTCGCGCCGCATCCGGATTCAGACCCAAATTGCATAGTCGCGCTGAGAGTTTGAGTCTGGAAAGACTGGACATAAGGTTTGAAAAGTCTGGACATAAGTCGCGCCGTGGGTCGCGAAAGTGAGGACATACCAAAATTTGGTCGCGAAAGTCAGGACATGGCAAAGAAATTATGACATCCCAGGTCGAGGTCCCAGACTCATGGCCAGACTCATGTCCAGGGTCGCGAAAGTCTGGATATACCAAAATTTTGTCGCGAAAGTCTGAGCACAGATTTTCGCGAGAAAAATTTGGTATGTCCAGACTTTCGCGACCCTGGACATGAGTCTGGTCATGAGTCTGGGATCTCGACCTGGGATGTCATAATTTCTTTTCCCATTTCGTAAATTAATCAGAAGAATAACCATGTTCAATTGGCTAAGGAGAAAAAAGCAAAAAAAAAGACCCAAGTGTGACTTAAAGTACTGACTCCCCTAGCTGTATTGAAGTTAGTTTTACTAGATGGTTGGAATTCTAAGTACGAGCATTTATCATTAACAAAGGCCCTGGTTTTTGGTCAAATGCCAAAGTGAATGGCTGTTTGAAGTGAGTTTTCTGGGGTGGGGAAGGAGGGATTGGTCAGACAGCTTAAATAAATCGGATCAAATCTTACTGAAGCTGTATTCTCTTATTTCGAGGTCCGTATCAACAGTCAAGGCCAAATGAGGCCATGCAACACGCAAAACATTCTCCTCCAGAGCAACTTCCGTTATATGGAGCTGGTTTTCGAACGGTTCCCCTGAGAAGTAAAGCTCAACCGGCGTCTTGATGTCGTCTCCATTCGAAATGACATGAACCGACACTGGCTCGTTCACGCCCCAGAGTTCGGGAATTTCGGCTTTGATGTTGCGAACATCATCATCTTCAACTGTGGCTTCGATCGTTTTCTCAAACGATTTTCCGACAAGTCGCAGAGAAATGTCCATTGGAAAAAGAACTTCCAAGCAGGGTGTAATTCGAAGCTCCTTTCCTGGACCCGTGTACATGGGGATGACGGAGGGTATAGCCTCTCCCCCGTTACCACAGAAAGTAGCGATTTCCTTGGGAGGTCCACGGATTGCGGGTTCAGACAAATCCTGCTTCAATTCGAAAATCCAAACACCAGGTTCTCCTACATTGCTGCTTTTGTCTATGTAGTCTGAGTGCCGGAAATTATTGAAAGGTCCAGCGATTCTATCTGTTCCACCGCCGCCTGAAAAAATTATTGTAAGCTTTTTTGTTAAGACACTCCCAATGGAAAACTTTTGGTGTTCTATTTGCACAATTTTAAGTTCCAGGTTATGATGGTAATTTTTGATGATCTTGTAGTCAATCACAGTGAACTCTTCTCAGTCAATATTTGGATTATGAATAATCCAAAAAACTTCACTGAATATAAAAAAGAATAATACCGAAAGCTTATTTTGGAGGAGAAAACAGCTGATCTATACACTCAAATCAATGTGCAGTTTATGTTATTTTCTAAAGTAAGTACGCAAGTATTTTTTTTATTTTTGCATAGGTTTTTTTGATATGCGTTTTTTCAGATACGTTTCAAATGGAAACCTGTGAGTCGACACCTCATAGAAAACAAAACCGGTTGGACTAAAAATACTAGTCATATAATTTTTATATATGGAAAAAAGCGAATCATTCACTTTTCATGCAATTCCATAAATACAAAAAATGTTACGGAACACAAGTGACAAAGACCTTGAATCACTCCACTCTAGAGTTACCAAAGGTTTAACCGTCTTGTTTTCACAACGCATTTGAAACAAACTGAATATAGATGTCTTACGAAAACAATATAAGGAAAGTCTCAAAACTTTATGTTTGACAAGAATTTTCAAATTTGATCGTTTTTAAAAATTTTATAAATTAAAGAATTTAAAAGCTGTATATGAGGCTTTTAGTTGAATCATGATTAGTTAGAATAAATAATTTGCAGAGAAAACCTGTATTTTTTAGCAAATGAAAGTTAAACATTTTTTCGAAACACGCCCGTTACCTTTGAAAAATGTGAATTTTCTGCTAAAATTTTTTGGGTCTGTTCTTCAATAACATTTAAAAGACTTCCTCATCACAAACTGTTTTAAGAAAATGAGAAAAAAACTGTGTTTGAATAATTAAGACGCCAAACTCTATTTTTAAGTAGAGCACTGAACAGTGCTCGCTCGCATCTGGATTCCACAGACGCGTCTTAACATTCGTTACAATTTGTATAGCTCAGTGACAAATTGGTCAATTGAGTCTAGTGACAAATGTTGGTCACACAAAATTAAGTCTGATTAAATATTTTTCGTTATATAATCCAGCGATAAAAAAATCTAGTGAATGATTGAATCTTTTAGTGTTTAAGCATTTGTTCGTCGATTCCATTTCAACAATCGTAGGGTTCCAATTTTGTGGTAAAAAGAGACAGAGAGAGCCGTATCCAATCCAGTACAAGTTTCACCAAATGGGGCGTCTCAATGAGTGTATTTAAAGCAGATTATTGCACTGCCTTTAGTATCTGTTGATTGAAACTGTTTTAGTTTTATTACAAACTTTAGTTGTCAAAGAAATTTTGTTACCAACTGGAGCCCAAAATAGTTAAACATTGTCTTTGATGTAATTTTTCGATAGCAAACAACTATTTAACTTGTTTACAAAACGTGCTTTGAACAACTCAAATAGTATGATACTTGGAAACAATATTTTTTTTTATTTGAGAAAAACTGGTGAATCTTTTGAACCTCTCAGTTAATTAAGTCTTACAATCATACAAAATAAATATTGTGTTATGAGCAAAAACTTAACGGTTTTTTAGCATCTCTGATTAAAAAATCATTATTGGAGCTGAAAAAGAGAAACTCGCTTTGAACAACTCGAATGGTATGACAAAATGAAAAAAAAAAAACAAGCAAGTTTGGTTTTATCAATCGCAGAACAGAATTAACATTTCACATTTGAAAAAAGAATTCCTCACCTTTAAAATTTTCCAAAAAATTTTTTTTTATCGAAGATGAATAACAAACAAAACGCTTTGAGAACCTCGATTGGCTCAACAAACCGGCAAAAAGCAACTTGCAACACTGATTTTTACAATCGAAGATCAATTTTTCTTTCACAAATCAGTAAAATTATTATTAGGTTTGAAAATATCTGTTCTAAAAATTTTATTGAAGATGGCCAATAAACAAAAGGTTTTTAAAATAATATTAATTGATGTAGCAAATGACAAACAACAAGTCTGTTTTTTTTACAATCGCAGAGCAGAATTCTTTTTTCATATTAAAAACTCTCTGATAGAAAAATATTACTGAAAACTGTCAACAAACATAAGGCTTTAATAGCTGGAATGGTATGAAAACATGACAAAAGAAACTAACAAATCTGTTTTTTAATAATTGCAGAGCAGAATTATTTTTTTCACTTTAGAGCAAAAAATATTTTATGTTAGAAAAGTTCTGATAGACAAATATTATTGAAGATAGCCATTAAACAAAACGCTTTAAAAACGCAAATAGTAAGCAAAGTTATAAAAAAAGCACCTAGCAATCTGTTTTTTTTACAATCGCAGAGCAGAACTATTATTTTTTCACATTTGATCAAAAGTTTCATTACGTCTGAAAATTTCCGATAGAAAACTTGTTTGAAATCGGGTAACAAATAAAAGAAATTTAAAAAGCTTGAATGGTATGACAAAATGGCTCAAAGCAATTACCATCTAGTTTTTACAATCAGAGCAGAATTAAATTTTGGCATTTGGACCAAAATCTTATAATATTGAATTCGGTTAATTAAGTCTTGCGATCATTTCACGATAGATTTTGCGCGTTCGAGCAAAACTTTAGAATGTTTGATCATCTCTTATAGTTAACCAGGCACAAATATGGCAAAATACATCATTCTTTAAACAAGTCAAAAGTTTTTAAAAAAAGTACGTGGATATCTAAGGGTATCAATTGTTCAGATGGTATGGGAGAAATGACCAAAATATGGTAGTCAAATGAAAATCAGGGAGTTCAAATTGTTTTAAACGGGAGAAAATTTGTCAAAAACTGTAGGTTGCAGAAAAAAAATTACTTACTGTTTTTGAGTTGAAAATACAAATAGCTCCACACAGACCTCTCATTGTACTCGACAACTGCGAAGCACTGTCGTTCCGAGTCTGAGTTTCCATCTTGGCACGCCAAAATGAACTGTAAGCTGTTGTACTGCTGAAAAGCTACATAATCGGTGGGAACTTTGTAGTAGGTGACAACAAAGCCAGAGTCGGCCCTAAAGTTTCCCCCGAGACGAGTATTTACGAGTTCTAAGTCAGTTGGTTGAGACAGATTTCTGATGAAGAGATTGTCTGCCAGGTTTGGGTAAAGGGTGTCTTCCCCAAACAGCTTCTTGGTAATTTTATCGTCAAAGAAGAGATCAACTTGGTTATTTTTGAAGGTTTGCTGGTTCCACCAGACAGCATACGTCAGAGTGTCGTAATCAAAGGTATAATCTTTAATCGATGGTTGCAAAATAGCCGTTGAATCCGAGGAGCTGTAAAACCAGAAGCGACAGGCGTTTTCTTCGGGATCGTAGTTCTTGCCACCTGAACTTGAGGGGTAGTAGTATTGAGTGAAAGATGGACGAGCACGATAATAATCAAAAAAGGGACGCACCCGTCCCTCCAATCAATAAAATCAGCGCCTTTTTGGGCCATATGTTTTAGCATTTAAGCAAAATTTTGGATATTTGAATCTATTTAATAATTAAAGTACCACAAGTTTCTACAACAAACTCAACAAAATGATTACTTTTTGTTTTGAACCGAACAATTTTGGTGCTAATTGGATAGGTGGTCAAATTTGGTATGACAACGTGGTTTGACCGCCTCTACTCGAATTAAATTGGAACCAAAATTGTTATCTTCATGAATCTATGAGTCGAGCAAATACGCAGCTAAAGTATGTACAATCAGAAAATTTGAAGTTGAAAATTTTTTGTTTGGCCGACTTCATTTACACTTATGTGCCATTTGACTGTTTTTGATTGTTAGCACTTTTATTTGGTCAGATTGATGGTTGAACTACAATTTTTGCAACATTTTAAGACATCAGCTCAAACATAAAAATAACAAAAGTCCCAGCATCAAAGTTTTGCTTTCGGATGCACGGCAAGTCAGATGATTTTTAGATTTTTAGACGAAAACAAAATTAAAATTAGTTTTGGCAAAATTGTTAATAAATTTGAGCTCGCAACAATTATACCTATTAACGGTGTGGCTACGCTTCACCAGTAGTCAACAATTGGGGAAAAGATGCTACACATTTTGAGCTCAAATTGGACCCCATTATTATGGAGAAACTAAAAAGCTCCCTTGACTTGCTAGCCCTACTAAAAATGTATAAAAAGAAAAACTATACTTTCATCGGTGTCACGGACTAAAAACGGAATCATGCTGCTGTTTGTGGGTTATGTGAGAACGCTTTCACCGACAATGATCAGGTAGTTCTTGTTCATTGCCACACTGCAAATAGTTCTTGGGTTGTGGTAATGATGAGTGTTACACGGAAAGAAAAACTATAAATAACGTTTCTGTGTTAGCTCATCAATTTATAGCTAATGTTCTTTTTAAAAAATCTGGCAACAAACGACTTCAACAACAATTTTTCCAAAAAGTTCATTAAAAATTTGCTTTTTTTGAAAATTACGCGGGAAAAAAATTAAGAAAACTTTTCAAATCAAAATTCATTGCATATTTTAGATTTTTGCCCGCAATGTTTTCAAAAGTTGGCAAACTCTTTCAATGGAAACATTTTTCCTGCTGAGATTTTTTTCAACTCCCCCGAAATAATCAATATGTTGTAACAGAAGAGACATTAAGTTAAGTGCTACCAAAATCGAGTACATCTACATCGGAAAACAATGGTTTCCCAAGTCTGAATTCTAAGTTTCCCTTTATTAAAATGTTTTTTTTTTGCTGCCAGTACTTCGAGCTCATGAGTGCAATAGATGTGTAGACGACTTTGTGAAACCCACTAGTTGAGTGAAAGTTAAATATATAAGTAGTTGAATTTAGTTATTATGGAAAAGATTGTTTGTCCGCTCCATTATAACACTTGCATCAAGTGTACGTTCCGATACTGCAAAAAAAGACTCTTCGCCCAAGCTTTCCATCGCATGAAAATTTGGAAGATGCTCCGTGTGCTACGGTATAACGTTGTCATTCGAGCAGAGGGGGACGAGTGGGTACAACGCGCGGCCTGTAACACAGAGGCAGTGGGTTCAAATCGAGCTTCAGCCGCGGTTAGAGGATCCAAGTGTCACCCGTTTTCTCTATTTGGGACTTCTACGGCGAAAGGGATGAATCTCTCTCATAAAAAATTAACGTCGGCTTAACATATTTAGATATTACCAGCGCTTAAGTTTTAACTTTAAGTTGATTGACTCGAGTAATTGTCGTTATTTTTGTGATCGACGTATTTTCGCACTTGAAGGCTTGTCACTCGGTCACAAGAAAACAGTTTGCTATCAATTTGTTTCCGCAAAGCACGTCTTAAAAAAAACAATTGATTTTTCAACTGTTTTTATGCAACTCCATTAACGTCAAGCCAACATGTCAAACAAATTGTACTATCCACACAGATACTTTAATGTACACGTCACTGCATGCCCGCACCAGAGTGTTATGAATAAAAACGGTTTCATTGGAAAAATGTTGTCTAATATATTGTCATTTATCCCAACTTGTTTTGCTGCAACCTTAAAGCAGCTAATTGGTTATATTGAAAACCAATATAAACAATCATAATCCTTTTGAAACCCTCGTAATTTTTGATAGCGGATTATGATTTCTACTTTTTTGAGAAATCAACTCCAAAATTGTTGTACAACAATTTTACACAACAATTTCTGCATTACTTATGGCGTGCACGAATATTAAACCTACACAACTTGAAAATGTCTTGAGCCCCTTCACCGTGCGCGTTTTCAGAAACGTCTCTTTTTTGAGCTAAAATTGGATAATTGGTCTAATCAAACTGTTTTTAATAGACAAACTAAATCGCTTGATTTTCTGATAACGTCAATTATTCCAAAATTTTTTATAAATATTTTGGAGTTAGGTTATAAGTTTTCGACTGGAAATTCGCGCTCACTTGCATTTTTTGTCTAAATTCAAGGATTTAAAGCTTGCTACTTTGTCTTATTGTTCCGACTTGCAATACAAAAGTAACGGAATATTTGTGATGAGTTTTTTTTTCTTCAGACAAACTTTGACTTTTTAACTAGCCATTTTTGACAGAATTTTTTAATATTATTCAAAAGGTATTGTTGTCTTGGGCTTAAATTTGAAAAGATATTTCACCTGTGATCAATTTTTGTAAGGTTATGGGGGCTTAAAAATTTCCATTTTGGACAATTTGGTACAATTAACGGCCGATATATTTCGCACTATTAGCGCGTAAGCGAGATTTAATCCGTATTAGAAATCATTCCAAATTGATTCAAGCAATCTTATATGTCATAATTGAATTGTTAATAGGAGGAAAAATTATCATTTTGTACTTAATATGGCGTGTGGGAGGATGTTTTCAGAGAAAACTTGAATTTTATTTTATTACATTTAATTTTTTCATGTATGCTGCTCCATAGACCTTAGAAGGCAGTCGGGACATTCAGGGCTTTGCCCTGATACGAGCAGTCTTGTTTGGATTGGGACCAATAATCAGTTATTTATGTAGTTTTTTAGTGTCTAACGCTCGCATGTTCATTGCACCAACCGATACTGATTGAGTTGAAAATGGGTATTTGCTTGAAAACTTTTTGAAAAATTTATGTTTTTTTTATTTGTTCTCCCATTTCATCACGATGTTCTGAAAAAATTTGTATCAAGGGCAGATGCAAATTTTTTTAAGAGGTTGGGGAGGGTATTTTTGAAACAAATTCAGACACTTTGATGACTTTTCTTATCAACCAAATTGATATTTCGACAAGTCGCTGTCAAAACTTTATGAAAAAAACATACCAGTAACAAACGTTTTTGAGCACGTTTCGAAATTTTTTGACCATTGAACAAATTTTTTTTTTCGGGGCGCTACCCGCTCTCCCTTAATCTCAAGTTTAGTTTACTTTGCTGTCGAAGGCTCATTTAGAAAAACTTGACGTTGGTGTCTTAAGTTAGTAAGAAACAGGGACTTTTTGGAGAGTTTTCTTAAATTGAAAAAAAAATTTCTTAAATTGAAAAATTATTTTATTACTTTGGAAAAACTTATTGTTTTAATGAAAGTGAACTTGAAATATTTTAACTTAAAAAAAAACAGCAAAAATAATAAAATAGCTATTTGCGCAGAGGACTGTCTAGATGGAGAGGAATCTTTTGTGCCAGAAGGACCCAATGCCAGAAAATCTCGATATTCAGAATTCAGTCTGCGAAAACGTGAAAAAAACCGAGCGGAAAAACTAGACATTTTTGAACCGATTGAACGGCCTTGATTCCTTGAAACGCTTTACATTTTCGGTCTATTCATGACAGGAATTGTCTTTCACCTAAATTTAAAGAAAGTGCGGTAATTTAATCAAATCATTTCCTAATTTGCCCGAATTTGTCCATAAAGAAAGTTTTAGTAACAAAGCACAATTAGGATTACAAAGATTCAGTTTTAATGAAGTCTTCTTGTCATTCGAATAGCCCAACTCTTGAGAGCAAAAAAAATAAAAAGAATACATCTACACAATTAGATGCGGCGGATGTATAAAAGAAAAATGAAGAAGTACCGTGCCATACCCGCATTCTGTATATCTATGTTTTTTTGGCATTAGGTGAAAAATAGGACAGGTTATTAAGACTTCAGATGACGGTCATCTTCTACATCACAGATACAAAAAAAATATATTATGCTAAAGCCGTAAAAAGGTTGAGAAAACCTTTTTCGTGATAAAATTTGAGTTAACAAAAAAAATCTGTTCAAAGTCATGTGATACCATTTAAATGCATTCAATTCAAATTGAAACTACTGAAAAAATAAACCATTCTGAGCACGTATAAGCTTTAAGAATTCTTAAAATTCATAACTGAGGCAGTTGAAATCTTTTCACATATTGAAATTTTTTTTACTAATGTTCAGATTTTTTTTCGTTTTAACTGCTGTTTTTTTTATTTGCAGGACACAGTTTTTTGGATATCTTATGTATCCTTTTGATGAAATGAACCTATATTTAAGCATTTTCCAGCAGGAATTTGCCCATATTATTCCGTAACCTTTTCTTGTATCAAACCCTTGGGTTCGTTTTTACTTTTGCAACTTTTGCAGATTCTTGAATGTTTTTGGTCCCGCGAGGATAAAAGTAATGGTTGAAAGAACCCGGAACAGACCAAAAAATGAGATAATCAAGTTAAAATTGAGTTGAACAGAACTAATAAATTTTGTTTTTTATTCGCCTGCAGCCTGTAATGAAATATTTACACGAGATCAGGGTGTCACAAATTTAATTTATATCTGATGACTTTTCCTTAGCGGCTGGCTTATTATTTCCCTGCTAATCCGTTTTGATATACGATGCGAAGCGCCTATAAAACTCGACTGAAGTACATTGGGTAAAAGGGCTCAGAAAAATAGTCGACTGGTCTCAGAAATTTATTCACGCCTCGTGACCTTTTCAACTATCACTGATTTTGTGTTCATTTTTTCTCCGTTCTGCTCGAAATGAGGTGTAAATTACTTTTTTCTCCCCCAGGGTTTAGGCGCGTTCATTTAATATAGTTCGGTTCTGTTTTGCCTTTTTCATTTGCTCATCGGGGAACGTTTCTTAGCTGGTAATATTTTCCATTTGCTGGTCAATTCCTGTTTAATGGTATTTTCTGCAGTAGTAAATTTTGCAGACTTCAATCACTTATCCCCTCCACTGTTACTTCAAAAGCTAATTCCATCTTACATCCCGCGTGAGAATCGATTGTAGCCACTGCAGAAAAATTATAACTTTACTTTGATCGAAATTATAACATCTATTGATCGAAAAAAACTTCAGGCCATCAGAATAATAGATAGATTACATTTCATTTTGGTTTCACATCAATACCTCAATACTGTTTTTTGTCTAGCAAGGTAAACTTATTTGTTACGGCAACTTAATTGGGAGGGAACTAACTTGGATTCGAGTTAGTTTGGGATTCGTTTTCAGCCATGATTCGACCTGATTTCTTAAAAATCAAGTAATATCAGTAATTTCGTCAGTGGACCACTTAGACAACTACGGCATTAAATTAGACAACCTCCATCTCATACATTTTTTTGATTAAAAAGGGATACCAAGTTTAATTTCAGAAAACTCTTTTAAAGTTTGTTAAGAATTTTTTTTCAAACCAAATCTATTCAAACTGAACTGATATTTCAAATAAATTTCTACCAGGAAATAAAAAAGCTTAAGATTTTCCGAATATTATTATGGAAGTTTTTGTTACGCAAAAATGTTGTCTCATCAAAATGAAAATTTGTCTGCTAACTGGCTGAACTGTTTACTAGGTCGTCTTTTTACTGCCACCTAACACGTCATCCCAAATAGTCTTAGGGGCTGGCAGTTATGTTGTTTCTAGGTTTCAACATTTTTTCAATCAGACTTGAGTACTTTACACGCAGCGCTGAGCAATTTTAACTCAACTTATTCCAAAGTGTGTTTTTCACAGCTATCGTTTATTCTTTTTTTTCCAATTTGCACGTATCGGCAGACCGTTTCAAAGTGTTTGTTTTGAACGGGGATGCTGAATCTCTGAATAGAAGTGTCTTACTATCAAAAAGGGAGCCTGTCTAAGATATGAAATGTACTAAGAGCAGAACATGACCAAAAGCATAATAAAAGAAAATGAACCTGATTAGTATTAGTTGAAAGGAAATAGAACCACAACTGCATCTGAAATTCAAACAACTCAGACAATTCGCAGCTGCTTATTGAGCGCAGTGGCGGAAGTAGAAAAATCATCTTTCATATGAAATAATGACAAATTTATTTTAAGAGCATGCACTAGTAAACTATTTGGTCATGCCTTAGCGAGTGTCAGGCTTGAAATGATTTTTGTTCCGAATTTCGATTAAGTGAAGGTTGTGAAGTAATTTGTTATTGATTTCGATGTGAAATTAATTTTTAGTAATTATTGTTCCGACTTTCGATACGAAAGGAACGGAGTATTTGTGCTGGTGGGTTTTTTTCCGACAAATTACGACTTTTTAACTAGCTATTTTTGACGGAAATTTTTAATATCATTCGAAAGGTATTGTTGTCATGAGCACAAATTTGAAAAGATATTTTACCTGTGATCCTTTTTCGTAAAGTTATGGGGGTTTAAAGGTTGCCATTTTGGCCAATTTGGGACAATTAACGCGCGATATCTTTCGCGATATTAACGCGTAAGCGGAGATTTAATCCGTCTTAGAAATCGTTCCAAGTTGGTTGAAAGAAGCTTATTTGACATAATTGACTTGTTACAAGAAGCGAAATCTATCCTTTTGTACTTTATATGGCGTGTGGGGGGATGTTTTTCATAAAAAATTTCAAATTTTAGAAAAAATAATTTCATTTTGTTTTATAACTTTTAATTTTTTGATGTTATTACTGTTCCATAAACCTTAAAAGGCAGACAATGCATTCAAGTTTTTGCCCTGATACGAGCAGTTTCGTTATTTTTAGAAAGTTATTTGGTTAAAAAATCTATTTGTCTTAGTAAACTATCTACTAAAAATATCTACTCAGGAATATTCCATCGATTTTTGTGAGACCGTTCATTAAATACTTCGAATTATTTATGAAGCACAAGACATTAAGACGACACATGATGATTAAATCTTGTAAATTCAATTGTTCAAGATTCAGCATAATCTCTCTGCAAGAAATTTGATTAAAATAATTGTGTGGAGCGTCGTTTTAAAGTCAAAGCAAAAGCGACTGTTTTCTGAACAGCTGTCGTCTATTTTATTGGACACCATTAATTACCTTTTCTACTAAAATTTTCTTTGGCAAAAAAGGTTTTTGGCTATCTCTTTGAACGATTTTCTTAACTTTTTTTGTCGAACTTCATCGGCAATCATTCAAACAAAAAATTAATGAAGTTCCAAGCTACGAAGTTTAATTTTGCGGAGCCGATAGTTCAGGTAGTTAAATTGGCCAAGTTCAGATAGTTAAGTTGTGTTTTCCTATTTCTAAAAGTACCTTGTAAAAAACAACATTAATATGGAAACATGAAAAAACTAACTTTGGAAATATTGAAACAAGTGCATTTGTAGAAACACATAAATTGCACCGATTTGAGCTGTAACAAGACTGCTCCTATCAGGGCGAAGCCCTGAAAGTTCCGACTGCCTTTTAACGTTTATGGAGCGGTAATAACATAAACAGCAAAAAAAATTAATTGAAATAAAATAAAATTAAAAACTTTCTTTTCTAAAATTTGAAAATTTTTCCATGAAAATTGAACCCCCACACGCCATATAAAGTACAAAAAGATAGATTTCGCTCCTTGTAACAAATCAATTATGGCAAATAAGCTTCTTTCAACCAATTTAGAACGATTTCTAAGGCTGATTAACTCTCCGCTTACGCGTTAATATCGCGAAATATATCGCGCGTTAATTGTTCCAAGTTTGCCAAAATGCCAATCTTGAAACCCCCATAACTTTACGAAAAATGATCACGAGTAAAATATCTTTTCAAATTTAAGCTCAGGATAAAAATAGCTTTTGAATGATAAAAAAATTTCCGTCAAAAATGGCTAGTTAAAAAGTCGAAATTTGTCTAAAGAAAAAAAAACTCACCCCGAGCACAAATATTCCGTTACTTTCGTATCGAAAGTCGGAACAATAAAAGCAGCCGAAGTATATTCCAGCTATCGTATAAATGATCAGAAAACAAATGCGTACTTTAACATCATTATCTCACAGTCATTTTAGGCTGGTTCTTACTACGCCTGGGCTAATTTATATGCTAATTTTGTATTTTAATATCGAGTGAAATTTAGAATGCTTGCAAAAACTACCCGTCGAAAAAGCAGAGAAAATTTAATGCTCATATTCATCCCAGGAAATGCAAAAATTTCCACATTTTTTCAGCGAGAGGTAATTTTATTGACATTCAAGAAGCCGCAAATTTGAACCCATTGCACTCAAAAGCATCATCCGTGAAAAAGGAACAAAATTTGCAATAAAAGTCTTCTTTTTCACGCCTTCCCACGGTAAAATACCTCGACCAGGGCGGTAAAATACCTCGACCAGGGTTCTCAGCTGATTAATGGCTCGTTTATAGATCGGCTGATTTATCCTGAGACGAACTATAAATCAAACCATCAATTCTAATTCTAAATTTCAGAACTAGAATATGAATTTCTGTCACACTGATTAATGGATTTCTCATCTGTCCAACAATTTTAGCCACTTGCTTCTTTTTTCTGCAGTTACCGCATTGCTAAAAGGGTAATATATACGAGGATACCTTTTTGTTCAACAAAAACTGTATTCATTATTGATGCAAAATTTATATTTCTATTTGATTCCAACCATTCCTGTATTTTTTGTCAAAGTACAGGTGAATTAGATTTAATACGAAAGAACGCAATTGATATTCATATTTCCTGAAAAAAGCAACTGAAATATTGTTAAAGGTAAGTGTGGAAAACACTAACTTTTGGGGCAATTTTGTTTGGACATCCTTAACAATTTCCACCACTATGGTAATAAGTAAAAATATTCACCCTGCAAAAGACTAAAAACAAAGGTTGTTCGTGTATAAATATTGTATCTAAAAAACGAATTTCCTCTTTTTGAAACAAATAGAGGGTTTAATTACAGTGATCACATTTTTAAACTTGATTTTTAGAGCTTGGTATCTTTTCAGCTAATTTTGACAACTTCTAATATTTTTCCGGAACTTGACCTGGTTGTAGATTTTTCGCCGGTTTTCAGGTAAGTTTCATAATGCTAACGATTTGAGCTCTCCCAAAAAAAATATTTTGCACTTAATCTCAAACCACAACTAAGTTTTGAAGAAAAAATGATCAAACTTCAGTTTTTGGACGCTTATTTTAAAAATTCAGTTCTTGAAAAGTATTTTTGTAGACCAGGGCTCCATAAACAAAGCTATTGCGAAAAACTTATATTCAGGAATGTTGTTTACAAGGATGGTTTTGAAAAATTTAAGAGTGAAAGTTGAAAAAAGAAGCAGTATAAATTACGAGCTGCTTTGAAAGCATTTTCCTTGCCTGAATTTTTCCCATATTTTTCCTTAAAAAAACGAGTCATTATTTAATATAACTTGTTCCTTAGATCCTAAAAAAAATGTAGCAAATAATGTGCAAATATCACAGATAAATGACAATTTCAACAAAAAACGGAGAAAGTTTCGAATTCTTTTTCAAAAAAAAAATTTGAGCCATCAAATCTTGTTTTTACGAGAGAGAGGAAAAACTTTCGAAATTTGAATACGTAACAAACTGAAATCAAAGTTTCTTTTTAAAGGATAGTCGGAACCAAAATCTTTTGAGATGCAAGTTTCTTTACTTAAATACAAAAATTAACCAAAAAAATTTAAGGTGTGTATAAGTAAACAAATATACTGGGCGACATTGAAAAGGCAACATCAAACTTAGATATATAAAAAAAAAACACTTTGAACATGTTTTTTAATTTTTTGAAGTGCAGGTAGTTTTTCCGAAAAGTAGTGACAAATTTGAGCTAACAAGTTACTTTTTGAGAAGTGAAACAATTCAGTGCAATAGACTAACTTTTTCTCCCTTCTTAGCCTTAGGTCCAAGCACAACTCTCTTCTTAAAGCTCAAAGTTTGTAGTAATTGAACGATGAGCTATCTATATACTTTTTAAAGATCGAAACTGATATCTCCTTAATTGTTTTAGGCTTTATATTAATTCAAGCTTGGAAATAAAATCAAAAACGCAACGAAACCTAAAGCAAACGGACTAATGCAAAATGATCAAAACTGTCTAAAAAAGCAAGTTATTTTTTTATTTTTAAGCCTTTAATTTGAGAAAATCATCAATTCAAATCATCGTTATAAGTTTTCATTTTCGCCCTATAAACATTAAAAATTTCCTTATTTTGGTTCAATTTTTTTTGTGCTATCTGAAACTAATTCCAGAAATTTTTTATTGTGAATTGTCATACGCCTCAATTTTCCAAATTACATTCAAATTATGACTGAAAGAGCTTCCATATGATATACCATGCCGCCAATGCCTAGATTTTTAGATACAATATTTTAGAAACTTTGAAAGTTAAATAAATTTTATGATTTAATTATTTAAATAAGGCTTTTATGATGACACTTCGACATCCAACTATAGTAAAAATTGTTTGACTGTATTCGGAAAACCATAAAATACTAATATAAACTACTGTGCGGAATTGTTAAAATGATAACAGTTAATGTCAAGTGCAACTTGTTTTTGATCGTTTTTGTTCCGACTTTCGATACAAAAGTAACGGAATATTTGTGCTCGGGGTGGGTTTTTTTTTCTTCAGACAAACTTCGACTTTTTAACTAGTCATTTTTGACAAAATTTTCTTATATCATTCGAAAAGTATTGTTGTTTTGAGCTCAAATTTGAAAAGATATTTCACCTGTGATCATTTTTTGTAAAGTTATGGGGGTTTAAATATTGCCATTTTGGCCAATTTGGGACAATTAACAAGCGATATGTTTCGCGCTATTAACGCTTAAGCGGAGAGTTAATCCGTCTTAGAATTTGTTCCAAATTGGTTAAGAGAAGCTTATTCGCCATAATTTCTTTGTTACAAGGAGCAAAATCTATCCTTTTGTACTTTGTATGGCGTGTGATTTTCATAAAAAATTTCAAATTTTAGAAAAAAATTTTTCATTTTATTTTTTCTTACATTTAATTTTTTAATGTTATTACTGCTCCATAAACCTTAAAAGGCAGTCGGAACATTCAGGGCTTCGCCCTGATACGAGCAGTCTTGTTACACTTCTGAGATTCTCTTTCTTCAACTATTTTGTAAATGATAAAACCACGTCGTTTTGTCTACTTTTTTCTATTCGATTGACTGATTTCAATTCAACTTGTCTTTCCGAGAAAATTGCCCAAAACAAGTTTTTTCATTTTATTAGATGATATATCATAAAAGATGCAACTTTTTTTATATAGAAACATCTTCATAGCGTATCATTAAAACATTCTTGTCTGCCATTTTTTGAAAACCACTATTTTAACAGATTTCAAGATTTTTTGTGGTTCATATAGGCTGGCTAAGTGTCTGCTGCCTTTTAGCCACAAGGAAAACTCCTTAATGGCTAACTATCGGCTGAGACCCACCTCTTTACTGGCGTGATTAAGCAAAATCAAAGCAAAAATTCGACACTCAATTTTTTGGAGTCGTTGCATCTGAAAAACTGGTTGAGCTTAGATTTGAAAGCAGTTAGAAAACTTGGTAATTCAGCTGGTATTGAAAATTTTGTATAAAAAATTTGTATTGGGCAAACTTGTGTTAATCATTAGAACTTAAAATATCTCGGATTTTTGTCTTGTTTGGATACAGTTGAAGGCAAATTGATCAACATAGAAGTCGCAACATTTCATTTTAAATCTGTAAAAATAATTTGCAAACAGCCCAGAAAATTCACCCCATAGTTTTCCATGTAGTTTTGTTTTAAAGTAAACTTTTAGTCAATTTTAAATTTGTATTTGAGGGAGAGGGGAAAGAGCGTTATTGGAATACCTAGTTATCTCAATATCTGTAATATTCCAATTTGATTTCATACCACCCACCAGTATAAAACTAATGAACATTACTAAAAAATTCTTTAAATACTGAACGCGACATGCTGAAATCCACATTTGAAGGAATCTATGCTAAAACAGAGCCGGTTATCTTAAAACAGCTGTCTGCTTACTATTGTATACCAATTTTCTCGTATCAATCATTACTTTTCTGCCATTGGGCTCATTCTCATCTTGGACCATTAGGCTTAATGCTCAGCCTCTATTACCATTTAAAAAGTTTTTCGCTTTTGAATATCAAAAAGTCAATTTTTGCAAGTTCTCAAATTGTATCAGAATCTACAATTCGAACCAAATTTTGATAAGTTCTCAAAGCAACTTTATAAAAATCAGAAATTCTATATCATAAGTAAATATTTATTCTGAAATTTGACAGATACAGTTTGAACCCGAACTCGGCTGTATCTGTTAGATTTCAGAATAAATATTTATTTTTGATATGTAGTATCTGATTTTTATGAAGCTGCTTTCAGAACTTATCAAAATTTGGTTTGAATTGTAAATTTTGATACAGTTTCAGATACTTCAATATTAGGTTTTGCTTTTACCGAGTTTACAATCTCCCTATAAAATTATTTAGAGAATAGATTTTTTACTCGTTTTGAACCATTATTTTCAGAATTTTGCATTATCAAAATTTTGCAGTTTTTGCAAGTTGGCTGTGCATAAATTCGCTATTTATTTTTAGAAGGGCAATCAATCACTTGGAGTGTTTGAAGGAGAAGGGGTTGCTTATATGATCCTTTAAGCCAAACAAAATAACGTCGGTACGTGGGATTATTTACAGTTCCGGTTTTGTTTGTTTCTGCCTTCAGCAACAACCAGCAGTTGACGAAATCGACCACCTTTGACTGGAGTCATGGATCCAAAACTGATTGGAATGGCGGTTCCTCTGTTGTTCCTGATTCTGGTTAGCTACCCTGAACTGGTGTTGAGCGAGACCTTAACAGTGACTACTATTGAGTCAGAACCCTTCTTGAGGAAACATGATGACGGAAAACTCAGTGGATATTGTTATGATTTGGCCCAAAAGGTAAGGTTACATAATGATTATAATAATGAGTATATACCGCTAAAAATTTACCTTGTTATCTTGGATTATGTTTAGATGTTGTTACTATTACATATCTGTAACCAATGGCGGATTTAGGGGGGGGGGGTGGGAGGCGGACGCCCTTCCCCCTACCCATAACCTCAGGGATTCTCAGGGTCCCCCCTTTGGTACTTTTTAAGAAATCCATTTTTGGCCGACCGATCCTAAAATTTTTTAAAGGCACCTTCGGCGCCAATATATATTAACTTTGAGGAGGAACGCGCGCCAAAAAAACGCAATTTTTTTTGTCAAAATTTTCCAAAAAGTGCCCAAAAACCGCTTTTTTGATCTGTTTTTTCAAAAAATTTCCCTGCGGCGCAGAAAAATTGGCCACAACAGCGTCTTTTTAGTGCATTAGAAGAGCTCGGAAAATCAATTTGGTCGACCTAAAAAAAAGATCGTCAAAATTTTCAAAAAATTTTGGAAAATCCGCCTCCCCCCTCGAGAAAATCCCAGATCCGCCACTGTCTGTAACAGTAACAAAACACGGATCTTTTTAAGTATATCCTCTCTTTTGCAAAAAGGGGGATATTCGTTACTAGGTATAAAATTCTGATATGCTTAACCATTGATTCATTTCTTTATAGGGGGATATTCGTTAGGTACCCGAGGGGGGATATAGTTTAACAGATCCCAAAACTCAAACACAACCCAACATAATAAGGTAAATTTTTGGCTGTTTACACTCAGCTCGTTTTTTTGGCTAATTTATTTACGCTCAGATAAGACATATAACGGATAAATAATGCTAAAAGAATAAAAAAACGTAGATTATTTCGCAAGTGTGATAACTTAATAACATCGAAATTGATTGCGAGCTTTTTTTTGGGCTGGTAAATGTGCAGGGTGTTGCATAGAAAACCAAACTCTTTGAATTCGACCGTCTTTTTTTCTAACCGATTCTTTTTGTTGGTTGTCCAACAGTTGTTCAGTATCATTAGCCAGTTCGTCTGTTTCAGCTCAGCGAGCAAATGAACATGGATCTATCTATGAAGCTAGTTGCGGACTCTCAGTACGGACAGCAGACGGACGAAAACACCTGGACTGGTATGAATAACCAATCAGAAAATCATAACATTGGTGTCCGGTAGCTTCACACATAGCAAAGAATTTTCCGACTATATCTTTATTGTTTAAAAAAATGCGCAGGGGGTAGGAACAAAAATTTGTTAAAGAAATCTTCAGTTTTTTTTTACAAATATATATTATTAAATCAAGGTGAAAGCAGCAGCGTGCCAATTTTGAATCACAGGGTTTTACTTTCAGCTTTATGGCACCCTATTTCATGACACCCATTAACATCTTTTTTTTTCAAAAGGATCTTTTGGCGCCAAAATACGCTAAATTTGGGGGAGAGCGAGCGCTTAAAAACGCTTAATATAGTTTCAGTAGTCAAACGTTGAACAATGTTATTAGTTAAACACTATAAATTACAGTTGAACACTGTAAATTAGCCTAAATGTTAATAAATTAGCCTAAATTAGCCTAAATGATAAACTTAATAAATAGGTTTAAAATCACTTCACTCTGGCGGTTCTGTTGAAGTTTTGATAAACTGATTGGCCTAGTAGAGATAAAAAGAATCTAAAAAGCTTTGGTCAACATGGCAGAGTCAGATAGTGAAAGTGTATGGTGAAGCGTTATGACATAGTGATTTCATTCGCGTCTGATACAGACGGGACCCGCACTAGAGTTTCATGGATAGCAACCGATTATATTAGGTTTTCTTGAAAGGGAGTGTGAGGGATGTCAAAGCAGTGGCGGATGCCAAACGTTGGGCAAGCAGTGGTGTACATGAGGACTAACATGTTCATTTGGGTTCTAGTTTTTCGGAAAATTGCAAAAATTAGAGTAAACATTTCACATTGGCAAACATACTCAATTTTCATGGATTAAGTCAAGCAAAAAAAAATTGATTATAGCGAAGCCAAAACTGGGTTATAATCGATTATATTGTATTATAATTGTTTTTTCATTATTGAAATTGAAGGATTAAAACACCCTAAAAATCCATTTTCATGGTTAAATGGGTCATGAAAATCGATTTTATGGGTTACGTTTAATGCAATCGATTATTCCCCATGAAACTCTAGTGCGGAGAGTGTGTGTCTGCGAGTGAGAGAGGAGCTGAATGAGAGAGCCTACAGGGAGAGGCAACAAACATTAATCATAGTTCATGATATTCAATTGCTTGCTTGACTTTGGAAAGAACACTTTTGAGCTGAGTCTTCGCTTGACTTTTGCACAGATTTTAGCTTAATGAAGTTAAAACGTTATTTTTCAGGATTATTTTCGAAATTATCTTGGTTTATAAAAGCTATTCGAATATAATGAATAGTGAGATCCCATCAACGTCCAATCAAAATAAGATGGGATCAAACGTGAAAATGCAGACGGGATATCGAGTTTTTAATAAAAAAAACTAGATGTGAAACCTGCTCAGCTAGAAAAGGCGGTTGAAAGGGTTAAGGCACTAAAAAGTACTCTAGTAAAGCTTGCATAATAACTGCTAACCCTCGTTGCTACTCGCCTGGTGCAAACCTGGTTAATGATGTAATCGGTTTTTTCTGGAATTAAAATAAAAAAACTGCTTACCCAAATGGAATTAAAACATATCACGAGTTATGTGGAGACTTTGATGATTCCTACCTCAGTGTAAAAG